GCCTTGGTTGTTGACTTGGCGTTCTGATCTGGTAGCAGACTCGTGTCCTGTCATGATATGGAATTGGCCATCCCTAGGAATCTGGAGGTCAGTTCGCGCGAGCAAGTCCACGTAAGGAAGGGGAAAACGAGAGGATCTCACCGCTCGGACCTATTGAGGCTATCATATACAAATCTGGTATTTCGAAGACGCAAGAGCGGCATAGCTGCAACCGAGCGCACACCGCAGCGGACTCGCCCGTTGTCAAGCACACTGTTCTACGGGCACCTGCATGCGACGGCACATTTTGGCGAGAAAAAAATATTACCGGGGCACAGCACCGAAGCCAAGCACAGCACGACAAGGTTATCCATACCGCCTTTTCATGTGAGGCTGCCATTCAATGAGACCGATTTCCTTCCCACGTGGCATCCCCAGCGCCGCTAGTACGCTGAATGCCGGGGAAATTACGGTGCGGAGTGTCCGGGGGCCGGCCCGCAAATAGCTCAGCTTCTTCATATTAGGCGCTATCGACCAGGAACGCTGAACAGAGCTATTTTTCACTGGTGTTCGGGAAGAGTCGGAAGAATCCATTACTGCTGGTATAACGCAATATCCATGCGGATTGTCTCACTATAGGTGCAATATCAAGTTTCCGGCCTTAGTATACCTGTTTATAGTAAACATGGGGTATGTTGTATAGGACAAAAAAAATGCCGCAACCACCAACAACGCCATGAAAAAAAACAAAACCTATACTAGATCCGGGTCTAGAACGCTAATCATACCCTTATTCCAAACAGCTATAGCCAAGCAGTACCGCCAAGAACCAGCTTTCCCAACCGGCCAAGCATGGCTCGTGCGTCTACTTCTATATGGAGGCACCCGACAAGCCGATAGGTGTAGACTCGAGAATAATACGACAATAATTGGATCTTGCAATTGCTTTTTCTACCTGCCCCATAAAGAAAAAGCAAAGCTCAATGCATATTGCAACGCTAGAAAAAACAAGATACCCACAGACAGCTCTCAGCTTCAGGTCAGATCGCCCACATCCTGCATCATGCATGACTTGGCTAAAGCACAGACGTCCACATATACAGGTTTAGCACAACGTACCTCCACAGCGGGATAACAGATGCTAACGAAAGACAAGCTCCGTCCCTTCTATTCGGGCTTTTTTACTCCATAGTGCATATATGTACATGGGATATGTACGGAGGAGTTACTAGTGCATACCCGGCACGTGCATACACACACAAAGAATAAAACAATTTGATGTCGCAGCTTATCTCAAACTCGGGCCATCCCAAGGTTCAACAACGTCAGATAGGTGTCGCAATGCAAAGCGACCAATCCTATAACCTCACGGCTGTGTGTCTCTTCCTGCAACCGCAAACTGGCGGTCAAGCATGCACCGGCTTGAATCGGAACTTGGGTTGCAGCCGATGTTGGGTGGCTTTGTGGTTGTTTTTACATTAAAGTAAACATGTGAACTGACGCAGAGTTCCCGTGAACTGTCTCGACCCCCTACCCCATGGGCATGGGTTTTATTGGATAGATGTGATCTCCAAGATCGTCGCTTACCCAAAGACTTGTCACCAAGTATGCCACGATGACTACTAGTCAACTTGGGATCAACCGCATCTAAGAGTTCGTATACGCATGCAGAACAGCAGTGAATCAGCGTTCCCTGAATCCTTCGGGAGAGGAACTGGACTTTCTGTGCTGCATCAGGCCTCCGATTGTATTATAAATGTGCGTAATGGTAACTCAGGAGATTGGATAGCGGATTATTTGGCTTCTGCATTGGGGTAAAGAACCGATTCACGGCGGAGGCCTGGTTAGATTTTGTTTCCGACCTTGGAAATAGCTGACCCTCATAGTTTCTGTTATATTGCTGCCTATCAAAAGTGGACTTTAGGGTCAATGGAGATGTGGAAAGTAATCATTTGAGACACTCATATGGCTAGGGGGGCAAAGTACTGTACTCGAGAGTGAATTTCATTCTGAAAGAACGGTCTATATGAAGCTAAATGCATGTCTAACCCACAATGGGCTTCGACCTTATGATTTATTGGAACTATCTAGTTCGTCTTGCCCTTTGTCTGGGTATATGTAGGGACCTCTAACCAGGGAAATAGGGAAATACTTCTCAAAAAGAACCCTAATAAAGAGATCCAACATGGAATAACCACGGTAGAACCATGCCTAAAGAAGTAATTAACCATCTCTCAAGTTCAAATTTACCTACTTATAGAGTACGTGCAAATGTGAGGTACTGTGAGGTAGGAACTGGCTGGAATTTTGGGGGAAGAGGGGTAGTGTTGAATAGCTGTATTTTGTAGAAGTACATGCCTCGGGATAGGTGCATATAACATTGATATCGAAGGCTTGGTACATTCGTATATTGCACTCCGTACATCTGCCTATCTACCTACATGCATACATGCATACTCCGTAGTGCATAGTGTGGGAAATTAAGATGGGTTTCTCTTAGCGTTGTGATTGGCGCGTGAAAATCCCTCGTAGTTATTAGTGCTGGATACGGAAGCTTGTGTGAGAAAGTGGACTTGCTGTTTTTTTTTTTCCTCTTTTGCGTTACCTGTCAGATTGAGTTGTTATTTTCAGCTTTATTCTTTCTCTGCAGCGAATGTCTTATTCTATTATTCTTTAGTCCTGTGCCGAGGTCAGTACTAACCTTGGAACCGGGCTTATTCGGAAATCAACAGTAATCCGGGGTAAAATGAGCATTGAACCTTGGAATAACATTGAGTATACCGCTAGGTACTACTCTGTACTAGCTCCGAAACAAAGCCCAGGTTTAATGCGAGGCTCGTACTAGCACTCCGTATGGGAGTCCTACTCCCCACAGACACACCAGGATTTGAATAGACGGTGAACATTTCGCATTCCACATTCTCAAGTAATAAGACTGGACGTATTCCCATGCAGAGGTGATAGGGCCAAGAAAGAGCGATATATTCTATCCAATCCTTTTCAATTGCATAAGACAATATTAGTCAACCTGCACCACGTCTATCTCAAATGCCGTCATCTGTCCGAATGACGCTACCTAGATAGCGGAAAACTAGTGTTGGTCTCTATTTTATTCCCCTATAACGTATTAGAGCATTATGTACGTTGTACATCGCTGCGGGGACTCCATCGCACAGAGACCCCACGCGGTTTCCACGACCCCGATAGAGAGATGTGCATGATTGACCGACTATTATTACGTAGCAGCGATCGTCTAGCGATCACAGGAACTTGCGTCGATAAACGGGGGTTTCTGGTTTCGGGATGATCAGGTTGACCAGCTGGACGTTGGTAGTAGCGAGAGTGAGCACGGGTATAAACGGAGGAATCCGACAATTGGTTGAAAGGGGATTTAGGATTTACGAGGACAGTGTCCCTTTGAGAAACTGGGGATTTACCTAGGTACCTGTATTCGATTTAGCAGGGTTTCATAGCTCGGATGACATACGGAATACTGTGTTTATATTGGTGCATCATACAGTAAGGATGGTATGACCTTGGCTACTATAACTATGCTACAACTATGCTCAAAAATGATGATTCCCCCACCTACTATATAGAGTAATAAAGCACGTCTGAAATATTCACATTATATGCTCCGGCTAATAGATCAACAGGATTTCCCCCCAATTAGACCGGATGAATGGATCCTAATAGCTTTGGAGAAGTACGGAGTACCCCTCAACTTCATACATACCAAGGTAGTCCACCTCGGGACGACAACAACCGCCACACAGTGCACCCAGCGCGTCGGCTTGGTGCGGGGCCTGATCGAATCACAGCTGGGCTTCGTTGTGCAGACTGCACAGCCTCACTCCTTTGATGTGGTGGCGGCCACTATCAAAGCTACTTTCCCCTCCGTATTTTCTAATATTCTAATATTCTGATATTTTAGCGACGTCCGTGTACAATTAGCGATGGGCATAGTATACGTAGTATACTTATAATATGCAAAGACGTCAATCAACGTCATTAATACTAAGATAAGATAATACCCGTATGTATTGCTCTTGAAGACTCGGGAGAGACCCAGTTCTACTAGTTAGTAGGGTTCCAGAAAAAAAAAATTCTGTACTTTCATTACTTATTATATTAATTACTCTGGATTACTTCAATGTTTCATTACCATTAAATCTCTCACCAAAAAATAGTATTATTAAAGCCTCGGAACGGACCTCGGGACTCCTTTCCATCTGGTCTATTCTGTATATGAAAATGTACATGCGCCACTTTTTATTTGAATGTGTACAAAATATATCCTACAATAGTACAAACATATCTAGATGTATCTAGGCATGTCAGGTATCACAACGCCGGAGTCGCCGTATGCAGTATGTAGCCCTATAGGTCAAGACCAAAATCACGCCCTGGAAGCCCTGGTCCTGGGAAAGCCCTCCAGGGCTGGAGCATTTGCGAGCATTAATAATCTTCGAGAGTAACCTGTACCGTTGCAGTGCCCACATTTTCCCTCTCGATATGGAGTTATTTCATTTTTTTCCATTTTTTCTTATGAATTTTATAATTTTTTTTAATGGGTTTAACTATGTAATATATTACCATACACCAAAAAGGATTTCCCCCGGTGGTATTTCAAGGTCTCTAGCATCGCCAAATTTATCCCACTTATTTCCCACTTGCTTCTCCTTCTTTTTATTTTATTTTTCCTCTCTTCTATCGCTTGTCTATATACCCCAGGGGCCCCCTCCTTGCCAGAGGGCATCGTTTTGGTGTGCGGTACTTTCAATATTTTCATATCTCTTTGTGTCGTCACCTTTTGCCCTTGTTGCCTCAGGCCATCAATATTAGGCCACCTACTTATTTTTTTCTCGCCTCCTCTCACTTCTCTTTATCCTTACCATTAAGATTGTTTCGATTCGCCGCGGCTTCGTACAAGCTGTAGAAGCTTGTCTTCCAATTTGGGGACGGAGAATTTTGTGTCCCACCCCTCATTCTTCCAATCTTCATCTGTCGATCCACCGCACATGACTCCACCTTCCCCTTCACCTGTGCCTTCCGCAGTCTCTTCCGCCGCAGCTTCACAACACTCACATGATCCTCGTGATGGAGATGCTTCGGTAACACGAGCCCTTGCGGGCATGAATCTGGCTGCCCACGCAAACGGGGAGGCCCTTCCTCCCCCGGCATCTCCCGCCGCCAAACCGACTAGATCTACTATGGCCGCGCGCCTCACACGCATGTTCTCCAGCACGGGGAAAAACACACCACCCAGAGAGAATAACGACGTTCCTCGTGACCTATCCGACAGTAGCTTGGAGAGTATCCAGCCTCTCAACGGCAGGACCTCGAAGCCATCATCTCGACCCGCCTCCAGACCACCTTCTAGACCTCCCTCAAGAGGAGAGAATTCTCGAACACCATCACGAAACCCATCACTCAGGAGCGAACCTGTGGAGAAGCACGACAAGAAGAAGATGGATGATAAAAAGAAGATGGAGCTTCCGTCCACAAGCGATTTGAAGTACTGACGGAAGCTCTCGGCAACCACTCACATAACCTCAGAAGTGCTAGACGGCAAGAGAAACTCACCGATCTACTGCGGGACATGATGGGTGGCCGGAAAAAGGACGACCAGGTGGATGAGCAACAGCTCTCGCTGATGTCGACTTGGATTGATCAGTTCAAGACGGAACGTGATAAGCTGGCTGCTGATAAGAAGGGTGGCCCGAATGCCACTGCTTCTCTGGTTGACAAGTACGGCAAGTGTCAGGAGATTGTGGGTCGCGGTGCTTTCGGTATCGTGCGCATCTCGCACAAGGTCGACCCTCAAGATTCCAAATGTGAACAGCTGTATGCTGTCAAGGAGTTCCGCCGCCGGCCCCAAGAAACGACCAAGAAGTATCAAAAACGACTGACTTCTGAATTTTGCATCTCGTCGTCACTTCGTCACCCGAACGTCATTCACACTTTGGACCTCTTGCAAGATGCCAAGGGAGATTACTGTGAAGTCATGGAATACTGCGCTGGTGGCGATCTGTACACCCTGGTCCTTGCTGCCGGCAAGTTAGAAGTCGCCGAAGCCGACTGCTTTTTCAAGCAGTTGATGCGGGGTGTCGAGTATATGCACGAAATGGGTGTCGCACACCGCGACCTTAAGCCCGAGAATTTGCTTTTGACCACTCACGGAGCACTCAAGATCACCGATTTTGGTAACGGTGAATGCTTCCGTATGGCCTGGGAGAAGGAAGCCCATATGACCGCCGGGCTCTGCGGTTCCGCTCCCTATATCGCCCCGGAGGAATACGTGGAGAGGGAATTTGATCCCCGAGCGGTTGATCTCTGGGCGACTGGAGTGATCTACATGGCCATGCGCACTGGGCGGCATCTTTGGCGCGTGGCGCGCAAGGATGAAGATGAATTTTACCAGCGGTACCTAGACGGTCGCAAACATGAGGATGGATACGCTCCCATTGAGACGTTACATCGAGTAAGAACAGCTAATCCCCCTCCTGCGGCTGCAGGGCAAAGACTTATGACTTCTCAGGCTCGTTGTCGCAACGTGATCTACTCCATCCTTGATCCCAATCCTTCTCGCCGCATCAATGCCTCACAGGTCCTCAAATCCGAATGGGTTCGCCAGATCAAGCTGTGTAAGGCTGGCGAGGAAGGGTTCTGATCGTATCAACAAAAATTTCAGGTTACGAGGTCACAGGCCCGCTCCTTAAGGTTTTGATGTGACTGAAACTATCCTTTTCCATTTGCATCACAGGGTGGTTATTTATCATAGACCCATTCAAAGAGAGGCTTACTGATTTTTATCCTTTGAATGCTCCCAAACTAGAAGGAGGCCCCTTACGAAGGTTCTTTTTTTTTGCCTTTTATTTTCGTTCTATCCCTGTTTGTTGGCTCTGGCGCATTCACAGTGTATCCCTCCAGCCTCTTCAGCCTGTGCTCTATTACATCCATCTTTTAGCTTGTCTTTATGCCTGGATCTTCATGTCTTCAACGTCAATGCAACGAAGAATCATGACCCTTTTTCTCTTTCGATCCGGTTTTCTTTTACAGTCTTTCGGAGTTTTATCTCGTCCGGTCTTTTTTCGCGTTTTGGGTTTTCGGCAGATACCTTGAAGTTTTTACGGCGTTGGCGGGAAATATCCCCTTTGAACTTCTTCTTCCCTTGTACCACTATGACGAGCCCAGCTTTAGCGGGCGAATATGGACATTCTCCCTTGGGTCCCGAGTTCTGTTTCTGATCAATATGATGGTAGGCAGAGGCTCTTCTGCCCGCAAAATAGGAACAGGAACAGGAATCGATGCCGAAGTTGGATGCCCTTGACTGGAGGCTGTCTGAACCTTTTTTTTTCTCGCTTTGGCTTTACCCCTCGGTTCAACCTCGAATTCTAGTACATATTACCGATGCTTTTTGTATATATGGCTTAGGCATTTTGATTTTCTGTTACACTGACTTGCTTCCGCGTAGCAACGCGCCCGTCGATTATCCGAGCATACCAGGTTCATCCTAAGATCTCATTTCCCCTCTTAAAACTACAAGGCACCCTCTGCTCAACTTCCAAGTTCACAGTCTACAACCCCCAAAATACTATGACATCAACTGGAAGATCGGCGCCTTCGACCTAATGCAAGTTCTACAAGTGTCACCGAGACGATCAGCACGGTGCAGTAGTAAATTAGTTCCGATATATTCCAACACCTCAGGACCAGTGATATCATTCAACCTGGAGGTATTTTCCGATTAACGATAATCATCCAAGCACCTCCATACGCTAGCAAGGGAAAAAAAGCAAGAAGCCCCAGCGGTCTGATGCAATCGAATGTGTCATATCCCAGATTAGTGCAGTCTAGTTATTCACATTATTCGCATATGCATCTTCTGCCTTTTAATTACTACACATACCTTAGGTCTGTACTCCGTACGAAACTTGGTAATACCGAACATATGCAGCTAAAGACATGGATCCGAACTCTGCAACTTCCTTCACCCAATCCCAACCAACCCGAAAAGGGACCCCGACTACGGAGTAAAGCTCGAACAGTCTCAAGTTTGCATTTATTCACACTTGGCACTATCATACATTTATCTGCCAAGGACTGCACATGACTCAATTACTTAGGCATCAACATTACAGCCTGGGCGAAGTGGATAAGAGGAATACCTCAATATGCACATGCCATGCAGTGTTGCGGCGGATGCAAGACCCAGCCCTACACATGTATGCTAGTATTTAAGGGGAAAGGGGCAACTATGTTAAAATGGGGTTATCTCTCTGGATTGCTCCGTACTCTACTAGCGTTAAGTGGCTATATACACCTGGTTTGAGGAATGTCACAACCACAATACCTATGAACAACGTTTCAATTTGTACCTTGGCATGATTTACTTAGTATTACCAGTCCCTGTATGTTTTGCAGGAAGAAGAAAAAAAAACCCTCGAACAGACCTGAATAATGCAACGTTTGATGTGGGTACTTTGTGAACTCCAGCCCTACCAAACATGACGTAGCCGCATCCGGAAAAGAAATATGACATAAGCATAAGCCCTCATGCACAGCCACACAAAACTGTAAGGCAGAGTCGGCTGTCCTTGGCATTGGGTTCGCGACCTTTACGACTTACACAGCTTAACAGAGATCCTTCTCCACTGCAGTCAACTGCGATCACAACTCGGTTTTCTGCTCTATACCTACTTACAGCCTATAGCCTACACCAACTCAAGCCCGATCTCCGTCTCTGGATCCTCCGAGCCGCACCGCCACCATGTCTTGGGCAGGTAAGCCTCATCACACCAAAACCCTCGGACTCATAAACCGGTGCTAGTCTGAGCGAATCTAACCGCATGGATGGATAGGGTTCAAGAAGAATGTCAACCGTGCGACGACGCAGGTGATGATGAAGACGGGTGAGTTTGGTCGAGTTCTACCCCGCAATGAATCGAGAGAAATGATCGACCACGATCCCGGATTGAGCTACCCGCTACGCGCTACGATTTACTTGCCGCCCCATAACGTATGGATGACACGCTGACTCGGTAATTGTAAAGGTCATGTCGAGAGAACGAATGATCGCGATTATGAGATTGAGGAACGGTATGGTTGTCCTTGTTGCCTTGCTACCTCTGGGTGGTTATACCGGGACCGGAACTGACGTTGCCCACTATAGTCGTTACCGGACTATGGAGACCGCAGCAAATCGGTTGCAAAAGGAGTCGAAGGGATATCTGGATTCACTACGAGGTGGGTGGCCTTTTGCTCTGCGGATTGTTGAATCTGGCTGTTCAGTTGGCTGACTTTTCCCAGCCATGACGGCCTCCCAAATGCGCATTGCGGAGACCATTGATGCTTTCTACGGCGACGCGGGCACAAAAGATGGTGTGAGCCGGAGCTACAAGCAGGCCGTTGAGGATCTTGATGCCGAGACCATCAAGGCTCTGGATGGGCCATACCGGTAGGAGATCCTTGTTTTACTGACGAGTAGACATGAGTGGTGCTGACCGAAGCCAAAGTACTACCGTCCTCGACCCCATCTCCCGATTCTGCGCCTACTTCCCCGACGTGAACGAATGCATCAAGAAACGCAACCACAAGCTGCTAGACTACGACGCCATGCGCGCCAAGGTTAAGAAGCTAGCCGAGAAGCCCGACAAGGACGTAACCAAGCTGCCGCGGACCGAGCGCGAAGCCGAGATGGCCAAGCAGGCCTACGAGCAGCTGAATGAGCAGCTCTTCAACGAACTCCCCCAGCTTATCGACCTACGTGTGCCTTACCTCGACCCCAGCTTCGAAGCTCTCGTCAAGATCCAGCTGCGCTTCTGTGCCGAGGCGTACTCACGAATGGCACAGGTGCAGCAGTATCTCGATGCCGAGACTCGCGATCAGTATGCCAAGGGTGATCTGGATAACCGGGTTGAGGAGGTGTTGCAGGAGATCCGCGATTTGAGCATAGCTGGAACCGTTTGAGCTATTCTTTAATCGACTACTCTATTAGCATAATACCGGATGTTTCTTTGCTGCGCTGGGATCTGTACAACAGACTCGTGCTTTTCTTTCCTTTCTTTGCCTTGCTCGATAGATATCGGCAGCTATTTCTTGTTTTCATGTGCCTTTCGGCAGGCGTTTTCTGTGTATATGTTTAATACATCCACGAGCTGACTTTGACATTGCTCTTCATCACTTCTTTTGGTTCTGTGCATTCGTCTGCGAATGTGAAAACGATCGCATATAACCAAAAACCATGCTGGGGGAACAGGGGTATAAATGGTATTGTACTCCAACAAAATCCGCACTATTCACATCACCAAAGATCAACATCAGACCTTCCCGGCAGGTCTAAAAAGCTCCTCCCGAATAGTCTCCACCACCGGCGCCGCCGCCGCATGATAAGCCTTAAGCTCCTTATCAGTAACAGTCTTCAGCACATAGTCGGAAACAGCAGCCGTCTCATGTGACGACGGCCGACCAATACCAAGACCGACGCGCAAGATCGACAGATCCGCCAACGGCCCAGTAACACTCTTACTCGCGCCAGACGAGCGGGGATACAACCCCTTCTTGCGCAGTGTATCACAGATACTAATGAGACCGCGATGGCCGCGCAAACTAAACGATTCAGGCCCGCCGCGTACGACGCGGACCTTTCCTTGGGCGATGGAGAGTTCGTCATGGAGGATGATGAGGGTTGTTGGGTATGTAGTTTGTGCGGGGAGGTTTGGGGTTTGTGAAGACGAAGACGAGGTAGAGGCACGAGTTGCGGCAACGTTGGCGATCCGTTCAAGACGGCTGGCTCGTTCGGTTGCCCATTGTTCTAGTCGGCGCACGAGTTTCGGACCGGTTATGTTCATCTGCGTTGGACTTTGCCATGTTTCATGGTAGAGGCCTGTGTTTGGGAGGGTGGTTTCGAGGAGTGGTTTTAAGGCGTCGAGGAGGAGGTGGCCGGCGCTGTGTCGGGTATTGTAGTAGGGGGCTGGATTGCCTATTGAGGCTATGAACAGTAGGCGGCGGGGGAGTATCTCCATATTTGTAGGGAGGAGAGGACCCGGGTTTGGTGTATATTCCAAGGCTGGATATTGGATATTGGATATTGTATGTTGTATTCTTTTTTTCTCTCTAAATGTCATTGGTTCAGGTACGGGAGATCGCCTCGTGACTTGGCTGATGTCGGAGATAAGGAATTGCTTATCTCCATATCTATACAACCTTGGAGGTTCTTAGACCTCTGTTTTCGAGGACTAGACCTATACTTGAATAGTTCGAGAATCCTTCTTTTTAATCAGATATCGGTGTTAGTTAAGTTAACTAAGCTATTTCCGTCTCGCTCTCCAAAGTCCCGAACCTATAGGAACTATAAAAGAACATCCTCACTACGATCCCTGCAATCCTAAATCCAAAGAGAACAAAACTGCTATATCCATTTCATCTGAACAATTATTTTCTTGCTCAACTCAATGGCTCAAAACTACATCACCAAGGTTGCTATCGCCGGGGTGAGTTACAATCCACGTATCACCATCTACAAAACACCAGCTAACAACCACAATAGGCTAGCGGCAACAGCGGTAGTATTATGACCGAAGCCCTACTCAGGACCGGTAGACACACCATCACAGCCCTAACCCGGGCTGACAGCCAAAGTAAGCTGCCAGACGGTGTGATAGTCAAGCTAACCGACTACAACAAACCGGAGACTATTGTGGAGGCACTCAAGGGCCAGGATGCACTGATAATTGCATTGAGTGAGCTTGCACCACATGGAATTGATATGACGCTCATCTAAGCTGCTGGCGACGCGGGTCTACCCTGGATTTTCCCGAATGAGTGGGCGCCCGATACCGCGAATGAGGATCTGGTTAAGGATCTGGTGGTGTTCCAATCGAAGGGTAAGCAACAACAAAATCTAGTGTACGCGCATTCTGTGTACAATGTCTTCTAATAAATTAAGGCCTAAAGGACCGACTTGCAAAGCCATAGCTGATCTCGGCAAAAGCTCCTACATCGCTGTCAGCACGGGCTAGAAATACGAATTGTGTCAGGCAATTCAATCGGCGTTCAGCATAGACTTTGCCAAGCGTACTGTGACATTATTCGACGAGGGTGAGGCCAAGATTTCGACTTCGACCTGGCCTCAGGTTGGTCGGACTGTTGCTGGTCTTCTCAGCATGCCAATCAAGGCTGAAGGGGGCAACGGGGCTTGCCTTGAGAACTTGAAGAACCAGGTTGTGTATGCTTATTCTTTCGTTGTTAGCCAAAAGGATATGTTGGAGTCTACTTTCCGGGTTACCGGGACCACAGAGAAGGACTGGACTATTACAAAGGAATCGGCTAAGAAGAGGTATGAGAATGGTGTGAAGGAGATGAATCGGGGTGACCGCATTGGCTTCGTTAAGATGTTGTATACGCGAATCTTCTTCGAGGATGGCGCTGGTAACTTTGAATCCAAGGGCACACTGAATGGCTGGCTTGGCTTGCCAAAGGACGATATTGATGAAGCGACCAGGGCAGCTATCGAGCGCTCGAAGAGCACCACTTGGTAGATCAGGAAGCTGGTTGGTTAGAAGAATGAATAGAGTATAAATGTCCATGGAGATTTGTAGAATACGTGAATTTTGTCCATTGCAATGAAACCAGACAAGCTTTTGGATATAACTCCCCTTGAACCCCATGCAAAACCGAGAATAGCAACATAAGAAAGACATTTACAGCTGGAACAGAGTTCTCGTCTTCTCCATTCCACCCTTCCATTCCCACTCCTGGCCACTGGCACGCTGGATACCCTTATCAACACGACGCAGCTTCAAAGTGAAGCGAGGTCCTAGTTCCTGTAGACCGGTACGGATACCCTCGGCACCCGCCATTTCCTTGCCGTCAGCACCAACAACAGCCTTCTCGGTCTCGCGCTTCTCACGGAAGACGTAGCGGTGACGACGGACGAAAATGTAATCACGCTGATTGTGCAAAGTGACGACTTGTCGGCCCTCGAATTCCGGCTGAGGCGGGAAGAGTGTGCGGAACAAATGGGCAGTCAGAAGACCGAGAGGAGTACGGAAGTTATTGAGGATCAGCTCGGGCCAGTGGTCGGTGGCTCGACCGTGTCCAGGAAGCCGCTTTCCATCGATCCAGTTGCTGATGGTGAAGTGGAAAGTCGGGCCGACTGGCAAGTGCACTATCGTTAGCCCAGAGGGCCGCTTCTGGTCCTCATTCAACACGACGACCGCCGTGAAATTACGATTTGAGGCGAATTTGGAAATCTCGCGGATTGAGAATTTGTGCGAGTACCGGTGCGCATTGCGCCGGATATACACGCTGTTCGGGAACACATCGGTCAGGGTTTCTGCTTGGACGTGAAGGGTAGAGTTGAGGCCGGTGGTGATGAGGATTTTCGGGGTGGGTGGGGGTCCCTCAGTGAAGAGTGTAGGGAATTTGGCGGCCAATGCTTCCGGAGCGAGGCTGAGGTTTGTGCTGCGTGTGGACTGGGTAGGACTTGTGGCTCGCTCTGTCGCAGTTCGGATGGAGGTCTTCTTCCGGCCGCGGCTGGCATCTTGGTCTTCGTTCTTTTCCTCATCCTCATCTTCATCTTCACTGTTGTCCGATTCGAGCATACTATCGACTGACTCGTTGTCTGATTCCGGAGCCTCGCTGTCATCCTCACCCTCTTCCAATGGCCGATTGAGCTCGTCTTCTTCTTCCTTCTTAGCACGCTTGATGCGCTCAACGTCAACGCTCAATCCCAGACCAGTTTCTTCGGTGTCGTTGTCGGCTTCGTTCCAAACACGTTTCCGCTCGAGGGTCAGAGGAATGTTGCGGCGGAGTCGTTCTTCCTTCAATTTGGGGTTCTTGGCTTCTTCTTTCTTGAAAGCGTAGCGCTCCTCTCGGCGCGCGGCATCTTTGGCTCTCTTGCGCTTGACATGGTTCATCTTCCGGCGCAGCTTGTTGCCGGTTTTAATATCGCCCATGACGCCCGGAGGCGGTCCAGATCGGCCAGGCACACCCATTTTTGAACGCTGAGAGGGTAGAGTGCTGCTGTTGAAGGTCACTGGAAAATGTAAAGATCGCCGAGAAATAAATTATTTCGGACAATCGTTTCCCCGGAGCGACAATCTGCGATTCGATCTTGTGACTTGGAGACCTCCTTTTCAGATAGGAAAATAAATAAAAAGAAAAAGAAAAAAGACCAACCCAATTGGTCGTTCTCTCTCGTACTATACCCTTTGTCTTTTGTCCTCTCGGTGGTGCCTGAGGGGCTGCGTAGTGGATGACTCAATTGCCGCGCCTGCGATTCCCCCCCCGCTCTTTTCTTTCCCCTCCGTCTTTCTTTCGGACTCAGTTCAGGACTTACACCCCTCCCCGAAGACCTTGAAACGAAACGTCAAGATGGCCACCGTCAACACCAAGACCGGCCAGGCCGTCGACCGCACGGTGCTGGACTCCATGCTCCGTCGCCGCATGTTCTACACCCCCTCCTTCGAAATTTATGGTGGTGTGTCTGGTCTGTATGACTTTGGCCCACCTGGAACCGCCCTGATCGCCAACATGACCGACCTGTGGCGCAAGCACTTCGTGCTCGAGGAGGACATGCTCGAGGTCGACACTACCATGTTGACCCCTCACGAAATTCTCAAGACCAGCGGGCACGTGGACAAGTTCGCCGACTGGATGTGCAAGGACCCCAAGACTGGGGAGATCTTCCGTGCCGACCACTTGGTTGAGGAGGTGCTCGAGGCCCGCCTCAAGGGAGACAAGCAGGCGCGCGGCGAGAAAATTGAGGTGGACGAGGAGAAGGAGGCCAAGAAGAAGAGAAAGGCCAAGGGCACCGAGGCTAAGAAGCTGGATGATGCCCTGGTCAAGGAGTACGAGGAGACCCTCGCACAAATTGACAACTACGGTGGCCCCGAGCTGGAGCAACTCATCAAGAAGCATGACATCCGCAACCCCGTCACCGGCGGTGAGGTGCTGCCTCCCGTCTCTTTCAACCTCATGTTCCAGACCTCTATTGGCCCTAGCTCCAACATGCCCGGCTATCTGCGTCCCGAAACCGCGCAGGGTCAATTCCTGAACTTCGCTAAGCTCCTGGAGTTCAACCAGCAGTCGATGCCGTTCGCCTCTGCCTCCATTGGCAAGTCGTTCCGCAACGAGATTTCCCCGCGTGCGGGTCTCCTGCGTGTGCGTGAGTTCCTCATGGCCGAGATTGAGCACTACGTCGACCCGGAGGGTGGCAAGAAGCACTCTCGCTTTGATGAGGTCAAGGATACTGAGCTGTCCTTGCTCGACCGGAACGTGCAGCTGTCCGGAAGCACAAATCTGACCAAGATGACTGTCGGCAAGGCCGTTGAGACCGGACTGGTCGACAACGAGACTCTGGGCTATTTCTTGGCCCGCATTCAGTCCTTCCTGTTGAAGCTGGGTGTTGACCCTGCCAAGCTGCGCTTCCGTCAGCACATGGCCAACGAGATGGCTCACTACGCCACTGATTGCTGGGATGCCGAGTTGCAGACCAGCTACGGCTGGATCGAGTGTGTAGGCTGTGCTGACCGCTCCGCTTACGACCTGACTGTCCACAAGGACAAGACCGGTGCTCCTCTCGTCGTGCGCCAGGCCCGTGCTGAGCCTCTGCGTATCGAGGAGTACCAGATTGATCTCGAGAAGAAGAAGTTCGGTCCCCGTTTCAAGAAGGACGCCAAGACCGTCGAGGCAGCTATTGAGGCTCTGTCCCAGGACCTGCGCGAGAAGCTGTCTCTTGACCTTGAGAAGGACGGCAAGATTGAGGTCGACGTTGAGGGTGTTGGATCTGGCAAGGTTGAGATCGAGAAGGACTTGATCAAGATTGAGAAGCGCACTCGTGTTGAAAATGTCCGCGAGTACACCCCCAACGTTATTGAACCGTCCTTCGGTATTGGACGTATTCTGTACAGTGTCATTGAGCACTCCTACTGGTCCCGCGCTGGTGACGAGACCCGTGGTGTAAGTCTTCCCTTTTTGTATCTTTCTTGCTTTTTTTTCGCCGTGAATGTTAGTACTGACGATCGCTATAGGTCCTTTCTTTCCCTCCCGCCATTGCCCCCACAAAGGTCCTGCTGGTTCCCCTCTCCACCCACGCCTCCTTCAAGCCTCTGACCCAGCGTCTGACCTCGAAGCTCCGCAAGGCCGGTGTCTCCAACCGTGTCGATGACTCTTCCGCCAGTATCGGTAAGCGTTACTCCCGCAACGACGAGCTGGGCACACCCTTCGGTATCACTGTGGATTTCCAGTCCGTTCAGGACAACACCTTCACCCTGCGCGATCGCGATACCACTAAGCAGGTCCGTGCCAGCGAGGACGAGATTCTGCAGGCTGTCAAGTCGCTTGTTGAGGGCGACGAGACATGGGAGGATATCCGCAAGCGCCTGCCCGAGTTCACTTCCCAGGAAATCGAGGCTTAGAATGGCTAGAGTGCATCATAAAATACTATTTATTTACTTTTTTTTTATTGTTATATTTTCTACCGACATCACATAGAGTAGAACAGTTCCATCTTCTTAGATCTATACAATATAGTTTTCCTTCATGCTAACTCGCCCCGATCCGGACACCGCGCCAAGAATCTGGGGCACCTCCGTCATCGATCTGTCCTCTTTACATTCTCCTTTGTCAACAACAATGGCGCCCACAGTACACTCCGCCAAATTGACACTCTCGTGTCCGCTCTTCGCTGCTGACTTTGACCCGCGCAACAACGGTCGACTCCTTGTCGGCGGTGGAGGCGGCGAGGGGCGTAGTGGAGTTGGAAACAAGATCGCAAGTCCCACCATTTCGAGAAAGTCCCCTCCTCAACGTGCAAATACTAATAGTTGTTTTCTGTACAGTCTCTGCTTGACACATCGCGTCGTGACGAGATTACTGAGGCCGTTGAATTGAACCTATCGCGCGATGAAGACTCAGTAACTTCGCTGGCTGCGGCCCCGCTAGCTAGCGACGAGGCGGGCTCGCTTGTTGCTCTGGCTGGTATCAATAGCTCTGTGGAGCAACAGAAAAAGAACAACAATCAACATCTTCGCGCATTCCGGTTTGAGGCGCCGTGGAAGACCACCGAAGACCGCAAGAAGGACGAGAAGGCGAAAAAGGACACCAAGTCTGAGGAAGAGGTTATTCCCGGAAAGGCCATAGCTCTATCGCAAGCATCACTCTTCCGAACGAAGAACGGGCCAGGCTCTTCAGATACCTACCAGCGAGTGACGAGGCTCTCGCCGTGGCCGAAAGGGAAGGATGGCACCGAGAAACACACACGGATCGGAGCTGTTGCGACGGGTCTCGCACAATCCGGTGAGATTGTGTTCTTCCGCGCCACGGAGACTCCCAGCGAGAAGGATATAATTGGCCGCATCCAATTAAGCAGCAATGAAGAGGCCGAGGATCTGGACTTTGTCAGCCTCGAACACGACTTGGAGAAGACCGACGATGGACACGGCCGGTTCCTTGTGGCCTATACGAACGGCACAGACGTCATGGTTGGCGAGATCTCGTGCTCTAGCTCCTCCAATAGCTCCCCCGACGTTCGCTCCGTTTATAATATTCCTCTGCCCGCCAGCGGAGCCCGCACAGCACGGCCCAAGTTCCGCGCGCTGCGGTTCCTCTCGCCCCGAACCCTGCTCCTCCTCCAGAATGCCCCAAACCGCGGTGGTAGCGAGCTCGTGCTCCTTCAACTCCCCAGCGCCAAATCAAGCAAGTCCAAAATTCTACAACGTCGCAAGCTTCCTCGAACCGTGAAGATCGGCCTAGGCCTCGACATCTGCCAACTCGGGACGAACCCGCAAGGCCAACAACAGACTGTCATCGCAGCCAGTGGCAGCGACAACTCCATCCCTCTATTCACCCTAGAATACGGACCAAACCGCGGCTACAGCAACTTCCGCCCCTACACAACTCTCCGCGACGTGCACCCCTTCTCAATGACAAAACTCACCTTCTCCACCTTCATCGCGCCTCCGCACCCCATAACCCCAGACGTCGGCCCGCAGAATATAAAGCTCGCCTCCGTCAGTATGGGCAACACAGTCGTCGTGCACACATTCCCACTATCTCCCTTCCCAACCTCCTCCCGCACCCCACGCTACGTCCTCGTCACCCCGGGCCCCGCCGAAATCTGGGAACTAGTCTACAGCATCATCGTCCTTCTATTCTCCATATCCGCAATCTGTGTGGCGATGCTCGCCTTCGCCGAGATCCGCGGCGGAACCCCGCCTGTTCTCGGCGCCACAGAGTGGCTCCCAGAGAGTATCCGCGGAGCTATCGCACGGGAATACGTTATACCTCCGCGGGATAAGCTGACGTACTTCGATACCTTGCTTGCGCCTCGTGGAAGCGGGGGTGATACCGATATCCCCGTGGCGACAATTGTCCCCACAGACTCGCAGATCGAATCCCTCCGCGAAATCCTGGACCGCGTACATCGTGCCGGCGCTGCACCAGCTGATCTGGAAACTATCGCGCCGCGATCCCTCTCTGTCATTGTACGGTGCGGTGCAGGGCAAAATGCCGAACAGAGCGTGATTGTCGAGACTGCTGTGTCTGCGTCGGGCGAGTCTGAGGAGGAGAAGCTGCAAGCCTGGAAGGATCTTTCTGCGTCCGAGCAGAGTGTTTGGAAACAGAGGCTTGCGGATGCGGGTCGTTGGACGGCTTCTGAAGGGGAGAGTGTTCTTCTTGGGGTTTTGTTCGGTGAGGCGTGTGGGGGATTGGGGAGGGCTGTGAGGGATGAGTTGCCTTGATTTCTTTTTTTTATCTTGGATTGGGATTTGGGAAAGGGAAGAGGCTGAGGGTTTGGATCTCTTTTGTTCTTTATGTACTATGAATTGCTAGATACTACCTAGGTAGTTTTACGTTTGTTAATGATATGTTGTCTTGCTACTGGCAGAAGAATCAATTGTTCGATTCTATTCTGAAAAATCAAAGACATTGAAAAGACATCGAAAAGATATCTTACTTTATACCCTTAAGTGGCATGTTGTAATTTCTGTTAAAAAGTACTTATACATATAAAGCTCTCTTCTACTAATTCAATAGCACAATCCCCTATATAGATCCTCAATTCGTCACTACCTAGGCCCAAAATAGGATGTGGTAACTAATTATGACTCAATTAGACAGAAAGAGAAAGCTCTCAAGGACGTTGGGGGGATTTAATGTAGCAGATACGATTAGGAGTCTTGCGAGGTAATGTCTACCTAGGTATAGTTCCAACGTTGGATTCTATTCGCATTCTAAACTTTGCGAAGCTCCCAGGTTACATATGTACAAAGGAAATGAGATGGGAAACAAGGTGACCCGGTAATCTCCACCAGAGCATCGAGGCAATACCCCCTACAGGCTTTGTAAAACATATTCGAAAATCTCATCTGGCTTGGGAACAGCGGCTTTCCCCTTCTGGAGGTCTGTACCCAGACGGACAAGCACATCGAAGAGCTTCCGTGGCTCCAATTCTCTTCTAGTGTGCTCTGCCTTGTCAACAAACCTCTTGAGCTCATCTCCAAATGCTTTCTGCTCTTCGCCACCTAGGACATATCGAAGCTCTGGTACATTTGCTATGGATGCAGCGTACCACTGGATGATCGCCTTGATCTGTCTATTCCCCCCAAAGGCGCCGCAGCCCCAAAGTCCAGTAGTAACAAAGGAGTAGGGTTTCCGGGTATTCCTAGAACAATGTGAGCAGAACGCGGTGTAGGCCTTCACCAATTCCCGATGTAGATAGCCTGGCATAAGGTCGGGAATGTTCTCTCCACCTTGTGGATGGGCGCGATCAACAAGGTCGAGTTCCAGGGCGTCCATGAATAGCATGACCCGGTTGCGCCAGTCAGACGATGGCCTTGGTCTGCCATGCAATATTTCGTCTAAGGAGGCCCATCTGCCATGTCCTTTAGTAGTAACGATTGCTTCGGCACCCTGGCAGATGAGGACCTGGCGATCCTTCAGAGGGGGCGCTAGCAGTGTCACTGGGCACGCCTTGGGGGAAATACCCACATGGAGCTCTTCTTGAGTACCTGTCGCACCAAGTCCCACGCACTTGTTAGCGGATATCACGCATGCGCCATCTGGAAGACCGAGGTATGTGATGTCTGTTGATTGGTGTGGGAGTTGGACAACTGCCAAACGGCTCAATGAGGCTGGCGCATTGCAAAGAAGAGATTGTGATTGGTCCTCAGACGTTACTATTAACGTGAAACTGATGGGCCAGTCTTCCACTGAGTGGTGTAAAATTCCACTGTCTGGTTCGGAGGCCGCTATGGCTTCGAAATACGTGAACAGTGCGGTTAGATACGCCTGCACAGCACCCTGGTGCATTGCCTCTCCAGCCGAGTACCAAGGCGACAAATTGACGAAGGACTCTGTCTGCCATGGATGGGCCGGCAGGGAGCACAAGAATTGGTGTACGACCAGACATGCAGCCTGCCTTCTGCTTAAAATAATCTGGCTAGTCTCCTCGCTTTTCAGCGGGGGGATGGAGTGGCTCGGGAATAAAGATGGCAGTTGCAAGGCAAGGCCGACTAGACGTGGCCACGTTGATGTAAAGAACTTGCTACCAGAAGTAGACGTCAGATACTTGGCGAGAAATTCCCCTAGGAACACATAGTTCCTGGCAGCCTTTCCGTGTAGAACAACTGATATCCTTTCCAGGGTATCGATGAGAGACGAGCTGTCAGTCACCGAGTTTAATGACTCGGCCAAGATACAAGTCAAAATCCGCCAAAAGGGAACTTCAGGTTCATCGCAAGAAACAGAGTCGAAGCGATCTGAACGCAGGATGGAGGGAGAACAGGGGAGAACGAATGTCTCAGACATTTTCCACTGTCTTGGCACTTCTTGGGAATAGTCCTGTACAGGAATAAAGCTGGCCTATGAGTTTGCAATGATATAGCACACTCTCAGGTCCAGGATTTCCAAGTTGGAAGGGAAGAATGGAGGGGGCAGGTATATGTAAGTAAGCTGCATTATTACCCGTGGACTGGAGCGAGAGCTATTCTCTGCCAAGAGGGTTTCAGCCCCGTATGGGCTTGGCAAGATCTGATCTTGTCCTTAAATATCACCTCATATAAGGCAAAGCCGAACACCCTCAGAGCCGAGCTCAGCCGCTTGAACCAGGACTCGCCACTCAGAGCAAAAGTCCTTGACCTGTCAATTCTGCGCAAAGCCATCAAAACCAAGAAAACCCAAAGACACGCAGCGGTGTCAGAATGTTTCAGCCTCATTCTGGATCTTATCGGAATACAAAGATCCCAGGGATCGTCACTGCGACAAATGGGCAGTTGGTTTCTCTGAAGCAGAAGTTCAGGAAGGTTGTTTGCAGAACAGTGTCCTCATCAATGCATCTTACTGAGAAGCTCGAGTATCAAACTCAGCATAGAATCGTTGCGGAGTAAGTTTCCCAGTACACATACCAAACTGCCTGGCTGAGCTTATATATGGTTACTTACTGTTGGAAAGGAAGTACTCAAACAGTGGGAGCACAGACGTCAGTTAACATCTCCGGAGTGAGGACAACGAATTCTGGGTGAGTTGGGCCCGGGGCTGCCTCACCAAAGTTGAATAGCGAAGTGGGATGCCAGAATGTTGGCCGGAGGCATCAACAGTGGTGGTGGATTGCGTCCGTTGCAGGTTAGTTAAGATAGACGGAGGCCGCGATCGGGTTGCCACACCGGTGTCATGGGCCACCACCTCTTCCCATAACTCAACCTCGACCGCGAAGCCCCGGGTGTCTTTGATTTTGAAAAGGAGGATAAGCTTCGTGGCACCGTCCGAGTTATTCCACCCCAATCGGGCTCCTTTCCGCAAAACCGTCCCTTTGAGCTCGTGGCGCCAATACCTACCCACGTGGATCTCGTCATCTGGCAATTCGCCGCCTCCATTGCCCTCGCGAAGTTCTGCTGTAAGAACACGATCAATTGCTCGTGCGCGTTTCCCGGCATGGTTTGGAATAGAACTTGCTCGTCGGTGAAAGTGGCCCTGGAGCCACTATGCTTTTTCTGCAGAAGTTGCTGAATTTCCTTTTTCTCGAGACCAGAGACCAGGAGGTTGTGGGTAGATATCCCGACATTCCCATCAACCGTTGCCTGGATCTGAGCTATCTTCTTCCGCGCTTGGCGTAGGTTGTCGGCCCAAAACTCTTCGGTGTTATCTGGGACACAGAAGTCTGACTCGCTAGGTGTTATTTTCGAAAATGAACTCTGTGGTTGCATGTCTGGGATTACTGTTGAAGACATCGAGCGGTCAACTATCTGGTCCGGAGAAGTTGTAAATGTGAACCTCGGAGGACCAGGTGTTACGGGGGCCTCTTTCCTCGGATTCGGTGAGGCCATCGTGCTTTCCTGAAACAGAATCAATCGATAAACGGTAGTCACAACTATGGCAATAGATAGCGCAAAATAATGGGTAGATTTGAAGCCTAACACAGTCGACGTGGAGTGACGTGATGTGCGAAGGTGTATGTTGTAAAGCCAGGACACAGTCCACTCGAGCTAATCTACCTAGGTACCTAGGTATAAAGGTTTAGCCCAATATTTCGGAGACCCCACCTATAGACTGTAGTACCTTGCTTGTTAAGGCTCTGTTATAGTAATTTAGGTTAATTTTCTACCAGTCTAAAATCAGGCATTTGACCTTTGGCCGTTATGCCCCTTCCCACAGGTCGTGCGCACTGAGTGGATCACGCTGCTCAGGTGCTCACAGAGCGCTCAGATCACGCTCAGTGAGTGGGATCATGTTGCTCAGTGAGCAAAACGCGGCAAGGGGTGAGCACTGAAACGAAAAGGGAAAGCCAAGACTCGTCTGACATTATCTTGTGTATATGTAACTAATAGTGCGTGTAAGCAACTGTTCTGTTCATGAATTTGAGTCATATAGGACAACCATGTATGAAATCGACCTTAGAGGGTTATACGAAGACATGTATTCGATCTTTTTGGACTGCGCAGCCAAATACGGCGCAAAGAGCCCAAGGTTACATACACCTCCAGGGCTATTATAACGTAAAAGTCGATTGGTTTTGAAGAAATCGAGTCAAAGTCACATCGGATTTTAAACTATTCTTCGCTTTTGTGCAAGGGCACATAATACAGTGCAAGTTGCAAAATCGTGAACGTCATGGGGGGAAACATGGTATTGTTTTGTGCAAGCGTCGAAGAAAAGTTGGAAAGGGGAAAAAGGAAAAAAAGACAGATGAAACGCCAAATTATCCACGCCCAGGGTTGTGTATGATAAGTAAAAAGAGCAGAGCAGCAATGATATCTTCAAGAGTGCAATCAAGGAGACGGGGAATGAAGCACACGTGAAGAGAGCGGCTCCTGTGAGAATGCAAGTGAGACATGGACATCTAAACGAAGATGCGTAAATAGGACCCAGATGTTGCTCCAAGTTGCGGTAGATAAAGAGCAGAACGGAAACCTCAGGTATTTACTAGCCAGTGGCCTTCTTCCAGCGGAGAAGCTCAGCCAGACTAGCCAGGCTGCATCCAGTCTGCAGGAATTCGTGGGCGAGGAGCTCATCAGCGGAAGCGCGGCTGTGGACATTGACGCAGAGGCAGACGCTCAGGAAAGACTTAAGCTCCTTGCTGAGCTTCTCGGGCTTCTTGAGACGGGGGGGTTCCGTTGGTGGCAATAAGGTAGAGGGCCTTCAGGGGTTCTTCGTTCAGGTAAGGGGGCTCTGACTCGATCATTTCGATGGCCATGATGCCTAGCGACCAGCAGTCGACCTTCGGGCCGTACTCCTTCTGCTTGACCACCTCGGGTGCCATCCAGTAAGGGGTGCCGACCATGGTGGCTCGCTTGCTCTTGGTTTCGGTCAGCTTGGCGCAGAAGCCGAAATCGGTGATCTTGACGTGGCCGACACGGTCGAGGAGGACATTGTCACTCTTGATATCACGGTGGATGATGCTCTGGTTGTGAAGATGGGCCAGACCCTTACAAGTCTTGGGGTAAAACGTTAGTAATTGGATGAAAACAAAATTGGATGAAAAAACATACCTCAGCACAAATTGTCGCGATCTGACCTTCAGTAATTACTGGGTTATTATCAATCACGTCAGTCAACGCGCCACCCTCCATGAACTCCATGACAACCCAGAGTTCATTGCTTGATTCCTGCAAGAACGAGTCCAGGAAATTGACAATATTCGGGTGCTGACTGTCCTTCATGACAATAATTTCGTTGACGATCAACTCCTTGCGGGGCTGACTGCGCAGGTCCATCTGCTTAATGGCCACCTGGCAGCGCGGGCCATACGTCCGGTAAAGCTCGTGGGCAACACTGGAAGGTGCGCTTTCCTTAACGCGCGCCACATACACGGATCCAGATGCACCCTGACCAATCTTGCGCTGCTTGCTGTAAGACTCGTTCGGGTTGTCTTTGGATACGACAGATCTCAGTCGCTCCATGACCTCGTTCTCTGACATGGCCGACATGCGCACCTCCTTCTGGCGTGGCTGATCTGCCTTCTTGGTAAGAGCAGCTTCGGCCTGGCGAACGCCATCGGGGACGTTCTGCTTGTTCCCGTTTTGCTTGTTGGCAATGTTCAACGGCTTCACAGCCTGAACAGGAGCCGGCAGGCGTGTCGGAGGGGGTCCGGCCTGTCCCTTGGAACCGTTTTGCTGATGACGGCTGGCCGATCCTGGGGCCCGAGGGTCACTGGGAGGGTAGCGGGAGCTTGGGGAGCCTTGGCGGTCATCAGTGCGAGGAGCACCCGGTGCTCGGGGCGCGTTTTGGCTGTAGGGATTCTGCGACGGTGGCGCTGGTGCGGGACGCTGTGCCGTGAGCTGCCGGGGGTCTTGCTGGCGTGCAGCAGCTCCTGGAGCCTGAGGGGCGGGGCGGCTTGGTTGATAGCGGCTATTCTGTGATGGCTCGTCGCCGCCATATCCACCAAGCTCTTGTTGAGCCATATTGGGACGGCTCTTCGGGATGGAAGCATTATAAGCGTCTTGCTCCTCCTTGTTGCGACGTTCCTCTTCCACACGGCGACGCTCTTGGTCGGCCATTTCCTTCATCCGTTCAACTTGCTGTTGGTGGTCTGCCGCACGGTCCGACTGTCCAACTGAGGATGACGCAGAGCGCATAGAACCGTCAGATTTCGACTGACTGCTATCAAGGCGCTGCATAGGTCCTGGTGGTGGAGGACGCGGGGGTGCGATGGAGCTACCAACACTACTACCGTATGCCTTGGATTGACCGTTGGACGGGGAGTTGATTCCAGCATAGTATTGAGGGTTCTGCTCGCGCATCTTGATATCCGAGTAGAATTCAAGAACCTCAATGACAGCCTGGGGGTTCTTCTTGTAGTCTTCCTTCGTGATAGCGGAGGATGTCAAAAGCTTCTCCCACTCGGGGGGCAAACCTACAAAGGCGCCGGTATTTGGGTCAAAGCCGACGTGAACACGGTGACTAAAGTTTGTCGGGTTGCTGACGCCGCCCATTCCGGGGCAGCGCTCGTAGATCTTGTCGATCCACTCGTAGATTTCATCATCGGACTTGACTTCGCAAGTGATGGTCTTGGTAGGTAGGTCGCGGGCAAGAAGTGAGGCTTTGGAGTTTGCATCCTTCGGATTGGCCAAGCGAGTGACCTCGAAGGCCATCTTGGAATCCTCGGAGCGAGCGACAGCGGTGACCGAGGACAAAGGGAATGTAATCACTACCTTGCCAGAATCACTCTTTAAAAATTCAAGTTTATATTCACGTAGGATCAAGTAACGTGTATTCCAAGTCGCCAAGAATTTGTCCTCTTTGCAGCGGACGGTGCCTTCTTTGATGATTGAGATCCCATTTTGGCCGGTATTACTCCGAGTCATAGCCAGCGAAGGACTACTGGTGTTCGGGAAAAGCGAAAGATTTGCCGTCGACGGAACCGGTGTGCTCGGAGAGTCCAAGCTCATCTGACCGAAGGAGGTGGCTGTGTTGTTGGTTGGTAGAGTCAACTTGGGGGGTCGATCGGTAGGGGGCGGGGGCTGGCCCCGGATTCATGAACTGCTCCGGCGCGTACATGTTGCTGTGGAGGGTGAATAAATGTCATCGGATTCGGAGAAAGATGGTAATGGTGCGGTTACGTACTTTCCATACGAAGTCATTGTTCAAGGGATTTCACAGGTCGCGCAGGGGGTGCGGAGGGGGGTGGTAAACGAATGCGCCGAGACCTCCTGAGGTCTTCAAGACCGGCTCGCGCTACTAAATGAGAATTAGCAACTGCATTTGGGGAGAGGATAGTCAAAAGAACGATTCCCAATGTTCTCTTTGTCATGGTAGTCACTCGAACATACTAGCTTCCCGAGACAAGGGAGAGTAGAGTAGTATTGAGAAGACCGAAGGAGGGGTAGAATGGGTACCTTTGTTAGAAAATCAGGAGCGGCCCTCGCACTGCGAGGATGCTCGAGAATAAACAACGCAATATCGAAATAAAATAAAATAAAGAAGAAGAATCACCGAGAAAAGTGGCAGGGAAGAAGAGAAAGGGGGAGGAGGAGATGTCCCCTGAGATAGGGCCCGAAGTACTTTGGAAGTTCATCTACAGAAAACAAGCCTCTGCCAATCAGAATAGTCCATAGGGGGGGATTGGATCCACGGTCTCCCACTTAATCGGATTTCCTGGAAGTTCTACATTTTGACCTTCTTCGATTCAATGTTCTTTGATTCTTCTGATTCTTAAGTACATTCAAAACAATATTATATATTATATGTTATACCTCTCCAAATGGATGATTGAACTTCAACAATCCATTCAATCCACCTACCCATCCCTCATGGGCTTCGCACCCCACACTTCTTCGCATCACACTGGGTACACCACCCTGCCACTCATTCTTCCCATGACGCATCTCCTCATTCCAAACTCGGACCTCCATACCAACTGCCATCCCTTGGCCTAAATGAACACCATCCAGACTGACTTCTAGTTCGCGCCCTCGGTTCTTTTCGCTCAGCCGCAGTGTGATGGGGGTGCTGGAAGGAAGAACCAATGGCCGGAAGCTGAGGCTACGCGCGCAAATCGGCGTTAAGAGGATGGATGGGACTAGTGGATGCACAATGCTACCCCCGCTACTCAGGCTGTAGGCTGTACTTCCCGTGGGCGTGGAAATTATAATTCCATCTGCCACAGCCTCAGTCAGGAACCGCCCACCCACAAACACATCTACCACAGCCAAGTGCGGTTCCTTGCCACGGTGGATGAGGAGCTCGTTCATCACGTATACCCCCTGGCCCTGGTCGGTCTTGGTCCGGATAGGCGTCGTTTCGGTTCCGTCGGCGGCAAACAGTCCTACTTTCAACCGGTTGCGCATCAGAATGCGGGCCCCGCGCGTAGAGCCCATAGATTTGCCCCGGACGGATGACCACCCGGTCGGACCCATCTCAGTTTCCTGTTCTGTGAGTCCCGCCCCGGGGACATCTTCCAACACATGGGTCCGATCCCCTGCCCCGGCTCCAGACATGTAGACTTCTCGGAAAGCCCGCTTAAACTCTGAGAATTTCCACTCACTCAAGAAACCCAATGTACCCATGCTGAACGAGAGGACGGGCGGAACGTTTGAACAGGTCGCGAAGACCGACGCTGCATGTAGAATCGTACCATCGCCGCCCAGGGTCACCGTGAGATCGACTTTATCGTGAAGCGCCGTCGTTTTCTCGTCAAGAGAAACAGAGTAGACAGGAAAAGAGAGCGAAGAATGTACTTCGGCGGCAGTCTTGGACTCAAGTATCACCGCGATAGATGGGTATGTAGAGGAAACATGACTCGTAGATGTTAGCCTTGTGCCGAGTCGCTTCCCATGAGCATGTCTTCAATCTTACTTGACGAATTCAATCAGGGAATCGGTAACCGCCGGGGCGCAGTCTTTGCGCACCAGGAAAATATTTCGCGGCGGCGCTGGCCACTGGAGACACAGGAGCTCTCCGTCGCAGGATTCTGAGAAAACCCATTAGTCTTCGAACCAACAAATCAGACTGACACAACAGGACAGGTCCAAGTCACACCTTGGTATTTTGGTATTAAGCGCTGAGACAAAGAGCCGATGTCTTTGATCTCGTGACGTGGTCGAGACGTGGAAAAATGCTGGCGCAAGGCGAGGCGGGGACTCCTGCAGAGGATGGCGCGGAGCATGTTGTAAGGAGGATCGCAGGCCTATCGACCCTGGTCATGTGTATCAGCTAAAAGGACTCCAGTCAAGAGGATTCGAATTTGGGTTGCTCACATCAACGCGCCATGTTTCAGCCCAACGTAGGAACTGGAGCCCTAGAGTGTAATAAGCTGACACAAGAGTTAGTTTTATAGCTCCAGGATCTCAGAGGAAGGATGAATCACAAAGAAAAGAGAGTCAAGAGTAAATAATAAGAAAGTTGGGTGACGTTATGAGGCTGTGACCGTCATTTTGGATCCACACGATCCGCCTGATTTCCCCCTCCAACTCTCCAACTCCAACTGACCCAGCTCTCCAATACTTATTCCATTTTGATCCCACAATCTCTATTATTATTATAAGCCTCCCCTAGGACATGGCAAATTATTTCATCTTCTAGCTTCTGTCTAGCTTTTGTTGCGTTGAGCCCACATCGATCATCAATATCTCCGCATCCGACCAGACCATTTCTGTGTGTGGGCTCTGTACAGCTGTAGAAGCGTTAGCTTCCAGTCTAACACTTGACTTTCTACCTCAGTTCTCAACCTCTAAGGAATAGGGATCTTCGGACCTCCAAATTTCCACCATGGAGCCTACCGAGGTTCGACAGCGCAAGCCACCGACCACTAAGGATGCTGGGGAGCTCCAGAAGCTCTCGACCAAACCACCTTCCGAGCCCCGTCTCAAGCATGGCATTCCCATGCAGATACTTCGCTCGCTTCTGCTGATAACGTGGGCGGATTGCTGTATTCTGGCGATCTGTGTGACGCAACTAATCGGCTGCCCGCTGTATCTCATCAACAGATATTACTACTATTCATATATGGCATATACAAAACAATGTTTTGGGTTGGTTCTCGGTTCTGTCACCCAATGGAGCTCCCCGACGCTCTTCCGGGTCAGTGGTGATGCTAGCGTGCGTGGGCAAATCCATCTATCCAAAGATGGTTTGCTGGAGACGAGGTTCCCGGAGCGTCTCGTCATGATCTCAAACCACCAGGTATACACTGACTGGGTTTACCTCTGGTGGGTTGCATACACCAACCAGATGCATGGCCGCATCTTCATCATCTTGAAAGAGTCGCTTAAGTATATCCCTATTGTCGGCACGGGCATGATGTTCTACGGTTTTATCTTCATGGCTCGCAAGTGGATGTCCGACAAGCCAAGGCTCCAACATCGTTTGGATAAGCTGAAGACAGTCTACACCGGCTCCAACTCAGCTCGCCCACAGTACGATCCTATGTGGCTGCTAATCTTCCCCGAAGGGACAAACCTGTCCATCAATACCAAGAGACGCAGCGACATTTGGGGAGAGAAACAAGGGCTGCCTTCATTCAAGCACGTGATTCTTCCGCGGTCTACGGGTCTGTTCTTCTGTCTTCAGCAGTTGCGGGGAACCGTAGACTGGGTGTATGATTGCACCATGGCCTATGAAGGACCACCGTATGTTTTTTTTTCGCGTCTATCCCTTTTTCCTGCTACTAGAACGATACTCACAAGTTTGGCTATAGAAAGGGAAGCTATCCCGATAAATACTTCACTCTTCGCTCCACATACTTGCAAGGACGACCGCCGACCTCAGTCAACATGCATTGGAGACGCTTCCAGGTTTCAAAGATTCCTCTTGATGACCAGAAGGAGTTTGAGGAATGGCTGACAGCACGCTGGGCCGAGAAGGATCAACTTATGGATCAGTACTTCGAAACTGGCCGCTTCCCAACCGAGTTGGCCGGGTCGATCAAGGCTGACCATGCAGTAGATGGCCAACAGGCTGCTGCTTTGGCTGGATATGTCGAGTCCTATGGTAGCCTACATCACTGGAGTGAGCTTGGTCTTATCTTTGTGGTGCTGGTCAGTGTTGCTGTGCTCTGCAAATTTGTAACAAGCTGGATGCAGTGATGTGGATACCGTACCTAGATATTCAATTATTCAATCTAGTGAATGTGATTTCATTTAGTTGCTCTATATTATTTGGAAATCATTGAAAGTGGTCATTCGTTAGATCCAGAGATGAATGAATGCATTTAAATGCACTTTTTGTTCATTGTATGCAGTGTGGCGCTCTGTGGCAGTGCAGCCCAGCCACTGCGATCGTCCAATTCTCTCCTTCTCATCGCCGCGCTGTTAGTCTCCGAGAGTCACTTTTTCGCGTTTTCTCCAAATTCGAGGTCGCTAACCTCACCGGTCCTAATCCTGAAATCTCTTTGATGGACAACCTCGCTTGATCATGAGTTGAGGCTCCTACAATTCCATACCTACTCGCAAAGTGGCCTCATCCCTCCCGTCCCCGGACACACCATGGCGCCTCTTGAGAATGGCCAAACTAATGGCTTGAACGGTGATGCTGTACCTTCAGCTAGCCCATTGAACAACCTGCGCTTTTCCGACATCCCCGATGCTATCGACATTCCCGCATCCAGCTTCGACAGCGAAGTCGAAGTCAGCTTGCTCGAGCTCCCCGATGACCCGACTGAGCTTTGCACTCTCTTGGAAAATGAAAAAGCGGCCAAGAACTTCTGGGTGATCATTGCTCTCGCCTACGCCAAGCGAAAGCAGATCGACCATGCCATCGACATCTTGACTAAGGGTCTGGCCTCCGTCGCGCACGGGGCGACAAAGGAGAAACTCGGTCTGCTGGGCTGGATCTGCTGGATGCTGCTGCTAAAGAGCCGACATGCTCCTCGAGTTGCACCTGAAGGAGAACTATACTCGGAAGCCAAGACCAAAGATCACTACCTCCAACTTGCGACGTCGACGTTGAACGAGGCTTCCCGACTCAACCCGGCTTATCCTCCTCTCTTCCTGGCGCGTGGCGTCTTGTGTCTCCTCCGTGCATCCCTATACCCGCCCCGTGCCGTTCGTCCAGGTGCGGTTGATACCTCGGAAAGAGTCGAGTCGCTGCGGCAGGCTCTGAAATGTTTTGACGAGTCATCCAAAGCCTTTGGTGGCCGGAACATCATGGCTATTCTGGGACGTGCCCGCGCGCATTACATGCTCGGAAGATACGCAGATGCACTTGAAGGATACCAAAAGGCTCTGATCAAGATGCCTAACCTCACAGACCCTGATCCTCGTATTGGTCTAGGATGCTGCTTGTGGCAGCTGGGCTTCAAGGATCAAGCCAAGGTAGCTTGGGAGAGATCACTGTCTCTGGTATGTTAAGAAAAAAAAAATTCCTCTCAAGGCGGTTTCTTAAATAGCATGATAACTAACCTCCGTCGCTATGCAGAATCCCGAGTCCAAGGTTGCCAACGTTCTGCTCGCAGTTTACTACCTCCACGACAGCTCTCGCCGAGCCACCACCGACCCTATGTTCGGGTCAATGTACAAATTAGCAATGACTCAATACACCCAAAAGGCATTCAAACTGGACAAGGAATACCCGATGACCTGCTCCATGTTCGCCAGCTATTTCCTTCTCCGCAAACAATATCCCACCGTCGAGACATTGGCACGCAAAGCCATCGAGCACACGGATGTTATGTCTATTGCCAGTGACGGCTGGTACCTTCTCGGTCGCAAATCGCACTATGAAGGCGACAATGCCCGTGCTGCGGAGTTCTACAACCGTTCGGATCAAGCTCGTGGTGGGGTTGACAAAGGCTACCTTCCCGCCAAATTCGGCGCTGTGCAAATGCAGATCACGAACAAGGACTTTGATGGTGCCAAGTTCCGACTAGAGAAGATTGTTCAGCAGTCGAAAAATCCAGAGGCGATGACCCTCCTTGCTGCTATTCACGCGGAAGAAGTCTTTGCTGCTCAGAAGTCAGGCAGCAAGGAAGACAAGTCGACTGAGACAAAGCGAGCCATCACTCTGCTTGAGTCGGTGCGCTCTATGTGGAAGGATGAGAAGCAAAATATCTCTCCCGACGAATCGGTTCTTGTTTACCTTTCCCGCCTCTACGAGGGCACGGCTCCAGATAAGAGCATGCAGTGCCTGACCCAACTGGAACAGATCCAGATTGCTGAAATCCCTGAGGATGCTCGACCTGATATCGAGGACCAGGAGAAGATGAACGCTGCTCTTAGGGAGAGTCTCCCACCGCAGCTCCTCAACAATATGGGCTGCTTCCTATACCAGAACGACAAGATCGCACTGGCTCGTGGGTTGTTCCAGTCTGCCCTCAATGCCTGTGTGCAATCCAAAGAAAAAGAGGATGGCACCGATACCGATGCGCTCGTCACCACAATCAGCTACAACCTTGGACGGACTTACGAGGCAGCCGACATGTGGGACGAAGCCAAGAAAGTCTACGAAGGTCTTCTGGAGCGTCATGCTGACTACACGGAAGCTAATGCACGCCTGACATATATTGCCCTTCGCCAGAGCCCTACCGACGAGGGCCCTAAGAAGATTGGCAAGCTTTACGAAGCGGAAAGCACAAATCTGGAAGTTCGGTCGCTCTACGGATGGTACCTTAGCAAGGCGAAGAAACGAGTCGCCAACCTTGCTGAAGATAGCGAGCAACGTCATTTCAAGCACACATTGCAGTACTATGACAAGCACGATCGCTACGCGTTGACTGGAATGGGCAATGTGCATCTCCTCGCCGCCCGTGACATGCGTCGTGACACAGACCAAGAAAAAGAAAAACGTCGCAAGATTTATCAGCGTGCTGTGGAGTTCTTTGACAAGGCTCTCCAACTGGACCCCAAGAACGCATATGCCGCTCAGGGTATTGCCATCGCCTTGGTCGATGACAGGAAAGACCACAGCTCTGCTGTGCAAATTTTGTCCAAGATTCGGGATACGATTAAGGACCCCAGCGTCTACCTCAACTTAGGACATGTCTTCGCTGAGCTTCGCCAGTTCTCGCGGTCAATCGAACACTACGAGACTGCCTTGTCAAAGGATCGCCAGCGCGATGTGCAAATCTTAGCTTGTCTTGGTCGTGTATGGTGGCTACGGGGCAAGCAGGAGGCAAACTTGGCCGCAATGAAGACAGCACTGGACTACGCCACACGCGCGCGCGATATTGCTGCGGATCAACTCCACCTGCAGTTCAACGTTGCTTTCGTGCAGAACCAAATCGCCTCGCTCGCATACGGTCTACAGCCCACCCAGAAGACGCTCCAAGATGTCCAAGAGGCAGCGGAGGGCCTCAAGGAAGCCATCGAAACCTTCGAGCGTCTTTCCAAGGAGAAGAACCCGCCCTACCCCAGCGCCGCGTTGGAGCAACGAGCCAATATGGGTCGCACAATCAGTAAGCAGCTTGACCGAGCCATGCAGAGCCAGAAGGAGTACGAAGAGAAGAATGCCGCGAAGCTCCAGCAAGCCCGTGAAGCCCGCGAAGCAGCCGCGCGGGTCCGGGAAGAGGAACTGCGCAAGGCCCAAGAGGTTGAGATGGAGCGCAAGAAGCGCATCGCCGAGGAACGCGCTCAGATGGTTGAAGAGGTGCAACGGCACGCCTTACAGCGCGCTGAAGAGGAGCGCGCTCGCGAGGAGGCCGAATTGACTCATGACTCTGAGACCGGTGAGCGGGTCAAGCGCAAGAAGAAGCCTGCCAGCAAGCGCAAGAAGAAGGGCGGGGACGATTTCATTGCGGATGAAGGTGAAGGCGAAGCTGCGCACAGCGCGGCCGAGAGTGAGGGCGAGGCGCCCAAGAAGCGGCGCCGCTTGGGACGCCGGTCGGGCGGGAAGGCTCAGGCCGAGAAGCCCGAGAAGCCTGGCAAGTACAAGAGCAGCGAGATGGTTGTCGACTCTGATGACGAAGACGCTGCTAAGTCTGCTGGCGAAGACAAGGATGATCTGTTTGGCGACGACGAGGAGCCGGCTGAAGAAGCTGCCCCACGCCGTCGTGGCAAGGCTTCTCGTCGTATTGCTGATGATGACGAGGATGAGGACGAGGAAGAGGAAGTGCAGCAAGAAGTGCAAGCCGAGAAGTCTGTCCATGAAGATGACAAAGATGACGACCTGTTCGGCGAGGAGCCTTCGAAGACTACCGAGGACACGGAGATGCAGGAGTGAATTATGCCACATTACAACTACTTTTTTCTGTTACTCTTCAAAGTTCTATTTTCCATTTTTCTCATCCAGGCGTCTGGTAAGGGGCCATCTACTGCAATTGATACATTTCCCCCCTTGTGCTTCAAGGCATATGTACTTATTAGCCTCGATCGTTATCAGTCTTCAATGAAATCAAAAAGAACACCTGTGCATTGTTCGAACAAGACCATTGAAATAAATAAAAATACCATACCAAGCCCTTCGTACATATGTAGCCACTAAGGTAAAGCTGATATGTAAACGCCACAAGGAACGGCCAAATACCGGCGTTTACAGATCTTGGAAGCCTCAGTAAGAAAGGAAACCCCTAATTCACTGCGCAACTAACTCCAAAAGGAAGTCGAGCGGAAGAAATAAATTAAAAAGGAACAACGCCAGGCCCAAGCGCAGCGCACTTGCATTGAATTAATCTATAGAAATGTAATTCTATATTCCCGACGGAGCAGAACGAATCTGCTCAGGGCTGATCTCCCTATGTTGTAAACGGAACTCCGCTGGAGATAATCCTTACCTAGCAGATGGCTCGGTACGGAGGAATCTCAGACATGGCTTGCGCGGGCCCCAGAAATGTTGGATTTAAACGTGTGGTCACTGGTGGGATAGACCCCTGCCACCCTACGGAGCACCGAGGAGCTACTCCATATTCGTCTAGCTGCTTGGCTAGTGAATTAAACTGCCCCATGTAACTGGATCTGGTAGTAGGTGTATGCACTCCCGGAGGATTGGAGGGGCTGTGTCTTATGCTGCGTCAGCGTTGGATTGGGGGGCTACCTATTATCTCGTGTAATAGGGCATGTTTTTGGTAGGAGCTTTTACTCTGTGCGTCTGGGCAAGGTTTCTGTACTCTTTACGGAAGAACGGAGTACAATAGACTCCGTACTAACTTTGGATATCTACTCTGATGATCGGTGGAGGATGAAGTAGATCTCACCTTGGAATTGACAATTTCGCACTCCGTACCCCGTACAATCCCAGGCTGCACACCGAATTGCTTACCCTGGTCAAAGTTCATGATCCTAGGAAAGTAACACGTAACCAGAGGAGACCCTAACATACCATCCAAAGCCGCTATATCGACATGTGAAATGGATACCACCTAACGCCCCAGCCGGTGGGACCCGCAGGAAGACGGAATATACTTTTTTGGTAGGAGTAGGAACGAGCTTCTAAAGTTAAGACAAATCTCGCACATACATACTTCGTACGTTCTAGTAGAATTCGATGGGCGGAGATCGGGCTGTTACGGATGAGAAATAACTTTATTTTTGTTAAGCTTGGAAGGTTCCATGGATTTTCTTGACCTTAGTCAGGCTCTTACTGATATGTTGATGCTACCTACCTACCTAGGTAGGTAGGTAGGTAGGATGTTAGCATACCCAAATGTAGCTCATGAGCTTTAAAAGAAATCTCTCCTGTGGCTCAATTTTTATCAAACCCCCATTCTTCTCGAGAAAAACAAAAGCAAAGTAACCCCTAAATATAGAGAGATTCCAGGTGCGTAGCATCGAGTTCACCGATGATATCAACCGCAGGCAGCATTCTGTGGTTCACCGCCCAAAAAGTTAAGGATCGTCAACAAACTACAATCAACGTATCATTTCTCTCCAACCCTATTATTGTCTACCTCGATCACGGTATACCTCTATGCGGAACACAAGGCCAGTTCCTAAGACCTTTGCCATCTCCATTCTCTCCACTACCAATCCGTAAGCCCCATTGGGCATCCACTTCATCGGAATTACGCATATGTCATAGATCAAGGTCTACTTCTATACTGCCCAGCCAAGTAGAACACAATCCAAGCCGACGCTTAAGTTCGTAGAGCACGTCAACTATCATGCTGCAAACATCTATCTAGAGATCAGGCATGAGAGTACAATATGTACTTAAACGACCTAGTCATCTCCCCAGGGATGTCACTAGCCAGTTTCTTTTCTTACCTATATCCACCAGTTAAGGACAGTCTAATTCAAGCGCACCCCTTCTCCTATCCAGTGAGTATATACCTATACCGTTCTGGAACCTAGCTCAAGCAGTCAGTTGTCTAACAACGACTCCAGTTTGAACCAATATCAAAATGCGTTACGCTCTCATCGCTCCCGTCCTTTTGGCGGTCACGGCACTCGCTGTCCCTGTCCCCAACCAGGGTGATGTTAGTGTTGCCAAGCGTGATGTTGGAGATGGCATTGATGCCGCTGCCGATGCCAACGTTAGCGGTGATGTGAGCGCCGATGTCAAGCGTGATGGCGGAGATGGCATTGATGCCGCTGCCGATGCCAACGTTAGCGGTGATGTGAGCGCCGATGTCAAGCGTGATGGCGGAGATGGCATTGATGCCGATGTCGATGCCGACGCCGACGTTAGCGCCGATGCGGCTGTGGATGTCTAAGAGTGGTGCAGCGGTGGTCACGGCGGCGGTCGTGGTGGGGATGACTCCGGCTCTGATGTCGTCGTCAATGTCGGCGGCGTAGAGACCGGAGTCGCCAAGTGAAGTAACAACGACTTGCCTATAGAGGTGGCCATCATCTCAACGAGGAGGCCACCGGAATGGTCAAGTTCTGAGGATCTAGTTGGTAACAAGGAGGCAGATACCACAACCTCGAACGAGCTATCTAGGTCTTATGATATAATTGTGGCATTCCACACTTTATCTCAAGCAACCTTGGAAAGCTTACGTGCAACTTAGAATTTGGTGGACTGCTAAATTTTGGTCTCGAAAGACAAAGAATTGGTTATGGATTTGCCTTAATATCGCTCTAGTCTTAATGAGCTTTAATGCCTGAAAACCAAAAATGTAGGCTTCAATATTTCAATACTCCCACATTTTCAATACTTTGAATATGCTGTATACAGTAGAGGGTAGTACACAAAGGAAGAAAGATAATCGACTATTTCCAATAGTCTACCATTTGTTTGTCTGTTATTTGGTTCATTCCGAAGTGCCCAAACTAGGAAGTCCCGTGTATCGCAAATATGCCTTCAGAATGAAAGGAGCCCCCTGTATGTAGTACCATCAACAGCTAATCCTGCCACGCCTTATTATGCACTTGAATTAACGTCCATGTCAGGTTACATTGGGATCTTAACCTGGGTCGTTGCACATGGTAGCATTTAATATTGATACATTGATACCCCCCCTATATCTAGGGAGTAATGGACTGAAATATGGTTTAAAGGATTCAGCCTCAGTAACATGGCGGATATCAATCGCCCCTATAACTAGTTACCTAACTTAGTTAACCAACTACTAGTTACAATATTAGACTGATCCATTCTCCACAGGATAGTTCCAACGGGCGCATACATATGTACTTTACCCAGATAGGCGACCGTTGGATCGTGCCCGGGCTAAGAGGATAGCGCGTTACGCGACATTAAACTACAATTTACGGTCACCGTCCAGCGGGAAAATGACGGGATACAGTTGCAATTGACTTTGAAGATACGGAGTACGGAGTCGTCCGTACATAACTACCGGCGTCGGGGACCAGCTTCTTGTTTCAGGGGAATTAGATCTGTCGATCCTCGGGAAGCATGAAGAGGAACGTGTTCGTGATAGGCGAACCATGTGAATGAAGATGGGGAAGAACCTTGGAATTATTGTTTTGCCGAATCCTCCCAATTCCCTCCTCTTCTAGAATGTGTCCCTTCAAACCTTATGTCGCGCTACTCGACATCGTAGTCGTACTACCTGTCTTTGCTATACCTATAATCATACCTAACTATACGGAGTACGGAGTATACAGTTATACTATCCTACTATTTATCCACATTGTCTACTTTTTGAGGCCTCGATCCATCTTAAAATTGGATTTCCATTATACTAGGACGGAATCCTACTGTATTTGATCCCTTCGTTTCAAAAATGTAACCGAAAAAGCAAAGTAGAGATCTGACAGCCGACGACACTCCAATCTCGGGGCATATTCCTCACACAGATCTCAGCTGAGGAAGAACACCGAGGACCGCTTGGGCCTATGATATAGACACGTACTCGGACTCCGTACAGTGCTCGATGACGATCATCATGGACGCGAAACGCGAACGGCCGGAGGTGGGGCACGTGCTTCTTGGTTGAACCTCCTGAAAAGGGATAATAGTACGAAAGTAGTGGACAGAGTACTCCGTACAACATCGACAGTTACATAAGGAATTAAGAATATCAAGTCCACGCAGGTACGATACGCACAATGTAGGAACAGTACTCCGTACGTGTTCTAGACTACGAGATCATCGGGAGTCCACTTTACACTACAATACACACTACAACTAGCGGTATATTGTACTCGGAAATAGAATGAGACCTTTTTTTTGCCTTTCCCCCTCGGGCTTCTCCCTTGTTTCGGATCGTGCTAGCTGCAGGCTTAGGTCCACTTCCACACCAGATAGGAAGCTGGTTGTTGACTATAGAACTACGCAAGTGAATATTAGAATATGTGTGTGACGAGTCACCACAACGATAAAAGGTAATTATGTGCAACAATAACAAGCACGAATTGCATCAAAATCAATTCTATTTAGTACTACTTCCAGGGTGATAATATGCACATACCAGGCACAATGGATATACCCCGCTCCGAGACAATGCAACTCTCCGACAGGTAAAATGTAAGGATGCGGTGACTCCCAGATGCTCACATTCTTCAGCTTCATCTTGCATCCCCGACGCAGTGTGAAGTTTGCATGTAGTCTGATATATTTTGCTTTTTCTTTAATTAACAAGAAGGGCTCGCTCTCAATTCGCATGAGATAGGAGGCCGGCAGTCCCCGAGGCTTGGACTAAGCGAACAGCCCCTACAGCTGCGTAGGATCACAGGAACAAACTTGCATGGAGATCCTTGCCTGTCCACCTTTTTTACAGGGATGTCTAGGTCGAACTAGAGGAACTGGAGAAATGCCGGAGCACATGTATACCTAGGCTATAATACCATTCTAAAATTGCCTCTATAATAATGTTATTATGGACTTCAAGTTTGGACCCCACTGCCGAATACCGAAAGTAGATTGCGATCTGTGACTGGGCTCTGTTTCACAAGCCCTATGTTTTCAAACTAGAATCAGTTTTAGGGCCGGATCCCTTGATGAAAACCGTTGAACCGAGGCTCCGCTATACGCGGGGAAGGGAAGAGGCGTTTCTGTCAGGTTTCAGACCTCACGCAAGGCATTCTAGGAGGAAAGAGGAAAGGGGAAAGGGGAAAGGGAATATTATTCGGACACAAAGAATCTAATAAATCAGAAACAGAGATAATATGTACCATATGTATGTATACTACGTTGCAAGGAAAGGGAAAACACATCCAAGGTTCCAGTGTGCGCCCCGACTTATCACGATAAGGGCTTGTCTCTCTCCACTCAAGCCTGGACTCCTAACGTTGCTACCTTGGTATGTATGGAGTAAGGAATTATTAAGTGTACAATATACAACATACAATATGGAACTGTTTCAATATTGTCATTGGATATTCAAATGAATATCTTGGCCAATGGAATTGACTTATACAATAACATGCATATGGAGTATTGTAGTAGGAACAAAATTTATAAGCCAGATCGCGTATATGCGTATATCGTGTGCCCAGCTCCCCCTCTCTCCCGTGTCCACGGGTCAAAGCTAACGGTGAACCTTGGAACCTTAGAACCTTGGGTAAGGAAAAATACAAAAGAATAAATAAATATTCAAAACGGGGCGTATCGGAAGGCTGATACTTGCTCAACTAGGAATAGCTTATTTTACTTTTCCCCATATGTGGGTCTCCAGCACGTTCAGGACCAACCCCCTGGCTCGATACATATGCCACTAAGGCAGTTAGGTATCGGCTCCCTGACACTGGGAATTCCCGAATTTCTTTACATGGGGATGTTTGAGGTACGTACCTTGGTTACTATCCCGTGTGTATATTGTATTTGCTTTATTTCTTTGGTTCTCATTTTTTGGTTTGTTTGTGTGTGGAATATGATCAATATGATCAATAGAAAAAAACCAATCAAGCCGGCAGAGTGCATGGTATAACCGCTCTAATTCAAACAAAGAGAGAGGAACAAATAGATCTAGCAGAAATAACACAGATATACAATATAGGAGATGGCTATAACATCATATACTAATAATGGAAAAAAAAAAAGAAAAAGAAAAGTAAATACCATAAATACCCCTGAACGCGGCTCCACCACCGCTCCGTGTCATGTATTGCCCCCGTCATCGAGTATTCTATTAATTTATTATAATCGGCACGACCTCTTTCTGTTCCACTCGAGAACCGTTCCTTTCCACTTTCGCTCCTTTGTGTTGTAGGTGGCGGAGATCTCCAGATTTCATCTTATCATGGTGTAGTTTCTTTCATTCACTTCCCACCATGTCGACCTTTCCACCCCCAATGGCTAAAGCCTGGGACAACGACGACGGCAGTGACCGTCCGTCCACGAACTCGTCCAACGAGCACCCAGAACATGCCGCACATATCCGCTCCAGGTCCACTGCCCACGCTCACAGCCCCAAGCGTCTGTCCGTCTTTAGCGGTCGTTCAAGAAGCAATACCACTACCTCAACATCTTCACGCCGGTCACCGGGTTCTTCTATGACATCGACAGATAGTTCAATTGCCTCTGACGAGCGAGCCGGTTCGTCATTGGGACTCCGCTCCGATAAGCAGGACAAGCCGTCCCGGTCCTTTTTGGCGCGGGGAAGCCGCATCCTGCGTCGACAGGGTAGCAAGATCAACATCGTCGCCACGCTGGACGAGGAAGATGAGGCAGATCGTGAGAAGGCACGGCCTGAGAGAGAAATGTTTGGCCGTCGCGCCCGCCATGCCGATCACAGTAAGTGCCAGCCAGCTACTGACAGCTGAAATTGTGGACTCAATTGACCCTCGACAATTGATATAGGCGAGCGTTTGAAAAGCATCATTTCGGATCCTTTTGACTTCCATCACTTGACTCATACCAACCCCTCGCAGTTCCAATCTTTGGATCAAACACGCGAGAATGATCTCGTCACTGAGTTCTCGGCCATCCGAGCATCTCAACGGCCCCAGACCGATCTTAAAGGTATCCGCGCTGAGGACATTCATTTCCGCAATTTCTCCAGTGATGACTTGGGCTCGCTTGGAACTGCCACCACGGTGGATGTGCCCAGTATAAGCCCGCCGGCTTCCCCAAAAACACGCCAGTACCCCGCACACCACGCACGCAGAGAGTCTCGCGTCAATGAGAACTTCTCGCGGCCAGTCTCCAGATATCCCCGATCCTGTCCCACCACTCCCCCACCTCCTGCTGTGCCGGAGACTCCCCCGCCTGAGACTGATGAACCGGCACCCCGTGCCATTGACGAGATCCTGGGCTTGTCCACTGCGATGACGTACCCAGATCTTCAATCGGTGCAGCCAACCCGGTTTTTCAGCCCCGAGCCTGCGGACAACAGCGCCAGGACCTCGTCCATGAGCAGCCACTATGATTTGGAAGATGTCCCCGAGGAAGAGGAAGGAACCCGGTATTGGGAAAGCCCCGAGTCCAGCATGGGATGCCCCCATTCTCGCACAACTTCTCAGGCCAGCCAACCTCCAGCCAATGCGCAGTCACGCAGCACCAGCGAGCGCAAAGCTCCAATGTCGATCTATGTGGCCGAGGAGCTTTCTAGGAAGTTCTCTGAGGCGATGGGCTCGCCGACTCTCCCTCAACCTCCTCACGACACAGACACTCCTCGCGCCCAGGTGGAGGTCACACCACCCGAGCCGATCGCCAGCCTGCACCAATTCTCATACGAGGATGAACTGTATGACTCATGGGACGCAGATATCGACTACTGCTATGAGCACGCAGCCGAGTCCACTTCCAACTTCGATTGGACTCGCACATCCCTGGACGAAGCACGCCCTCAAGTCGGTATAGCCTGCAGCAATGGTCCCTGGCTCGCCCCCAAAGACCCGACAGCTCCAGCCGAGCCCACTGAGCACCTCCGCCCTCGCGACCCCAGACCTGGACCCCAGCCCAGCCCAGTCGATGCCCTCCCACTTAGCCCCTACCCCCTCAACCACAGACTATGAGCAGGATTTCATCGCGCGGGGCGCAGACTACTTCCATCCCGTCAGTTCCTCGATCCTCCCGTCAATGGGAAAACAAATCTCCCACGAACCATTGTACGAGGAGTACATGACGACTGATGGCGAATCAGACCGCCACTTCCCCTTCGCGCAGGGTATGATGGGCCCCATCTCCCCACGCAGCAGCTTCTCGCCGATAAGCAAATGCAACTCTCAGGAGAGCCTGATGCTCTCTCGCGCAGCCTCCATCGTGCGCAAGCACCGCTCCTCCGTCTCGACGACGAACAGTGTCCCAGAGCTCGTCCACAGCTTGTCCAGCAGCCGCGAGCTCATGCCAACTGACCGCATGACAGCCGCCGAGGCACTCACGCGCCCTGCGTCGTCCTCCCACCACCGCCAGACCAAGAGTCTCGCCGAGGCGCACTTCCTCCAGAGTGGCAGCAGCACGAGTCTCGAGGGCCCAGATCTCACCGTGTCGGTTCATGACCGCGCCAAGTCCATTTCGGAGGTCGAGTCCCAGCCCACAAAATTCGAGGCTCCTTTGCCTCCTGTCCCTGTCAGAAACCCGAACCGGAGGAAGGCTCGCTCACCATCTTACTCTCTCTTCCCCACAACCGCTCATTGAGTCACTATCGTTCTCATCAACCCCCTATGCTGTGTTGATCTTTCCTCTTTTTTTTCTTTTTTCACCCCCTTGCATACCTATCTATCTCACATCTCTCGCTTTGTCATCCGATAGACCTCCCTCAACCATCTCTCAACGAGTCCACGATCTGTATTCTCCTTGTGTCTGTTTTATGTTTAACTTGTCTTGTCTTTGCCTGTGAGCCATATCTTTTTTCCTTGTTACGTTCTGTTATGCGTGTTTCAGCTGTTGTCAATCTTTCACCTCGATGCATTTCTCAGCGATAGCGATTTTTACTGGCCTGGTGTCTTGGAAGGGCGATTTGGGAAAAGAGAAAAAGAGGAAAAAGGAAAAGGATTTTCTGGAGGAAATTTGGAATTCGTTTTGGGTCATTCGCTAGTCTCTGGTTTTCTTTTGCCTTGTTATAGACTTTGATTCTTATAGAGGAGCTGATCTGCTCCAATACCATTCGTTGGCATGACTTTGACAGTATAGGGTGTAGAGATGAAGAACATGTGTAGCTTACAATCCTCTCTATTGTTATAGGCCTTTGTTCTACAGGATCAGTAGACTATATACCTTGAATCAAAATCTGTTACGGAGTAGAAGATATTGCCCTCAGTACAAGGAAATTTAGTTGCACCTGCAACTTTGTGTCTCCAGGGCTGTTGGTTCCGCTCAGCTAAGATGGAAGGCATGGAAGAAGACATCTTAAGAATGTGGGTTTAAAAGATATTAGAAATGCAGATGACAGGCCAGTCAAGTAGGCACATCTTGCTTGTGAGATAAAAATGATATGAAAGTCACTTGATACAAAACATCTTCGAGCAGCAAATATGACATGTCCTTCTGTTTTATCTGCCTCATTGCCAAAACCGACGCCATACATATACCAACCAAATTTCACGAACGCACAGCTGCCCCATTCCACAGAGCCCATGAACGAGGCCAACTGCGGGGTCCTGGTACCATCACGGTTTGATACCTCTCATTTTCGAGGTAAGAGAGATTGTGAGAAGTCAAGTCATCGAGCGAGGTATCGGTAAGGGTCTCGAATGTATGTCGAGGACTCGAGGTCATGTATTTCGAGTCCAGTTTGCAAACCGACTCTTCCCACTCAGTCCACGCGTGAACCCTCCATTGGGGATCATCTAAGCTGAGACCGGGCCCAAGATCGATGTATCTGGTCATCACCATTGTGACATGACCACTTGGTCGGTTTTCAAACAATTCAATCTCCCAGTCGGTGTTGCAATCGTTGCAGTTCGAATACTCGTGAGTCAATACGTCTCGAGGAATAGACTGCATCCACAGCGTTTTCTGTTTGTGTTTGCAAATCGGGAGGACTGCAAAATAGTTCTTCTCCACCTCATCATAGTATTCGTCGTCGCGTAGTAGCCGCATGTCTTTCATTGACAAGACATTCTGAATTCGCAAATACAGACTCGGTGCCTTGGGGCATATCTGTGCCTCAGCGGAGAACAGAGTAGTCGGTCTGAGGACCCTGTCTCCTTCCTCGAAACCGTCATTTGTCACTTCGGTGAAGGATAGCGCATCTGTGCTAATGCCGTATTGAGAACTGCTATAGAATCGTCTCATAGCGAGTTGAAGATGAGAAAAGTGAAATGTATAAGTGTGTACACTGGACCCGTCATGGAGATCTATCCATGAACGGCCACATGTACTATAGCTAGGCCTAAGCGCAGGGCAGTCAATGCGAGGCGGGTAGGTATGCGTCGAGTATGATAACTCCAAGGGCTCTGATATACTGCCTAAATCATGAAGAACTAAGCAGTCATCGCAAGTTAAGTATCGTGGGTGGTCACGTTCGAGCCGACGTAAGAAAGACAGCCGGGCCTTTCGTTCCAGGTATCGGCGCTTTTTCCACCTCCGGAATATTGCGAGCAATCGACGGTTGCAAAGAGAGAGGCAATAGATATCCTCAAGTGGAGAAAAATCTGCTATCGATAGCACTAGCTCAACAGGAAAGGCGTCTAGTAAATCCAGTACTGGAGCTTTCAAGATAGGATAGGTAACAAAGGTGGGTTTAATGTACTGGTGTATATCACCGACCCAGGAAGAAGATTTAATAGGAATGGCCTTGGGAGCTTGCCCAATACTAATGGGGTTTCCTTTCATCGAAACCAACATCGTGTATAGTATACCTATATAGGTAATGATAGTAACTCAGATGAACTAAATAATATTAGCAGAATTAGAAGATGTAAAATGGCAGAAGAGATTTCTAATGTTGCAGGGAATTGATAACTCACGGTATGAGTAAAGATGATGAGTGTGTAGTCCCAAAGAGGCTTAACACGAATATGAAGGCTACCTTGGAACTCTATCAATATGTGTCTATGTGTACCTAGGTATGTACCTGGAAGATTTTATGGATATATCCAAGGCTAGATCTAGGTACTTGAATAAGAATCTACGTTTCATACATCTTTCTGACGTGGACAGAGGGTCGGGTTCCGACATATCGAAAGGGAGACATGCTTTTACATACACTAAGCTTGAAAGCAAGAATGGCCCATCATGTCTACGTAATCATAAGGTCTAACCTTGGAAATATTGACCCTATCTACCTACGGTAGCTTATAACATGATCTATGCAATACAATATGTTAATGGCGTCTGAAGTATGTTTGCCTAAAGCGGTTAGACCGCTATCATATGACCCGCTATCTTATCGCCACCAACTCACCAACTTGTCTCTCTTTTCTTACTCTCTCTCCAACTCTTTGATCTACAAACATGGCGTCTTCTTCTTCACAGGAGCTAGTTAAGCAATCTGCTGGCCAGCTTATGCCTCCTCCACCACCCCCGAAACGAATCAAACGCCCCGCGACTGTTCTCGACGAAGACGTCTACACCAACACTTTGTCCCACATTATTGCCCGCGACTTCTTTCCGGGGTTACTCGAAACACAGATCAAGCAAGAGTATCTAGAAGCCCTTGAATCAAAAGATAAAGCATGGATCGCAAGTTCAAAGAAGAAGTTGACGGATGTCATGCGAACGCCCACTCCCGGGTCTAATGCGAGACGGAAATCAGACTATGCATCTGTCCCGAGCACACCCCAGCATTTCCCGGCCGGACGGGCTGGTGATACTCCACATGGCTGGGGAGGCGATACCCCCATGTCCGTCATATCTACTTCCACATCAGCAACCGAAACACAAGACCGGAATATTCCCGATGTGTCGAACATGGGACTGGTCGCCTTCCAAGCAAAGTATACCAGTGAAGACAACGAGTCCTTCAACAAAGTCCTCGACAAGCAGAACGAAAAGCGACGGGAGAAATATCCCTGGCTTTGGAGCGGAAACAAAATCCCCTCGGCCCGACAAATTGCGCACCAACAACAAGAAATCAAGCGCATCACAGCTCAAGGTGGAAAGCCGGAAATGGGCCTTATCAAACGAGACGAGAATGTCCAGCCCGCTCTCAAAACAGACCTGGATGCTCGCCCCGCAAAACCAAACACGTGGAAAAGCCGCCCAGACAACACCCTAATGTTCCTTCCCTCCTCGGTGGAGGATACCCACGAGACACTTGCGCAGAAAGCAGAAATTACATCCCGAGCAGGCCCCAAGCGAACACTCTACCAAAATACAAGACTGCTAGACCCACATGCAGCAGCAGCAGCGGACGCCGCCAACGCCGTGCCCCCTTCGCCCTCACTATCCGCCATCCAAGACGCCATCGCCGGCCGACCGCGTCTCAGCGAGTCCGAAGCCGCATCCGCCTTCGCAGGAAGCGAAACCCCGAGGGTGAATGGATACGCCTTCGTCGACGAGGACGAGCCCGAGCCTGAATTCACATATGGCTCCAGCTCCAAAACCGACGACGACATGGAAGCTGACTGGCGCCTTCTCGGACCGACCTCTGAAAAGCCAAATCCCTTCCAGCTTGGCGAGACTCGCAAGCGCGAAGCCCTGCATCACCGCATGGTCGATCGAGTGGCTCGAAACAAGCGTGCTGAAAAGGCCGCCCGCGTTACGAAGACACCTGTCTCGTTGACACCGCGATTTGCTAGTAGTCCTCGGCTTGACTTTGGTTCTGCTTCTACACCTGGAGCTGGCTCTAGTAGGGGCTCTGTCTATGGTGGAGGGCATCAGGGAAAGATGCTTACGCCTGCAGCGCAGAAGCTGTTGCAGCAGGTTGGGACGCCGAGGCCTAGAGAGCGGAAGTCTGGACTGGGGAATGTTTGGACGCCCACGCCGAAGCGAAAGTGATGGTAGTTCATGACTTGACTTTATTTTCTATTTTTTAGCTGCATGATACCACGGAGTTGATAGACTCTAACGGCGTTTGATTCTTTGCATATCATTTATCCCAGGAAACAATCACAGATGCCAGTACTGGACATACTGTTACCTTTTTTTAGCCAAATTTTGCATAGTATGGGCATTGGTATACATATTCTTACAAGATTATCAGTTCAAACAATATAGACTAAGTCCTCGATATTGAAGTTGGACATCGGAACGAACAGGAACCGCACGAAAACAGTCCTTACCCGGGCCCGGTACTTCTTCGGCTCTTCTTCTTCTTCACTACGACAAGCCCATAAATATATACGTCTTTGCGCAATTGAATACTTGGAAAGCTTAGATTTGGCCTGAAGTTGTGGGTTTGCACTATACAATTTCTCAACGGTACTAACGAGATAACAGATTCCAACTTGAGACTTGATTAGTCTCTATATAATTCCATTTGCTTGTATTGATTTTTTATCTGGTATATCAAAATGAGCATCGAGACACCAGAGAGCGAAACTGCTTCATTGGCATCAGGATCAGGACCTGCTACTGCATCTGAAAATATCTCCAAAGCCAAAGACATCATCGCTCCAATAAAGACACCAGCAGAAGAAGAAAAAGAGAAAGACACATCCAAATCTTCAATATACTCCCCAGCAAACCTACTCTCAAGTCTCCTCTCCCCATTCTCTTTCTCAAGCACGTCTCCAGACTCGACCACCACAACATCCCCAAACAACGACAAAGAGAAAGAGAAAGAGAAAGCCAAGAGTCCAACTAAAATATCAATCGAAACTCCAACCTCAGACTCAACACAATCAACCCCAGAGCCATATTGCACCCCGGAAGAAACAACCCTCTTCAAAACCCTCTACAAAACCCGTCTAACAAAAACCCGCACAAAACAACTCCTCCGCGCAGGAGAGCGAGAATATAATGACCCACCGCCTCCACCAGCACTGGGTGATTGCTGCGGGAGTTCGTGTGATCCTTGTGTTAGGGATTTGTGGAAGCAAGAGATTGGGATTTGGAGGGAAAGATGGGGGGGATCGGGGCGTTGAAGACGGGGTAGGAGTTTCGACAGACGAGAAGAAGGGTGAGAAGAAAGAAGAGAAATTGGCGAGGAAAGATCTGGAATGGTGATTTGCTGGTCACATGTGTACATTATGCTCTATTATATCCAAATCCAAACGCAATATTTTAGTGTACAGGGAATTAGGTTGAGTTCCTGCTAACTAGAGATAAAAGGCAAGGAAGAAAATAAATCGTGGACTCCGACAGCATACACAGTAGTCAATATGTACCTATCTACAGCAAATACATAACCCCCATAACGACCAGACTAAACACCCAATCCCAAGCACCCAGCTTCGCACCAAGATTCAAATAGTACACAGCCCCGAGATAAGAGCAAGTGATGATACCATCTGAATTCCGATAGCCATAGGAAGCATTCATCCACGCGCCCTCAGGACACCCGAAGCCAAGTGCAGACGGACAATCCTTAACCAGGGTATGACAGATATCCTGACAGGGCAGGATCTCCTTATAGGGACCGGGCTTGATCTTCTCATCGATGATAGAATTGCGGGATGTATTCGATGCCACGGATTGACGGTACGGACTGTCATCCGGCAGAGAAGAGCCATTGATGAAGGGCTGGCCTGCGTTACGGACGGCCAGGTAGTTGGCGTCGCTACTGTAGTCCGCGCAGCGGGGGATCGTGACACCGCAGAGCCATTGTTTGTAGGATCTTGCGCAGTCGTCGCAGTTGACAGCGAGGGAGAACATAGATTCTTCGTTTGTTTTGCATTGGACTTGTTGGAGGGAATAGATGAAGTTCTGATAGAAGGCGGCAGCGTGGTCGTCGTAGATTGTGCGGAGCTTGTCGACGCTTAGTTTGGGGTTTGAGGGGACTGCGTATGCGACTTCCGAGCAGAAGGTTAGGTTGAATAACACGGCGCAGTTGTCATCTGAGGATGGTTAGATGGGATCTTTCTTTTTGTGGTTTCCTGGGCTTGCTCACCTGCTTTGGTCGTGAAATTCATCGGTTGCCATACCTTGCCGCCGCCGCCGATGATGCCATTCCCGGACGCGGTCGAATTGCCCACCATTGCAAGAAGACCGCTGTACGATGAACTCTGGTTCAGGCCAGTAATGTAGAACTGTTCTTTGGGCTTATTGCCAAGTCCGCGATTGGTCATGCCGACCTCGGTTGAATTGCTGATTCGGCCCACCTGCGAAAGTGTGTCGAGGGCGCAGAACGATTTCTCCAAGCCCTGCAGTGCTGTATCGTTGATGTTGTGGGCAAACATAGTATACGGAGGCACAATATCCATCCATTGCTGGTAATTTGTGGAGTTTTCCGCGGACTGGGTCAGGTTGTTCGTCACTAGCAGCGCGGCTGACACGTCTGCGTCGATGAAGAATAGATTTGGGTCATTGTCCACGATATTGTGGAAAAAGTCATCGATAGATGCTGCGATCTGGTACGTGTAACTTCCGGTGTAGTCGGTTGAATTAGGCGCTGCAACGCCGATGAAAACGTCGCTGTCCGTGTCTACTGTGATTCCCACATACCCGCCAACAGCAGTGTGTATATCTTGCTGCGAGTCGTCTTTGCCTGGGCCTGGCTGTTGCAGTTTCTCTGATTTCGACACATACACTTGCAACTGCGGGAACCCACCTTGTGAGTCGGTTTTGTTGGTATGTGGTTTTTTTGCAGGTCGTGAGCGACAAGTAGACTGTCGTCAACGCTCGCTTTGAGAAGTCCTCGTCTCGTTTCCGTAGCTCAGATGCTGAGTCATCGGCATCGTTATCTTCATCCGTAGCATTCATGTATGCAGGAAGACCCGCGCCTTTAGGATCGTGTTTGCCGTTCACCACGGTCTTGGGCAGGTAGTACCAGTGGACAGCGCCGATCTCGAGCGGGTCCTTCGACTCCTCGAACTGATTGTTGCCCAATGCTTTCACGGCATTAGGGTATCTGCGAACGAGCTCCAGCCCATTTGACTCGCCATCTTCGTCGACACTGTCGCGAAGTTCCAGCCCATTGAACGAGTCCAGCGCAAATGGGAGTCCGGCCCCGTCGCTGGTATCCACCCCTCGGAGGTTTAAAGTGCTCTCTGTATCTGGGCCATTGGGGGCATCGGAATAGGCATAGGCAACCGAGTCGCAGGTGAGTGCGAAAAGAATGAAGATCGCGCTAATCGTTGCAGTAATATAGCACTGCAGCGCGTTGTATTGGCGTCGCATGGAAGGACGGCGGGGAGGGTGTCGCTGCACAGCCAATGGGCAGAATTGGAGTTGGCGAGCAAACTTATCACTGGCAAGCGGTGGTATACACCAGCTGTAAACCTCTTCCTGGAGGCAAAATCAGCGGCTGCATGTAGTCGACGTAAAGAGTTGTTTGGACGAGGCTGGTTATCGTGGAAAATGCCTGTCTTATCAATTCAGCTGCCTTGCTGCCTGATTCGGGGTACGTAGGGCTACACCTACATGTAGGTAACTACATGTACCTACTCCGTACTTGTACTATTATTCCCCTGCCAGCTATGGCTCTTCTATCTTAGCTGCAGCTTTTATGACGGGACTCAGAGCCAGGGTCTCTCGAGTAAATTGCGTTGAGGATACTATCCAATCAGGTCGCTAAACTCCTACAGGGACACGCAGCCGAGAATGTAAATGAACAAAGGAACATCGATCAGACAGCTCAGACCCTGTGATCCTTGCAAGGTGCTTAAATGCATTTCCTCAGTGCGCCGACCATGACTGCACATAACCTCAGCCCTCGGAGCCTCACTTTCCCTAAGATCGAGTACGTACGTTGGACATACTCAACTACCGCCCCCTACCGTTGCAAGCTATCAAAGACATCCAAACAACAGGGCAACTCAGCCGCATGGTAAAGGGTGGCTGTGCAGTCAGCCCATGCGATCCCGAGGTCAAGTATGTACAACAAGCCGGGGTTTGGTATAAAGCCATTCATGTCCTCCAGTCCATTGAAAGAGGCTTGGGAAAAGGCCACCTTTCTACGTTTGAGACGGGCAGTGGACTACAAATTTCAATAAGACTATACCCAGATTTTTTGGGAAGAATATGGAAAATTTATTCTAACAAAAGGTATTGTAGCTTGAAAATAAAACGAAAAATTCAAGACTATCACAGTCAAGGAACATGCAAATGCAAAGGAAAAACAGTCAAGGAAAAATAGAACATAATTAGCAGAAAACGAGAAAACAAAACAAAAACAATCAAACCAGCTTCTGCCAGCGGGCTAAACCAAAACTCACAACAACAATGCCTGCTATCACTCCAAGAATGCCGAACCACCAATTCAATCCTTCTGCGTGGGCGCCGGGAACTTCTACGTTCATACCGAACAGACCAGTGATCAAATTCATGGGGACCAGGATCGTAGCAATCAGGGTGACCTTGCTGAGAACCTTGTTGACGTGGTTTCCCAGCACCAAGTTGGTGACATTCAGCTGAGCCAAGTAATTGGTATGAGACCGGCTGAGCATTTTTTCGAAATGCGCCAAGTTCGACATCATAGTCACGACGTGATCCTGGATATCACCCAGGTAAAGACCAATATCACCACGGGGAGTAACCGAGTACTGCTCGTTACAGCGCTTCGAGAATCCACGAATGACATCGGCCTTGCCGCCTAGCAGGCGCATCAAGCTCATGACCTTCTTGCGCAGGCCTCCAATGCGAGGGAGGAACGATTCGAAATCGTCAACTCGGGCGATGAACACGTGGTCTTCGATCGCCTCGGACTCCAATTCCACATCTCGAATGACGGGGCCGAAGCTATCCACGATGTCGTCGATCATCGCGTAACAAATCCAGTCACTACTGAGAGCCACATAGTCTCGCAGCTTTCCAATACGTTTCCGAACATTGGCTGCGTGGGGGTTGTCCTCAAAAGAGAAAGTGAGGACACCGTCTCGGAAGACAACCATGTAGAAATTAACAGGCTCAAGGAATTCCTCACTTGTTTTGTCCGTCTGGAAGAAGGTCCGGAAACAGACAAAGTAGTACTGTTTGAACAGTTCAACCTTCTCGCGGGCTTCCTGGGTTTGAATATCCTCCGTTGTCAGCGGGTGAATAGAGAAAGCCCGGGAGATAGCTCCCAATTCCTCATCGGTGGGGTTAGCCACATCCAACCACCACACACCTCCCTCAGGTCCAAGCTCGAAAAGATCCCGGAAGGTTTCGCCAGGGAGCACTAGATCTCCCAAATCGGCAGCATGCACTGTGCTTTGAGATTCGGATGAAAAGAACCCAAAGCGAGAGCGCTGGTTGACATTCTGGCGTGTTTTAAACCGCTCCTTTTCGTCTGTAACCGCGGATTCCTTCTTTCCATCTTCACTCAGTGTATCAGACGAGCCATTCTTTTTCATTGCACCTATCTCAGGGCTTTCGGCGCCAGGGCGGAGATCGTAAAATATGCGCGGCCTCTTGCTCTGTGAGCTCATGCTGTACTTGCGGCGATCGGCATCGGCGACTTTAATGCTCGGATTCAGAGCCACAAACTCCTCGAGCTCCTCGTAATCGATGACGGGAATACGGCCTGGCTCCTCGAAGCAGGCCTCTTCTGCTGTGTCGAATGGCACATCACCCAACTGAGGGTGAATGGCGCTGGCATTGCTGAAAGTTGGACGCCGGTTGTGGGTACCACCCGAAACGGTGCGCTGCAGAATAGCTTCTAGGTCGGGAGGCGCATGGCTATCCAGGGTATTGGCACGCTCACGGCGACGCGGATCGGCAAAAGCCTCAACTGAATTGGGAGGAGAGGAAGATCGAGCGGACACGGACGAGGCAGCAGAAGCGTTGGCGAGATCCGGGTTCACAATGCTGATGCGACGAGGAGTCTGGTAGGTTGCGTTATGGTCGACTGAGAACCGTCGACCGAGACCATTCAACTCATTCAACGAACGATTGTCGTCGGCATTTTCGAAGTCTCGGGGAATCGGACCGTCTCTTCGAGCATCTTGTGCACTGAGCAAATCTGGACGATCGAGAATTTCAGGACCTTGAGTGGTATCGTGCGGGCTGTAAGAACGCTCGACCGGTACCTCAATGCGTGGAGGTGTCTGCATCTGGAGGCGGTGATCGTCCAGTTCGGGGACCGGGGTACTGTACCTGGTCAGGTACATGTACCTCTCGGATGTAGGAGACTCGGACATGGTGAGCTCTCCGTATATGGGGATTCAACGAAAGCGATTAGGGCGCCAGATTGGCGGATTTTTGCGAGTTTGGTTTAGTGATGTTTGCTCTATGATAGCACGACGGCCGGAGCAGACGAAAGCCGGTAAGAGGTTCGTTCAAGGGTGACGGCCCTCCATCCATAAGCCAGACCCTTCACGAGGGTCTGGCGTTACCGACTAACGTCTGGCGGCCACAATAATGATGTTCCTGAAACCCAGTTAGGGGGGTCTGGTGTCGCCCCCGCCGAAGACCCGGAACTTGGGGCCTGCAAGAGGGTGGAGGAGAGAGGCCTTGGAGTAGCGAAGTCCCGCCAACTTGAAGAAGTGGGAGGATGAGGAGCTTGGTAGCTCCAGGGTTGCTGTTAGACGAGAGGCGCGAAAGGCGGGAAGTTGAACGTTAACGTTCGAGTTCGAGTCCTCTTTTGATATCAATTGAAATTTCTAGTTCAAGTTAAAAAAAGAAAAAGAAAAAGTTGGTAGTGGAATTTAGTGGGAAAGGCGGGAGTGGAAAAAGGAAAAAAGAGAAAAAGCTGTAAACGAAGTGGCAAAGATCAAAAGTCAATGATGCCGAGGTGGTTCCGCCCACTGAGTCACCCACGGGATATTAAAAGAGTTTGGGACTGGATATTCAAATATAAAAGAACCTCAGGGGCTGGATTAAGAGGAGAAAATAAGAAAACAAGTGGGGGTTTTCGAATTAATATGAGAAAACGGGAGACAACGCTCAGTGAAAAATTTGCAAGCGGGTACAACACCCCACCGTTTCAGCAGATAAAGGACTTAAAAAGGTCTATAAGAGAACGGAGTATAACCTATTCTTGACTAGACTGGACTAGGCTACTTTTTTTCTTGATATAGTAATGCTTTGAGGCATTTTGTGTCGAATGTTATCTACTACGGAGTACTCCGCGGCTTTGACTTCTTACATTTCCCCTCTATGGGCTGCCCTCTATACAACATACAATATAGATACTACGATCCATGCACGTATTAGCCTTTGCATCTTGTCGCCCTTGGTACTTTGGCATTTCCAGGTTACAACATATATGACACAGTAATATTACTCTAGAAGTTATCTCGGTAATAAACACCCCCTTTTTTCTCATGTTTCGCATGGATGTTTAATGTAAGACGAAGTATAGAGTCAGAGTCAAAAAACACACCGACAATATGTATACAACATATACAACATCTAAATGTATGCGATCGGATCTGGCAATCTGACATGTTAACAAGTCAAATCCAATCCAAATCCTCAAAGAACTCGGGAAAAGTCTCCACTCAACTTTCCGACGTCGGCCAATTTTTTTGTGCCAAGACATTCAGAGTCACATACCGGACTATCAGACGATCTTTGTATATTTTGTGTGTGTTTGGACCCTGACACTTGGAACATATACTATCATGTCTTCCTTCGTGATCAAGATCCCTTGTTCCTCTGCCAACATTGGCCCTGGGTTTGATGTGATCGGCTTGGCATTGTCCCTCCACCTGGATCTCCACGTCACAATCGAGGCCAAACCCTCGTCCCAGGAACCCTTCAACTGCGCCATTACCTATGAGGACCAAAGCAAGAGTGTTGAGCAGATCAGTCTCGACCCAGAAGTCAATCTGATCACCCGTGTAGCCCTGTATGTCCTCAGATGCCATGACCAGCGGGCCTTCCCCGTCGAGACCAAGGTGCATATCGTCAACCCCATCCCGTTAGGCCGGGGTCTGGGCTCCTCTGGTACCGCCGTGGTCGCCGGTGTCATGCTGGGCAATGAGGTTGGTAAGCTGGGTCTGAGCAAGGAACGGTTACTCGATTATTGTTTGATGATTGGTAGGTTGGATATGTTTTTATGTGCCCTTTTATGTGCCCCTCATCTGAGTCTTCGGGGAAAGGAAAAACAAAAAAAGAAAAGAAAATCATGATTCGTATGTCGTACATCTTACTAACGTCAGAACAGAGCGGCACCCCGATAACGTGGCTGCCTCCCTCTTCGGTGGTTTCGTGGGCACCTATCTGAATGAGCTTAAGCCCGAGGACGTGGCACGCAAAGAGATCCCCCTCAGTGAAGTCCTGCCCGCTCCCGCAGGTGGTGTGGACACAGGCATTAGACCCCCCGAGCCACCCATGGCCATTGGTCATTACAGGAAGTTCAACTGGGCTCCAGAGATCAAGGCCATTGCCATTATCCCTGACTTTGTGGTGCCTACTGCCAACGCCCGTAATGTCCTCCCGCAGAGCTACTCGAGAGAGGACGTGGTATGTGGATGTTCAGAATTGATAAACTATCTGATCTCAGACTAATTTCCGGCTAGGTCTTCAACCTCCAGCGCGCCGCACTCCTTCCTGCGGCCTTGGGAAGTTCCCCGCCGGATCCTGATATGATCTTCCTCGCCATGCAGGATAAGGTGCACCAGCCGTATCGCAAGACGCTGATCCCAGGCTTGACTGAGATCCTCCAATTCATGACGCCCGCCACTCAACCCGGTCTGCTAGGAATTTGTCTATCCGGTGCCGGACCTACCATCCTGGCACTGGCCACGGAGCGCTTCACCGAGATTGCTGACCGCATCATCGCACAGTTCGCTTCCAACGGTATCTCGTGCCAATGGAAGCTGCTGGAGCCCGCTCATGATGGCGCAACGGTCGCCTATAACTAAAAGTCGGTGCCTTTCGTATCGTCATAACACGACCGCTACCTGCAATTCAGCGCTTCGCCGTGCTTGACATACAAGCACGTCGGCAGCATTGGAGCATTGGGACCTGAGGAGAATCCGTATCTGGTTGGCTATGGGAAGGAAGATTTCTTCCCCAACCGCCACCACATGGGTCATGCAAGATCTCGTTCTCACCGCTCCTTGCTCCTCGCATTGCAGGTGCATGTGAGCCTTCCGACACGGCAAGTTGGGTTCGGGCTACGTTTGGATTTGCAGGGTCTTGTACACTGGTGCGCAATTGAAGGCCGAGATTTTCGAGGCTAGCTTTCCGTCAGCAGTGTTCTGACTCGGGTAGACCGTTTGTTTTTTTCGGCTCTAGACATAGATGACAGATGACATCGAATGAAATCATGATCAACCACGTAACCATTAAAGTTCAATATCGGGTCAACTTTCTCACATCCCATTTGGGACAAAATTACATGTATGTTGCAACCTTGTATTCCGTACTTCGTACGTGGTTTGGCGGAGTGCCGTGTATGTACAATGTAGAGAACAAGGCGGTCCGACGTGGCAGAAGGCAAATGACACCATTGCGATAAGCCGCCTCGGGCATCGATCAAGGGATCCTCGAACCTGGCGTATTGACCTCGAATCTGATAAACTTGCTTCAAACATGGATGAACTACTCGCCCCTATTCAGGATGTCATTGAAGGCCAAATCGTACGCCCAACTGCCCCTCCTCCATTCATTGTCATTGCTCCGCGCGTCTGGACGATCCAAGCTAACAAGATCTCGATAACAGGACTTCCACGGCCAACGTCTAGCAGAGCTACTTTCAACCGTCTTGCTGGTTATCTCGGGGGTATGTTGTACGAATATGAGTCTTGTATTACCAGAACTAACGATTATTGTATCTGTTCTAGGCCGCCAGCTTCGTCATCGGATACATCTACCAGGACATCCACCTTACGTTATGGACCGGTTTGGCAGGCACATTGTTTACAGCTTTCGTCGTTGTCCCACCCTGGCCGGTATATAACCGCAACCCAGAGAAGTGGCTGGGCTCAACAAGCGCGAATGCAACTCCGGGTATAACTGTGGACGGGGTGAAGGTGCAATAAGCTATCGTTGAGAAACTGTCAAGCGTATTAATCATTGGAAGAATTTGGGCAGCGCTCTTGTCTGCTACGAAATATGAGAATGGGAAACTATGCAGCTGGCTCGAGACATCAATCGCTCGAACGCCTGCGAATCCCTAAGCCGTTGTAAAGGTCCAGACGCGTCTTCAAAAAAAAGAAAAAAAAGTATCAAGTTATAGCCATTGAGCATGCGGCATCAGCCAGAAATCGTGAATTTGTATCGTGTAGTGTCTTTGAAACCCCCCCGTGCCCCTCTTTACCGGCCGTACTTCTGGAACTCCCAGTCTCGGTTGTCTAGCGGGCAGACTTGGCGGGTCTTCAGCCATCTCGATATACAGTGGAAGTGGAATGCGTGCTATAGAAATGGAGTAATTAGCTTATGATCAAATGGTCGGATGGGGTCGATGCGGAGGTCCTCACGTTGCAGATACCCCAGGCAACAGTGCACTCTTCCGTTGTTGATGATCCTTGGTTGGCCTGGCATTCGATGCCTGTTTCATCGGTCGGTCAGCTTGTAAGATAAGAGAGCTTCGGAGGGTAGTTTCAGCGTACACAAGTCCATGATGTGGTTTCGGCAAATGGCACAGTTGTCGACGACGATATCCCAAGCCCACAGGGCAACAGCGTTCCACTTAACGATGACAAGTCAGTATTATGAGTCGCTGCGAGCAGTAGGTTTTTGTGTACCTTCTTGACCTCGAACTTCTTCTTGTCCGCATTATCGGAGCCCTTGGCGACGGCCTTGCCCTTGGATGAGCCAGTAGCGGCTTCCTTCATCTCCACGTCTGTCATATTGAGGTTCTCGAAATTTGGATGGTCTCAGTTTGAAATGCTTGGCGCCAGACGACAGAAGCTAGCTGAGGTGGGGGGGATCAGAACTGTGACTGACGTAAGTGAGGCTCCGATGCCCAGGTTTGGGCGGTGATGGAGGGCGGTGATTGTAGTGTAGGGAGTCGAGATAGAACGGACGAGGTACCTTTCCTGGGGGAGCTAAAACAAGAGATATCTCCAAAGGTACTCAATGCACAAAAAGCGACAATGCGACCCTGTCCAGCAGTTGATAGTTCTGTTTGACTTGGTTTGTTCTTGATATCGCGAAGCAGGTGGCGTCCTTAGTCATCGAGATGAGATCGGGGTCCCCTCGTTTGTCTGCATTCGATGGTCTTTCCCTTCAACCAACAACAATGATTCAATCTTCCTTACCTTCTCTTCTTTTTTCCTCTTTTAGAGATGTCTACAGTTGATCTTCGTTTTTGACTTTTGTCACGCTCCCCATTTCATAGACAAGTTCTTTCAATAGACTGTCTATCTCTGCCTTTGAGCGACATCTGCTTGACTCAACTTGCGACTCTTCATTCCCTCAGTTTGATACATGTCACTTTTCCTGCTTCCCCGGCGTTGCCATATCTAATATTGTCGACACCTGCTGAGCAGTGATCTGACTCATTTTGCTGCAATCTCCGCATCTTCTGCCTTTTACTGCTTCGTCATAGCGTTGCTTTTTCTCTTTACCTCTCTCTTCAGGCTGCCTATTTTTCAAGCCAACCGTCGAAATGTCGACCCAATCTCCTCATCCTCCGACCCCTAAGGGATCGCGCAACAACCGCCGTCCTCAGAAGAAGAATACGACCCCTCACGCCCAGAAACCGGCACTCCTCTCTACTCCCCCATCATCCCCTCCCCATAACATGAGCCCCGGAGTCATCCAGGTGGATCCTTCAAACTTCAACTCTTCGAAGAAGAAGCCCATGCGTTCAGGCAAGAAGCCCCGAGACAACAAGGCTTCACCTGCCCCGCACTCTGGATACCACAGCAACGGGTACAACAGCGGTCCACGACAGACACCAACCCGCCCCGCTGTCACCTCTCCTCAGACAAAACCGAGCGCAGCCTATGCGGGACCGACGTTCCACGCATCGCCTGCACCATCTGCTTTACCCATTCCCAGTTTTTTCTCTAAGTCGGCTCCTGATGCCAATCTGGTCCCGCCCATAGAGACCGATAGTGACGATGCGGACGTGGACCCTGAATTAGAGATGACTCCGTCCAAACCTCGCAACCGCAACAACCAATCCAAGGGCGAAGAACACAAGCCTTCCCCTCTTGACTTCCTTTTCAAGGCTGCTGTGCAAGCCAGAGATCAAAAGTCCACGAGCAGCCCTGAGGTGAATAAGGTCCTTCAGTCTCCCCAGACCGAACCCAGGGTCGTGCGGCCCAACCCTGATGGCATGTTTACGTTTGAAATGGGAAACTCTGACTACAACCGCAACTCAAACATTGGTCCTTCTTTCGCTCCTTCTTATCAAGATCGTATGAATGCACTGCGACCCTCGAGTACCCCCCAGTCGTCTGATATGACTGAGGAGGAGCGACGAACCAAGACCGAGGAGTTGAAGCACCTGTTGCTCAATCCACCCCCACAGAAGCCGCCTTCCTCGGCTTATGCTTCGCATGAATACGCTGGGCCCTTTGGGCCCCGTCCTTCCAATGTGCCGCCCTATGCCACTCCTATGCGGACCTCATCTGGCCCTCAGTTGACCCCGTCTCATGGCTCATTCTCTTCTCCCCAGCTGCAGCAGCAGCAGATTCCTCAGAACAATGGACGCCCTCACTATCAATACTCCACCCACTCTCACTCACCCCTGCGCCGTGAGGTTGACATGGTCCCGCCCCCTTCGATGCCTCCGTATCGTGGCCCCGTCTCCAATAACGCCTCGAACGGAGGTTCCCCGGCGCCATATGGCAATCAGTACATGGCAACGTCACAGCAGCAGCAGTCTGGCTATGCTTCACCTCAGCCAAACCATGCCTCGACTTCATTCCAAATGCCGATCAACTCGCCATCTCCTTCTCGGGTGGTGGACACTAGGCAAATCGAGAATGACATTCGTCGGGTCTTGAAGCTTGATGCCTCGGGACCCCCAGTTACTCAGAGCTCTGCGTAGCTCCATATTCCTCTTTCCCGTGACAATTTCCTCTCTTGATATTGTCTGTCCTCTCCTTTTTGTTAACTTTCCTTTTTCGTTGAATGGCCTCTTTCTTTCTTTCTGTTTTTCTTTCTGTTTTTCTGTTTTTCTTTTTCTTTTTTTTTCTCTCTCACTTTGTTTTTCTTATCTCTTTGAATCTAGTTTGATTTTGCTCTGTTCCTTCTTGCATTTTGTTCATACGGGCATCCTCGACTGGTCTCGGGACCCTCGGTTGGTTATTTTAGTCTTCCTTTCCCGCGACGGGGTGCTCATTGTTTCTTTCCATACGTCTCTTGCGGCAATGTTCACCATGATGATAATGCACGGCACTGGCTGCTTGGTAAATTGATGAGGTGATAGTTTAACGCCTTTTCTCCATCGTTCGGCGTCGTGGTTTTTCCCGGTGGCGCGCCTGGTTTTGGCTTGGGGCCTGGAGGGATGCTAACAAATGCATGATGTTGCTGTTTTATGTTGATGTTTATCTTTTACTTTTCGTTTGCTTTCTTGTTGTTTTGGGCCTTCCTGCTGCTATCAGCTTTACTATCTGTTTTGTTTGGTCGAAGTAGCGGTCAGCCTCGGTGAGCCTTTCCAAGACTGACACGGGGCTGATCTCACACTTCATACCTTTGTGTATCCTCATCACTCGTTTCATGAGGATTGAATTTGTCTAAATATCTGACTAGTCCACATCGGTGTGCTTTTGTGCCCGTTGCTCAATCCGATAATCATCACTGGTCAGATTTTGGTTCCGTTTATGGAGTGCAAGTAGTAGTCCTACATAGTAGCCAAGTAGATCTGATGCTAAGTTATGGATAACCTTGGAAGTCTCCACTGCGACAATATACTATCAAGCGGTATAATAACTAAAGGAAATGAAAAGCATGAAGCTAAGTCTGAAAGTCGAGTTGATCGTTCATCAGTTGTACATGTGGTTCTTGCCAAAGTACATTTTTAATTTCAGACAGTCAGATAAGACTGCTACACCAAAGATACTACATGTAAACAGAACTTGTCTCACCGCGCTATATTACATTTCCGTTCGTTGTTCTGGGCTTACCCCGTCATATGTCTCCACTAGAAATGATTATCCAACAGGCATAGCGGAGATGAGAATAGCGGAGATGCCGTTAGTTCCAAGATCTGAGCATAACATATAATAGGGGATGACGAAAACTCGTAGGGGCACAGTCACAGATACCCGGGGAGATGAAGAGAGACGAACCCAGGGGGGTTGCGTTGCCAAGTGGAAAGAAAAGAGGAGAAAAGGGATGCCAGCCCTATATAGCCAGTGCGTGACGTGGAATAGTCTCAACAGCACGGGAAGTTGGGGCAACACATTAGTGTCAAGAGCACCCCTGGAAGAGAGAACACAGGAGTTCAAGATGTTGAAAGTCACCATAGAAGCAGCAATGCCTTGCTCACCGGTTGAACTGATGCAAAAGAGAGAGACAACCAGTAAAGAGCTCGTTCATCCGCATGCATCATTGGGCGTCGGGCCGTACATATGTAATCCTTGGGGTGAAGAAGGATGCATCCTGTATATGTACATGTATGTGACAGCTCTAGACGGATAATCAAAAAAAGCCCAAGTCATTATAACTTCCATCTTCAACCGGATAGAAAGCTCTCTATCCACCCAAAAAGCTGTCAAACTCATCATCATCATCGCTATCCGGAAGTAGTGTTACCACCTTTACATGTCGCATTGGATCAATGATCTTTTCATCCGAGCTCTCTTGGGGCGGCGGAGCATCCAGCAACGTCTGTAAAGACTCTTCGTCGATCATCATACACATGCGATACTGAGTACAATAGCCTTGATCCTCCTGTTGACCAACCCAGCATCGGAAATGTGCGCGGATTGAGTCTATCGAAGCTCCGTCAAATCTCGGATGGTTCATGACGATTGGACGGTGCTGAGCCCAGATCTCGTGATATGTAGTGAGGTCTGTATTCGTTGAGGTATTGTTTTCTGAGGAGACGCATTCAGAGTATAGCCCCTGTTTCATGTAGGAGTTGAGAAGGTCGATAATCCGGAGGAATGCGGCATTGGAATGGGGAGTATATGTGGTGCGGTAAATGACATAGCCCCATGTCGATCCGTTCCTAGTGCTCGCGTGAAGGTGCTTCGTAGGCCAGGAAAGCCCATTGAGATTCATTGCGATGTGCTAAATGAAAGACAGGACCATACAGAAGATGGATAGGAAGAAAAGAGCCGCGAAGTACATTTATTTAGTTCTACTATTCTCCACCGGCCCTGACACTAGTGCACAGCCGAAAAGGGCTGTTCATGACTAATTTTATAATTTGGCCCCTTCATATACGAAAGTTCTTCGATGTAGATACATACCCGATTGAGACGAGTAGACTTCACAGTACACAAGACTACCGAGTTAAGTGATGGTGTTTACGTACGGGATTCAATATCCATTGTCAGCCTCAGAGAAACGACTTTGTAAAACAATACCTGCATTCTCAACTACACTAGGCAGCTTGATATCATTCACGAATTTTCCTAACAAGCCCGCCAGACGGATGTGGACAAGCCACACTCGTACGCTAAGCGTTTCGGGTAATGGGTGTAAATGGGGGCCGAGGGGGCCAACGTTATTAAACCATTATACTGGTAGCGGAGGGAAAGAGAATATGGTATTGAAAGTAGTACAACATTCTATCGCTAGACCATAGCAAAAGCTAGGGTATATCCTAGGCTCCATGGATTCTTCCATGGTTGGCGATGATCTTAATATGTGCCAAGTGACCGCTTGACTGACTAGGCAATCGGTGTTCACCCGTGGACTCAACAGTTGAAACGGGGACCTCAGGATGTGCCACGGGTGGGGCTGTACCGGGCACTTCATCTGTACTAGTCTACTAACGCTAAACTCGAGCCTCATACGGAGTCCAGAGTAGATAAGACATCATGATAGTTGCTCAATCTCATGGGTGCCCAGGTGGCAACCTTAAGAAGTGACCCAATGGACGCTAAGACAGAGAATACAGCCTCGCTATCTCTCAGTTCAATTACTCGTCACCATGACTTCCACCCGCATGTCCCGAACATATGGGTTGGATGATTCTGGACGGATCTAGCAGCCATCCAAGGCAAAGAGTTCCTGATAATCCGACGGATCAACTGGCTCGGCTATGCCTGGTGCGAGGAACCCGCACTTACGATGGCTTCGCGTAGGAGCTGCACGGGCATCTTCCTGAATTCGCGCACGCTTTGAATGCGCGGGAGATCATAAGCAATCGAGTCCCAAACATGAAATCACCGGACGATTTCCCTTACTGTTTCTGGCCTCCCGGATATCCCAGACGAGCGGACTCTCCGTGACCTACTAGAGCGATACCCTGGGAACGACCTGTTGCGGTACCAGGTCGGGCGCGTATGTGCTGCAGGAGGCTATACATCACTGTACCTGGAGCTAGACCTGCCACCAGGATGTGGCTATTGGAGAGGAAGCGTGCGACAATCGGACGTCCGGCCAAGCAATTTACAAGAGTATTATCATCAGCCCGACCAGTTGGGCCTGTATGGATGACTATAACCGCTGTCTACACTCAACCCTACGTTCTGGAGCCCGTTTAAATGGTGACACATGTGTGCGGTCTATGCTTAATCAAACCCTACCGGTAGGGGATAGCCTCTATCTTCTTGTGCCGCGCCCTACGTTTGATATTACTGAGGACTGGTGCCTCGATGCTGAAGGTACATTACCCGGAGCGCGGCCGGTTGATCCAGCAGCTGTCCGGTTATTGTGCGAACCACTGCCCACTGATCTACCCACTGTTGATAAGGACATATTGATCCTGGCAGCAGCGTAGTCAGGCAACATCGACCGCTACGCACGGCTACGCCGGCCAACCATGACCAACGGCGAGCTGCCATGTGTTGTTCGTGGAATCTACCACCACCCCTTCTTCGCTAAATGGTGGTTAGGGAAGAAGGCTTCGTCGAAGTGGATTCGACAGGCCATCTATGCCCGACTCCTTTTGAACAACGACTTGTCCTGGTTGAATGACAGCATGCCAGATACTGATCTCCCGGTACTGGTATGGTTCCCAAAGACAGCAACCAAGCATACTTACGCCGAGTTGGCACGACTCCAACCCTCGATGACACCGCAGATGGCACGCGCTTGTATAATTGCCGATTACCAAATTTGACAGTCCAAATACAACCCCCGATATATTCCTTTGGCGGGCGGCCGGGAAATCTACCAACAGCCACTACCTCGAGCAAATCGAACATAAAGCAGCTGAGCTAGGTCTTGACCAGGATGAGCTTTCTGTGTTGGATGTGCCAGATGAGGAATTCGCATCTATGTGGCCAGAAAGACCTGACGTGACCGATACATGCCATGGCCTATGGCTATGCTAGCCAAGGAGATGGATGGGACCGGGTCTAAGGATCTCACCATTGTGCATGAGATAACCATCGACCAGATTGGATTCGAGCCCGAAGGTGTTGCTATACCTTCTGCAGTGGAGAGGTTTCTGCTGCATGTGTGCTTGACGGAACCGTCGATACGGCCGTCGCCCCCCTTTGAAATATTAGATCTTGGCGAGATGTACAGGGTTGCGCCATATATGGAATCGGAGGAAGACCGTAAAATGGTGGGGCTCTGGCCGAATCCAAGGAGATCTCGTGGTGGATACCGTGAAAGGGGAGGTTAGGGTTGCCCTCTTACTGTAGGACCCTTTTCCCTTTCTACGCGTTTATATTACACCTTTACTTCAGAATCCAAATCCAACATAAAATAGGATGATATTGAAACATTGCCAGTTGTATCGAGACATCCATGGATAACCCCATGAAGCCATGAAGATGACCAGCAATGAGTAGAATTCAACCCACAGTCTGGATACGGTTTGCGGAGCACTTTGAACCGAAACTTCCAATGTATTGTTTCAATCGGCAACACAATAATGCGGTTTAAACCATTGGATCCTTTGTGCCCGGTGGAGATGCGATAGAAACTAGCGCAACGCTAAATCGGACCGCTCCCGTGGACCCGTCAACCAACATGCCCAGGTGGTTTCACGCCTTCCTACACCATATCACTGGACAAACCGAACAAGTCGGAAGTGAGTACCAACCCCCGCGGACAACACGGTTTCCAGCCGTCGGGGCTGCCAAGAGCGCATGCCAGTAAGCCAAGCACCACAACCCGTCCGTATAGTATAATCGATTCTATTTCCTAGGCTGTCCTCGCTCGGTTCCTGATCAGTGGCTTGTTTCGTGGAGATCAAACCTCGTTCGCCTTAGGCTTGGTCGGCAGGAAGAGATCCAACATCGCAAATTTCGTTATTAAAATGCTCTCGTATCGGCAATCATGATAGTAGGGCTAGTACTAGAGCTACCAGTACAAAAATAGATAGAGTTCTCCGCGCACATCCAAGGCGTTGACACAAGGGGCAGTGGATAAGGAGGAGACGATGGCACTTACTATCATTCATGATGCCATCATCCTCCTCAGCATTCCTCTTCCTCGTCCCTATTGGCAGTGAATCCATTGGCGCAACTAACAGGCTTGCCAGCATCAGGCGGTTTATCGCGTTGGCTGTTAAAGTTACTCTCGTCTGTATGGATATTAAGGTTATTCTGTTGTTGATAATCCTTCTTCCGTGGTATTTATCATCTTTGGCTACATTCTCAGCGCAGGTGCGCTTACGGATCATTCAAAAGTTAGTACGGCTGCTAAGGCGAGACGTGCGATGGGCGAACGTGATTTAGCCAAGCCTAGCAAAGACTTCGGGAAGAATATGGCCAAAATCGAGACTAGTATGAGGGCCTGCAAGGCGTGGATTGATAAGGCAAGGTCTTGTGGTTATCATGAACCTACCTATAGTACGGACTACTTCTCTGTTCCGAGAATGCAACTATAGGATGGACCGAAGTCACTCTTCGATTCTTCTCGAATCCTCTCCCAAAATACGCTAATCTATACAGGGCTTAGCGTCATCTTAAAGATGGAACCGGATCAAAAGATGTCATGAGAGACTCGGTCTCGTAGATTATGTAGGTTGCAATGCCTACCTAGGTAGGTACTGTTGGCATGTTACCATTCCTAGCTCGTATTATACATAGACATCTTTTGTAATGAAGGTGAGATCCTATCGCAACCATAGCACAACATACAGCATACAGATGTACCTGAATGCCAAGACCTTGTCTCGCCAAGAGCTGAACTTGCCCGGTGAAACGAATCAAAATTGGCAGGTTTTCTAATTCCAAGGTGGAGTCTAGCCTATGAGAGCCCGATGCTGATCCTAATGTCCAGGGTTTTTCCTATGTTGTATGTATATTTTAGGCTTACAGTATAAAGAGATTTTCAATGATAAGGATCTACATCCTAGAATCGCTGAGTAGTTTGATTCGCTTAGTATATCAAATGTCCTACAAAGTATATTGTACATATATAGCTTCTATGTTGTATTTGTTGGAACGTGGACTCTCCCCTATTGTAAACCCTAATGACTCCTATTCGTCAGCCACAGTCATTTCCCCGAGATCCACTCAGGAGCTAATTTTATATCAATTTCACCCTCGGCCGTAGCTTCTTAGGTTTTTAGGGGAAGTACGGAGTACCGAGTACGGAGTAAAGGAAAGCCGCACCACTTCAGAATATCCTATTGTGTATTCCTAGGTCTGTACTCCGTATAATTCTTTTGCTTAAGTCCTCCATACCCTACCCACACATATGTTGTATATGAGACGGGAATTGGGGTCTTATCTTTCACAGATCTGATTCCTGTTGAAGCTTAATTTGAACTACCTTTGCCGCAAGGGTTCGGACAATGGCATTCAGATACACGTTGCACACGTGTAATTGTATCTAGATCGGGAGATATGTATTGGAGACTGGATGCAGTACTTCGTACAGTAAAACACACACGCGCATTACTTGGCAAGATACCCAACCGCATTCAAAAGCTTATGACGGGTTGTCGACATCATATCAAAGGGATCTACATACCACACGTCGAGACCTCGCTGGATGCGGCCAGGGGGTTGATGAAATAGAGTCATATCAAAACAATCGAAGCAAATGTCCTGTTAGCTTTTATATTGTGAAAGAAGATCATATATATTATTCCAAGCCATTTTAAACTCTTGTGTTTCCAAAAAAGAAAAAAAAATTTTAAGACAAACCCTCTTCCTCCCCCTCCACCTTTTCTCCTTCCTTACCTAATTCTGGATTCTGACTTCCAAGGTTGCCCCTACCACAACTTCACATCTTCGCTTTTTCAATATCTTCTTTCTCCGTTCTCTCTCTGAATTTTGAATCCTCTATTGATTATCCCCGCGTCGGGACACGTTTTTCCTGTCTCCAATGACCGCTCTCGCGACCTGAATCTCGGTTTTAACCCCCCTGCGCCCGTTTTTCCCTCTACTGTAACACCATGGCGAATATGTTAGTCTACCTCTGGATGTCTAGACAATCTTGGAATGTTCATGTCCACTGACGTGATGCAGGTTGACTTCGACATGGCGTTCTTTTTGGCATACCATGACCTCCTATGACCGTCATGCCTCTCACGACTCCCCCTACCGTACCGGGCGACACGTCCCTCTCAGTCAAAGTCGCCACGAGCCGCTCACATCTGTCGCAACCAGCGCAATCGAGTCTCGTCCAGACCTCTCCAACCCATACGATGACGAGCCCACAAAAGGATCTGCAAGTGCACAAGCATCCGAGTGGAATGGCTCGCCCGATGGCTTGGGCTCTCCTACCCAGCCCTACTCGCCAGGATGAGGTCGGTCGCGTCCCAGAAAAGACGATCGAACGACCAAGGCGAGGGTGCACCGGAAATCCAGATGCAAAGTTTCCACGATGGAGCACCGCCGCCGCCGCCGGTCGCTCACTCCTGGAGGAAGATCGAACGCTGGTTAGAACACAATTATGAGGAGCTACATGACCAGCTCGGTGAAGGATGTACCCAGAACGATATTAACGAATTGGAGCACGAACTTGACTGCAGTCTGCCATTAGAGGTGCGGGAATCTTTAATGGTCCATGACGGCCAAGAGCGTGGTGGCCTACCCACCGGTGTCATCTTCAGCGCCATGCTGCTCGACTGCGAAGAGATCGTTCAGGAATGGCGGAACTGGAAAAAAGTCAACGATGAATATCTCAGCAACGCAACTATGATGCAAAACCCACCCGCACCCAGCTCTGCAGCAAGCTCCTCCGCGGCCGGTCCGTCTCAGCAGGCCTCCACAATGTGGCAATCAGAACTGCTCGACCGTCAGGACTCCCAGCCCCCTGGTGCAGTTCAGAAATCCTACGCACACCCCGCTTGGATTCCCCTCGCCCGTGATTGGGGCGGCAACAACCTGGCCATTGATCTGGCACCCGGTCCCGCTGGAAAATGGGGCCAGGTGATTATTTTCGGCCGGGATTACGACTGTAAATACGTGGTTGCCCGCTCGTGGGCTGGGTTCCTGGCGACTCTTGCCGACGATCTGTGCAGCGGCCACGTCATTGTCGACGAGGAGACAAATGAGCTGAAGCTGAAGCAATTCAAGGCCCAAAATGTGGAGCCCCCATACCTGGAGATCCTGCGCTGGAGGGCTGATCAGAAATATGGCCGCCGTGTACCTCGCCGGAAGGGCCCTGTACCTAATGGTCTGGGTGTGAATGCTGCAGGCAACCGGTCCAGCAGCCGCGAGTCTCCCTACGGCAGCCCTACGCGCGCTGAAGAACGCGGCCGTTCGCCGCACCGTTTCTCCAAGGGTGGGAATGCCCAAAGTCCCAAGACGCCATTCGGCGTGTCCAGCCCTCTTGCACGCGTGACTGAGGAGACAACAAGTCCTGTTGTCACTGCAGGACCTACAATCTCCGAAGACGCCAAGGAAAATGGCAAGGAGCCTCAGACTGAAGATCTTATGGAGGTTGTAACCCCGCAAATCTCCAATAAGGAGAACGAAGGGTTCTCCAAGCCCAATGAACTCAAGGAATCCGACAAGGCCGAGAAAACCGAGAAAACCGACTCCGTAGAGTCCTCAACCGCCATTGAGTCGGAGGTCCTCGGCGAAATGAAGAACGTGGCTATTTAAAGTGAGCCTTGCTTTTTGAGACCCGGCAGTCCCTTTTTCTCTCGTGTCTTAGTTTTCAATGGCATTCGGCGTCAATGTGGAACTTATGGATGTGCGACAATGTTCTGTTTCTGCTTCTGTTTCTACTTCTGCTTCTATGTATAGAATTCCCCCCTGTTCTTCTTCTAGCCTCGGTTCCACGGCATTTGTTGTAACTCTAGGGTGCTGTTTCGCTCTGCTTCTGCGCTTTTTTTCCGTTTTGGCCTTTGCCGTCGAGATGGCTCTGTGTTTACAGTTTCTGATAATTTTTTTGCCTGTAATTCTATGATGACAGTCTGCCTTGTTCTTGCGTGTCTGGCTACAATCCCATTTACTTTGATTCTTCAATATTCTCAAGTTGCCCAAGACTTGTTCCCAGGCATACGCATGGTCCCAGTCGAGGTTTCCAAAGTTGCTGCTTCAACACACGTTGTATAAGCCTCAGTATATGGATATGTGGCATGGGTATGCTACTAAACATCCAACTATGAACATCAATATAGGTCATCAATCCGTTAATGTACAGAAATCATGAATAAACATCCCAATACCCTTTCCTTGGGGGTATAACCTTCAAGAAACGAGACTCTTAATCCCAATCGTCATCGTCATCGTCACCACGGTTCCTCACATTGGGATTAGAGCCCCGAATCCCACGTCTCCCCTTCTTCCTCCCAAATCCTCTCCCACCAGCACCATCATCACTCTCCTCCTCTTCTCTAACATCATCATCATCCCCAGCCCCAATCTTCACGGCCAAAAGAATCCCCTTAAAGACCAATCTCTTCTCCAGAACCTTCACGTCAAACCCTTCAACCCCATCAAAGCCCCTCGCTTCGAGCCCTTCAAACCCAACAATCCGGTCAACTCCAACCCCATCCTTAAACCCAATAACACAAGGCAAGACCTTAAATCCCAAGTTTCTGCGCAATAAATGGCGTGTTACGCACATCCACCCGCGCAAACGAAACATCATAGTGTGCATTCGCCAGCTCACCAAGCTTCATATCCATAACCGCGCACCGTACAAAATCAGGGTGCGCAAAGTGAACCAGACACCTGCTTGTACGCGTTGTGAAGTCCAACACGGACTGGTCTGTCGAGAGTGTCGGGGAGACTTCGTTTTGGATGAGGCCTGTGTTGCCGCCGGTTGCCCGTGCGGAGTGGTTGTTTTTTGTGGCTGCCAGCTCGGCGTTGAGTTGGTGGATGCGTTGGTCGCGGTAGTGAGTGTCATCTTCGTTTTCGAGGGCGGCGAAGAGGGCTTCGTCGTCTGAATCGGGCATTTTGAGGGGATGTGCGGGGTGGATTGGATTGGATTGTGGTTTTAGGGTTGGGGGGTTTTTTTTTTGTTCCTTCGGTAGGTTTTGGCACGACTGGTTTTGCTTTTGAGCCCGATCTCCTAATGTGAGAGTGTGGATTGGGATTTTCAGAAGAGTGTGTGGTTAGGAGGGTTGAGGTTGGAAGGTCGGGAGCTCCACTGGTATATGGGCTCGGTACAGAGCAGTCTACGCGTGAACAGCTTTAGAAATTTGTTTTTGGGGTTTCTATAGTGGGCAATTAGAATGAGGTGTGTATTTCCTTATTTATTGTTCTTTTAATTAGTAGAACAATTTCACGCATATTCTTTAGCCTCATAGCATAGTTATGCTATGCACATAACTAGCCACACTACATATAAGTACACACGTATCACTGCCAACTATGTATATTGTATATGATCGATTGAGTGTTTGCAAGTCCCAATCAGCAGTATCAATTGACTACTATACCCCGTATCTTGTACTCCGTACTGCAATACAACATACCTAGGTACGGAGTAGTCCATGGATGTTTCACTCTATAAATAAAATCCTGAGTCAGCACCCCCTAACCGCCCTGCTTAGGTAACGACGTGCCTGTTTCCGGCCGCGAAATCTGTTGTTGTCAAATCTCCTTTGGCCTTTTTTCTTTGGTCATCTTCTCGAACAACTTCTTTTGTTCTTCGACTCCCCTGGATATATCCTGGGTGCTATCTGTCGTTTCCGATCCTTCCCCTTTCAAAAAACAGCCGATAACACCCCCTATCTGCGACCAACTCCCTCAACATGGCCGAAGACAAGAAATCCGACGACTACACCGTCGACATGAACAAGGTCGACCAAGGGAATAAGGAGTTTGAGGCTGCGCCGCCGCCGACTCCCTCGCCCCGCGCCAGTTCCACCATGTCCAACAACCCCGCTTTCCCCGTTCTGGCATACTGTGGTTCGTCAATTATGATGACCGTGATGAACAAGTATGTTCTGTCGGGCTTGGATTTCAATCTGAACTTCCTCTTGCTCGGTGTTCAGGTATGTGGTGGATTCTGCAGTCTTGATCCAAGGCGAATTGCTAATATCAACAGTCTTTGGTCTGCATTGCTGCAATTCAAACATGCAAGTCCATGGGTCTTATCACCTTCCGTGATTTCAACACCGATGAGGCCAGAAAGTGTATGGACTCCGGTTAATACAAGCTGAGAGACGTAGCAGCTGACAAGACTCCATATCAGGGTTCCCGGTTACGCTCCTACTGATCGGCATGATCTACACTGGTTCCAAGGCTCTTCAGTTCCTCTCAATCCCGGTTTACACCATCTTCAAGAACTTGACCATTATCCTAATCGCCTATGGAGAGGTTCTCTGGTTCGGTGGCTCAGTCACTAACCTTACTCTCTTCTCCTTCGGTCTGATGGTTTTCAGCTCGCTCATTGCCGCCTGGGCTGATATCAAGCATGCCGTGGAGAGCACCGGTGACACCTCCAGCAAGGTCTCCACCCTGAACGCCGGATATGTATGGATGTTGATCAACTGCCTGTGCACCTCATCCTATGTTCTGGGCATGCGCAAGCGCATCAAGCTGACCAACTTCAAGGATTTCGACAGTATGTGCCTCTTCCAGCCTTGTTTCGAATGTTTGCTAACATGACCTTCTCTCCAGCCATGTTCTACAACAACCTCCTTTCCATCCCCGTTTTGCTCGTTCTCACCCTGCTGGTCGAGGACTGGTCATCCGCCAACCTTGCCCGCAACTTCCCCGAGGCCAACCGTGACGGTATTTTCTTCGCCATGGTTCTGTCCGGTGCTTCCTCTGTCTTCATCTCTTATACATCCGCATGGTGTGTCCGCACTACCTCCTCCACCACATACTCTATGGTCGGCGCACTCAACAAGCTGCCCATCGCCCTGTCTGGTCTCATCTTCTTCGATGCGCCAGTCACCTTCCCCAGCGTTTCCGCCATCGCTATCGGCTTCGTCAGCGGTATTGTCTACGCCGTTGCCAAAATCAAGCAGAACTCCAAGCCCAGAACCGGTGTTCTCCCCACGCCAGTCAGTGCCAGCAGCCAGAGCATGAGAGACTCGCTGCGCTCTTAAGGCTTGGAATGGCAATATGCATCTGACTGGTCAGTGCATATACAAAAAGTCAACCGCGTCCACGGTGCTCCTTTGCATGTGACATTATGATTCACGTTTCATTGCAGCCGAATTCAAGGGTCTTATCTGGTCTGATGGGGAAAATCCTGCGATCACTTTGGTCGGTGTTGGTGTTTGATTCCTTTCTCTTTTCCGTTATTTTCACCTTCCCTCGCCTTACACTTATGGGAAACCGATTCGTTTTGCCGGTTTCTCCTGACCCCCTGCTTTTGGCTTCCAATATGATTTAGTAATTCTCCCTTTGTTTTGATATGCGGTCATAGCATCTATCCTTGCCTGTCTTGTTCGATGTATATAGCTATGCCGCGATCTGTTTCTTTTTCTAATAGAACGTGTCTTTCGATAACTAATATGGGTTATTCTTCGGTTAACTATTTTATATTTCCCATCTTGTACTTCGAAGTTGCCGGGCACCTGTGTGCCTGGAAGCTTTGTCATTAAGTGGTTTCAATGTCACGACTTCGGGGAGATTGGTGTCCATTCAGTCTCATTTCGACCTCACCTTTTACTTTGCCCTCGTCTCTCCCATTTGTTTCATTCTAATCTGTCTCCCGCCGAGAATATCATACATCCCATTTCCCAAAATGCGTAAAAGTAAACAATCCAACGCAGTGTATCTCGGACATTTAACCATCTGGCCACCACATCAACATGTTCACCTGTACCCCCTGCAACCGCAGGTACAACGACCAAGCTAGTCTCGACTATCATCTCCTGTTCTCTCCCTGCCATGCCCACAAATGCGGCTCATGCTCCAAATATCTCACCAGCGAGGCTGACCTCATCGCCCACGCCGCCGAAGCACGCCATCATGCCTTCGAATGCAAACCATGTGGTCAGATCCCCAAGTCCGGGGATCTTCTTAGAGTCCACCGCGAGTCCAACTTACATAAGAGGATGATCAACTCCCCTCTCAATACCTTCTTCCGCTCCTGGCCCAACTTTCCATTCCACGTCCAGCTCCCGCCGCATAAATCTTGGGAGCAACTGCATATGTTCTATGGCTGGGATGACCAAACCCCCGAGTATCGTGCAGCTTGGATCGGATACCAGGATGCGCTAGCTTCAGAAGTGACCATTTGGTTCGGCGATGTCTTGGAGCTTGAATCCTGGCAAAAGCTTTGTCGTGCTGTCGGGATTGCTCCGCTTCCTGGAACTTGCGCCGATGGTTATATGGTCTGTCCTTGCCGACTTATACTTAATTGCTTTGTGCTAACGGCGTGGTGTTATAGGCTACTCGAAACCTCTATGTCAATCTCATTGACCTCATTCAGTGGGCTCGCACTGGTAGAGTCAATGGCGAGGTTAAGCGCTGGAAAAATAATGCTGATCTTTTCGAGTATTCGATTGCGACCAAGAGGATTTTTGAAAGGGACATGACTGCCAACGACAAACCTAATGTCGTTCTGCGACATTTGACTAACTGCATGCTCCCTCGTTAGTCGGTCTCTTAGAATTCGACCTGCGATCACACGCTTGGGTATCCTGGATCAGTTTCCTGTGGTTGCACGGCGCTGAAGTCAGATTGGCCATTCTGGATACACCTTCTTGGATTGGGCATGATGTCCTTACCTTTCCTCTCTCCACATTTGCCAGATGCCTTAGCTTCTCTGGACCTAGTCTCAGCATGCATTGAAGGCTTGAATGAATTTGCCCACTTGTCTGGAGTGGCTCACTCTTAGATTGGCCGTGAACATGGCGGGAACTGATACTCCCGCTGTGTTGTTGATTGCCTGGGTCATATCCACAACGTTCGTTTGGTTCTCTCCTTCTTTACTTAAGTACCTAAGAAGTGGAGGCATATTGTTTTTTTACCTTGGACGCTTTGCTCGTCGTTGCTTTTTCTTTTCTTCCCCTTTGTCTGGAGCGTCAATTGCGGCCTAGTTAAGGCATGAACCTCGGGGGTTTCTTTTCCCGTGGCAGAGTTACACTTGAATAGTTTTTCAGAGAATAGTTCGAATCCAAACTTCAGAAGCAAGAGAGAGTTTAAAATAGAAGAGTAGGCTAAAGAGAGATAGAGAAGATTGAAGCGCAGTTGAGGACGTATACTTCGGATATCTGATTATCCGGGCCGATTTTCTTCCGCATCATCTTCCGCAGACACTAGCGGTGGCTCCGTATTCGTTAGATACAATTTTATACAACTACCTTTTTGAAAGAGAGATCGCTTCTCTTCGCCTTCAGCCATGCCTCGCAATAACAAGAAGGTCAAAAACGCCCCTCCGCCGCGCCCTCGCGGACCAAGCAAGCCATCTGGCCCATCTTCAAACCCAGCCAAGGGACAGCAGCATGGCAATGGGCAAAAGCAGGGCAACTCTAATGCCAATGCACCTAAGAAAGCTTCTATGCAAGCAAATCAGAGACCTATTGTGCCGTTTTTGAGGAAGGACCGAATTCTTCTGATTGGTGAAGGTGAGCTTTTCTTCCATTTTAGTCGACATAATTGCTCTGCGTTCTTCACTCTATGCAAGAATTTCGTTGCAGATAAGTTCTACCCATAGATGTATATCTTTTCTCGTGGCGTTCATGCCCAGAGCTGTGTTTCCATTTTGATATACGAGTTTGAAACCAACATGTATTCCTGTATAAAACAAGAACATGCAACATGCATAAATCTCGATTTATCTATTATATCTGGAAAGCATATTCTAACAGCCACCAGGTGACTTTTCATTCGGCCGTTCTCTGGCAAAGCAATACAAGTGCCGCAACCTATGCGCCACATGCTACGATTCCAAGGAAGCACTGTACGACAAGTACCCGCAAGCTCCTCGGAACGTCTCAGATATCCTGAGCGCATCAGCAAAGGCAAAACCAGCAACCGACGAGACAGAAAAGCAGCCAGAGGAGAGTAAATCCGAAGACCCGATCTCAACCAACCCCAACCAGCAACCCCCCAAAGTCATCTTCTCTGTGGACGCGCGCAAGCTCGGCGCTCCAGCAGGCGGTGGCAAGGAAATCCGCACAGGATTCGAACGTCGTGAGCGCAAGAGACCAGCCTGGTACCAGCAAAATGAGCCAGCAGGACCACCGTACCAGCCCGGCGGGCCGTGGGATGTGATCTGCTTCAATTTCCCGCACGTGGGCGGGCTCTCTACGGACGTGAACCGACAGGTTCGTGCGAATCAGGAGTTGCTGGTTGCGTTCTTTAAAGCGTGTGTGCCGCTTGTTTCGAAGCCGCCGCCGCTTATGGATGCTGAGGATGATGAGTGGGTGTATGCGGATGGGGAGGATAGTGAAGAGGAGGATGAGGAGGACGAGGATGAGGAAGGAGGAGAGGGTGAGGAGCTGGGGAAAGATGATGATACTACCGGGAAGGGTTTCCGGACTGGGCCTGGTCAGATCCTTGTGACTCTGTTCGAGGGGGAGCCGTATACGCTTTGGAATATTAAGGATTTGGCGAGGCATGCGGGGCTAGTTGTTGTGACTAGTTTCCGGTTTCCTTGGACTTCTTATGAGGGTTATTCACATGCGAGAACGGCGGGGCATATTGAAGGGAAGGATGGCGAGCGCGGAGGATGGAGGGGAGAGGATCGGGAGGCTCGGATGTATGTCTTTGAAGTGAAGCAGAAGGAGCCGGCCAAGAAGGGAGGGAAGAAGAGGAGCAGGGATGATGATTCTAGTGATAGCGAGTAGGGGTGAAATATGTATTATAGTATCATGTTTATAATAAAACTGTATATATTGAGTTGTAGCTCGTTTCATTCCCGGTAAATGCCTGCCCAAGTTCACATAATGTACACTTTCTTCATCTCGCCCTCGTGGAAAACCTCTCCTGTTGTTGGGTCTTTGACGTTGCCTGGTCCTACTGAACCCATCTTCCGGCTGATCTCCATCAGTCTTTGCTTCCCGTAGACTCGGCCGTTTGGTAGAACTATTGGGTCGCTTTCCACGTAGCTCTTTGAGTGGTGGGCGTATGGCATTTTGCGTGCAAGCTCATTCAGTTCTGTTGAGCAGATAGGACACACAGATGTCGACGTTGACTGTGAGTTTGAGCTGGACGATGTATACGCTGAATGGCACAGAGGTGTTTTAAGAGCTGAAAGTCCTGCGGAAAGTGCAATATGTAATAATGGTTGTGACGGCAGTGAAAGCAGTTCATGGTGAGTCTGGATAAAAAGTTGCGCAAGAAACCTCCAGCGGTCCAACGCAAAGAGAGACTGTACTACATCAGCAAAAACACCACTAATCAAGTACGGATGTTTGGCTTACTTTGTAAGGCTCGGCTCTTGTATCCTGTGTGAAAACCAGTAATCCGGCGGCCCGCATAATCTCGGAATTCTGAGATTGATGGTTCGGTATGAGGTATTTCTTCGCATGAATTATTGCCTCAATCTTCTTAGACCTGTCTTGTGTCCGGACCATCTCGATGTATTGCTGCAGCCGGAGTTCGAATTCGAGATTATGCTTCATGAGCGTTGGGTTAGCTGAAAGCTCCAAGGCAACAAGAATCAATTCCAACTCACCTGGCTCTTCTTCAGTGCAGCTTTATTCTCTCCGCACCACTGCAATGCCTCCTTGGTTTCCCCGCGCCGTAAGCTATCCACAACTCGTTGACACTGCGTGAATACACCGAGATCCACGAGTTCCTCCACTCCCCTATCCTGGGCCAGCTGCTTCGCACTTTCAGAGTAACCCGAACGCAGCATATGGTCAACCAGTAAGCGGTCCAGCCGTACCCTTGACCACTGGTCGTACTTGACATCGGCTAGGCTCGGGATCTTATGCAGTGTCTCCAGGTGCTGAATGCGCTTTCGAGATTGGTTGTGGATTTTCTTCTCTTCCTCCTGCAGACTTTCCATTTTCTTTTGAGACCTTGCATTCTGGATATCATTGCGTCGAGTGCGGCGAGGGTCTGGTCGGGGGCTTGGGTGTTGGAGAGTGAGGCGGCGGCGGTCTCTTTGATTGCGGGGATGATATATTCTTTCTCTCGCTCGACAGCTCGTTGTACAGTTTTAAAATTTCTGCGGGCTAGTTCATGTGGTAGTCGAAGGAGTGGTTGGTCCTGTGTAAGTACCTCGATTAGGTCCCGCTTCGTCATGGAAGTGCGGAGTAATGATTACCAGGATGATGTGGCTCTCCGGGTTGAGCTTGGTGGATGTCAGCTCTGCTGCCATGGTGATGGTGCCTAAGTCTGTTTTGATCGTGGATCCGAGTCCGAAGGGTAATAGCGAGGATCACAGTCCAGACATGAAGTGGAGGGGAGGGAAATGCGGAGAGAACATGCAGTCACGAGATCCACATCGAGGACAAGCATTGACCGCCTCCATTTGCGGTTATACCACACGATTCTACAGTCTTTTGGATATTCTCACTGATAGAATTCCATTGAAAGGCGTATTGAACAAGATGCTAAGAGAAGAAGGTTGTCGTGGCAGAGACTATCACATTGTAAAGTCAATCCAATTCAATCGAAATATATATATAGCCAAGATACCTACATAACCTTACATAAACTTAGGAAGCAGCATTACGGACAACCTTGGAAAGCAAGCAACTGGTACATGTACATGATTCACTTACTAGCGTTACTCAGATTTATAAGAATGGTAGATTCAACAGATAGGCAGCCTTCAATATGAAACTCTGGAATAGAACAAATTTCCCTTTTGACCCAAGACTCCGGAAATAGCAAAATATGGTACAGGAAAGGGACCTGACGGCCTTCCTGGAGTGCATCTAGTCGCTGTCATCGCTATCATCCTGCTTGGACTTCCGGCGCTCCTTCTTCTCCTTCTTCTCCTTCTTCTTCTTCTTGGCCTCGGCCTTCCTCTCGGCCGTCTCGCCGTCGCGCTTGCGTTTCTTGTCTTCGACCTCCTCCTTCACGGGCTCGGGGGATTCAGCCTTAGGGGCCTCGGTCTCGGTCTTAGTCTCGGCGGAGGGCGCAACAGCAGCGGTTCCGGTAATAGGAAGGTTAAAGTCCTTGTACTCGCTCTTCCACTGAGCGGGGGTGGCGTCGTTGGGGCGACCGTATTTCTGAGATCAAAGTTAGTATGTTGTATGAAAGCGAAGGCTGTTCAGCCACTTACATCGAGAGTTCCTGCAGTCTTCATCTTCTTCTTCTCAAGGGCAGTGGGTCCCAAGCCCCAGCGGCGAGGGTAGAGGTCACGCTCCATGATGCAACGCTTGACCTTGGCAACAACGCCGTGGTCGCAGGTAGTGAGCTCGACAGTGGACATCTGAGCGATACCAATGGCGATAGCCTCACCCTTGGTGGTCATGAGGACAACCTCCTCGTGGCACTCAATACCGGCCTCTGAAAAAAAAAAAAACCATTAGTACTGATCGGAAAAAGACTCGGGGGGAAAAGGTCACATACCGTAGCGGAGAAGACCAGGAATCATGAGCTTGGCACCGTAGCAGACGGCGTTGACAGCGCTGTCCTTGACGACGATACGCTTGTAGCCAGTGAGCAGAGACTCCAGAGGACTGATGACCTTGCGGAGGTAGGACTCGTCGCGGTTGTTGTCGTAGACCCATTGGGCGTCCATAACATCGTGCAGAGTAACCATACCCTCGCCCTCGCCCATGGCTCCAGAACGAACACGGCGAAGTTCCTGCATGTGGGCGCCGACACCGAGGAGAAGACCCAGGTGGACACAGAGGGTACGGATGTAGGTACCAGCCTCACAGCTGACCCAGAAGACACCGAGGTGGCGCTCGTTGTCGAACTCGTAGTTCTTGCTCTCGTGAATGGTACGGATACGGAGCTGGCGCTTGACGGCAGAGATAAGAGGGGGGGCGCTGGAAGAGCGCACCGGTCAAGGTCTCCAGAGCGCGGACGAATTGGGCCTCGCCACCGGGGATCTTGTCGTGGAGACGGATCACACAGACATACTCCTTACCGGCACCCTGCTGGGACTTGACCAGGCGGGTGGCACGGTCAATGCAGACGATCAAACAACCGGTGACCTTGGGATCAAGGGTACCACTGTGACCAGTCTTCTCGGATCTATAGAGAGTAAAATGGTCAGCAAGTGTGTGAAACCATTGAGAGGATCTGGTGGATTTTGATTTACCTAAGGATCCGCTTCATCCAAGCCACGACTTCATGACTGGAAGGGTTGGACGGCTTGTCAAGGTTGATGACACCGGAGCTGATGTAGGACTTCAGGTCACGGCTCAGGGGAGAGGAGCCAGCAGGGATAGGGGTGAAGTGACCGGTCCGAACGAGCACTACAAAAAAAGTCAATGTCGGCTGGTCAAACTGGAGTTTTAAGGACAAGCATACGCTTTTCATAGTTCTTAAGCAGAAGCGGCCAATCCGATGTATCAACGGAAGGAACGGACGCTTCAGGCTTGATGGCGTAGTCCATCTCCGAGGTCTTGACGACTGCCATTTTGTTGGTTGTCGTTGAAGGATGCGCGGTGAAAACCCCGAAAATTTGTCGAAGGAAATTTTGCGAGTGCGGCAGCTCCAGTGCCAAAAGCGGTTTAGCGCCTGGAGAAGTATCACGTGATTTGGAGTTCTCGACTTTTTACGCCTCCGATTCCAAAGGACTTCAAATCTTTGGGACGTTTTGCTAATAATATAGATTATTTGAGAACAAGCTAATTGGTACAATAAACATGCTCAAAGATTATTAACTATGGGGTTCACAAATCTGTATTTGTGGCCAAAGAATGACCGAAACCATGTTCTTGTCAATTATCACTACCACAAGTCCATGTGACTTATGGGCACAATGAATGCTGAAACGTCTGTCACATGCAGAGCATCTCCCTTGCAGGGCGGCAATGGGCGCAGGGCATGTATGGCTCTCCATTTAGCCAAGTCTCCGGCCAGCGCCTCTGCCATTCCAAGAACTCGAAGAGGTCCAGCTGCCCCAGGTTGATCCTGATGCTGACGCTGACGAGGGTTGCCCGGCTGGCCTTGGTGCGCGGCTCGCAGTTCCATATCCTCGGTATCCGCTGTTGGGGTCATGTTCGGTAAAGTACCTCTCCACGAAGCCGGGGACAGTGATAAAGTTTCTCCCACCGCCGAAAGTCGGGTAGATGCGTGTGAGAAAATCATAAGTATGGGCAGCCAGGATTCCCATGCTTTCTACCAGCGCGGCATCCCATCCGTTCGACACCATGGTGACGAGAAGCATTGCATATGGCAGAAATACGACCGGGATATCGATGAACCAGAATCTTGTCTTGGTTCCTCGGTTCGTCTGGGAAAAGGTGTAGACGAAAGCCATGGTCAAAGCTGATTTCAAGTCAGTGTCTGTCTGAGGATTGAGCCAAGTACGGCAAGCTTACGTGACAGAAGGATAGCCGCTCCCAGATAACCACCTGCAGTGAGCTTGGGAAAGTTAGCAAATTTGGAAGAGATATATTGGACTACCAGGACGGCGAGTAAAATAGGATGTAGATGGTATTGGAAAAGAATAGATGATGTATATAGAAATGTAGGGCACCTCCGATACTGACGCGATATGAAATCACACCAGTGAGCTCGAAGGAAATCCCACCATGCCCACACCTGCACAACACCTGTATTTTGCGAATTATGATGGTGTTGCACAGATGCAGGGGTGCTTTCCCTCGCCTTCAGGAACCGATTCAGCTAGATTTCGAAGCTGGTCGGGCAGTTATAGCGAGGGATTTGGATATGGACGCGAGCGTAGATGAAAAAGAGAAAGAAAGAAAAAGCAGACTCTACTGAGTCACTTACCATGATGCTGAAAGCTACAAATAGGAGATAAATGAGGAACTCTCCAGGGGCCATGCTCCTCTCCGCAGCACTGCCATAGCGGTACACTATCGGTACATTAGCACTCTGATCAGACCAGGCCAATGTGATACCGAGGCATCGTACTGATATAAAGATCAAAGAGGAAACCTAGTTTCGGTCCGGTTAGTAGAAATGGGGTGACCAGCCGGTAGATCTGCGGGCGCCATGAGAATATCAAGCTCGGCAAGAATGGTGCCCAATAGAAGCTCAATAAGCCGCCATACATCAAAGCGGATTGAACCAGAGTCAAGGCTGTGAGAGTCCTGGATGACAAGTCAGTAACCAGAGCTTGAGATCGGCAAATAGGACCTGCATACCTAGTGACCGGGGGAGCCGCCCAGAAGACATCCATCTTGAAAAGAACAAGATGTGAGATGGTTAATTGATCACGGCTTCGAACATTACAACCGCTCACAAAATAGCCAAATTACTGTGTGGTTGAAGAAAGAAAGAGAAGGACAGGTGGAAAGAAAAAGGTGTGCAAATCTGGCTTCGGGGGAGTTTCTCCGATGTCCGTTGCTTACGTACTATATTGTATGGCCGGATTGTTCTATCTGCTTCGACAGCTTCACACCCTAGCTGTTATTATTAGTATTTGTCAAGTATAATCACTCAGGTGAGATGTTATTCAAACGTCATATCGCATGTAAATGTGCAGGTATAATTGGGTATATCATTGCAACCTCGTCCGTGCAGTACCCCGAACGGCCAACCCTCCATCTGGACCCTCAATCCACACATCCCAAGCCCCGGTGTCATTCTTAGGCTTGCCACAGATAACCAGCTCCTGTTCAACAAAAAGAGGTGCTATATTCTTATATTCAATATCACTGATGCAGAGATTCAATCTACTCAGCTGTTGCTGGAGCACGCTCAGCAGCAGCGTCAGCGTCAATGGACCATGCACTAAAAGATTTGGGTATCCCTCCTGGTTCTGGGTATAGCTCTTGTCAAGGTGGATGGAATGGGCATTGAAAGTCAACGCCGAGAATCGGAATAGCAGCGCTTTAGTAGGTATGAGGGCATGGCGGAACGTCGCACCGGAGGGAGCTTCATTGCGCCAGAATCATTAGCAAATTCGACATCATATTCAATGGCTGGTAGTATATTCTCACGTTTTACAGTCCTACCAGGCTTTCCGAACTGCGCTTTATCGGCCTCGATTTGGGCGCTGGTTTTTAGGCGCATGAAAATGAGGTCCCGGTTCTCAATTACTGAGGATTCTCCCGCATTGTCTTCGTTCTCTTTCCATATCCGGTCCCAAGTCTCCTCGGCTGTTTCTTGCTCAGCAACATTGCCAATGCGTCGTTCGATGGTGACGATCACTTTCTCGTCCCCTTCGCGGCCCTTCACCGTCACGTTGCGGATGGATTCTATGCAGACTGCGCGACTGCCATCCAGAGGCGGACTGCGCACAGGGAATCTTAGATTCCCACCCGCCCAAAGGCGCCGATTAAATGGTTCGCCCGGCGTGTGTAACGTATCTGTGCAGTCCGGGAGTAGTTGAGACAAGGTCACCTGCGGCGGGAAGTAGATTAAGTGGTGACCGACGGGAAGCGGGGACGGGTTCTGCAATGTCGGTAGAGTCGCATAATCAGAGGAATTTTGGGATTGTGGAAGGAGATCACGGAGCGTGAGGTTCAGAAGATGTGAAGGTTGGGGGTGTAGATAGTCGTAAGTCAACGGGAGCTTCCTTGTGGTCAGTTCATAATGCAAGCGCTCGGAGAGCGAGGAGTAAGTCCGACATGCATGACGCCCGCATCGCAAAGAGATTAGGGGTCGGAGTGGATTTGTCTTCATGAGAAAAGAGACAGACTGAATTGGACGATTATCAAATCGCAAGTTGACTTCCAAGGTTGAAGCAATAGACTCATCCGCGTTTGATTTGTTTGTCTGTCGCTCATTGCCTATGTCGGAACTGCCACAGCATCGGGATTCAGCCCACACCGCTCGGAGACCCGATGTCGCCTGTCGATGAGATGGCAAGCCCGACGATTTGATCTGATTCAAATAGGCTCAGCCCAATTGACAGGGAAAAGATCATCCCATACTTCAATCAAGATGGCTCCCTTGAAAGTTGCCTTCTTAGGGCCGCTGGGGTCCTTTTCGCATCAGGTACAAACTTTACCCCACATCCTTGCGAATGCGACTTAGTTTGATGATTGACCCCTGTTCTAGGCTGCTGCAGAGTCCTTTTGCAAACTATCCGCCGATCTACAACCTCAAGTCTCATTCCCAGATGCCTTCGCCGCGCTCCAAAAGAAAGAAGTTGACTACGCCGTGATTCCGTGCGAGAACTCGACCAATGGCTCTGTGATGCAGACATTAGACCTTTTGGCAGACCGGGATGGTTCATATAAAGACGTGAAAGTGTGCGGGGAATATTACTTGACAGTGCACCATTGCCTAATGGTGCGCAAGGGCACATACCCCGGTGGTTGGGCAGAATACGACGGCTCTATAACCAAGCTATACACACACCCGCAGGCATGGGGCCAGTGCGAAGCTTTCTTGACCAAATACTTCAAGGGCGTCGAGAGACAGGATGTCACGTCCACATCCAAGGCAGCGGAGATCGTCTCTAAGGAGACAACGGAACGGGGCGCTGCCATTGCCAATCGCTTCGCGGCAGAACAACACGGGACAGACCTGCTTGTGGAAAATATCGAGGACCGAGCAGACAATACTACCCGTTTCCTGATCTTCAGGAATGTGCTTGATGAGCGAACTGCGGAGTTCGAACTCGAGCAGCCGAACCCGCCTACATTGGAAGGCGAGCTTGCCCTTGAAACTACGCACAAGACTTTGATTTCTTTCACGATTGATCATTCATCTCCCGGTGCATTGGCAAATGCGCTGTTGATATTCAAGGCTCATGGCTTGAATCTTACAAGCATTAACACAAGGCCGAGTCTAAAGAAGCCTTGGCAGTATATCTTTTTCGTTGAGTGTGGAAGGACACCCTCGGATGAGAACAAAGAGGCAGTCCACAAGGCTCTCAATGATTTGCGTCAAGTCACTGAGACATGTAGGGACCTGGGGACCTGGAAAGATCAGCTAAGTGCAAGCAATGCTTGACTTGACTGGTTCTAATTGGAGACTCGCCTTGGTCTTTTGATCAAGAGCAACGCATTGATGATTTTGCAAACGCGCTGAAAGCGTCATGTCATATATGTTGAAGATATCTCGGTTTACTATACGAATAAATGAAATAAAAATGTACGCACTGTCGACGATATGGACAAAGTGTACACTGCAAGATGAAACAGGAAACTTAATAAACAATAAATAGCACCATCTATATCAACCCTTTCGGGTGCTTTTTTTCTTTTCAATAACGAGCAAATAATGAGCGAAGTACCAGAAAATGCCATTCAGAGATGAAACGACAGAATCGGCTGAGAAATAAAACAATCCAACGCCGTCCGGCTTACATAGAGTAAGCAGTGCAAGCAGCGGTGGATGACCAAACGTTGCAGATTACTGCACCCAACCTTTCAAATTGCAATTTAAACCTCATCTTCATCTCAGACACTGAGGTGACCTCAGTGTGCGTACCTTGGAGCTTGGACGACACTGTATTCAAAACATTAGAGCTAATCCCCAAGTGATAAGGCTAGCTGGATGTCTCACCTCTGAGCAGCTTCAATGAGCGTGGACCAGGCCTTTTTTGGTTATCCTTTACGGATGCCTTGGTTCCATCGCGGGAGCCGCCTGCATGATCCACGGGGCGAGCCGTCAAAAGACTCGCCGCGGGAGCTTCTGGCCGTTCATCCTCGCTCTCTGCGAGGGGGCAATACCGTCAATCTGCAGAAGTTAGTATCAACATAAACACGAGAAACGAGAAGAAAACATACCGTCGTAGAACTCGTCATCATCGCTGAGATCAGCAAGCTGTTCGAAGTTGACCTTGTACCGGAGAATAGCACCGATACCACCGAAACCCTTGACGAACTGGTTTCCTTCGCCAGATCGGTCAGACACGAACTCCAGGTTGGCACCGAAGTCCTTGTAGGCCTCGGCAAGCCATTCGAGGAAAGAGCCCGATTCGACAACCTCCATATCCAACCCAGTTTCCTTGTCCTGGAAGAGGTCCTTCTGGGATTCCTGAAGCTTGTTCGTGTGGATAATAACCTGATTGCCTGCCGCGTTCTTCATGACCCAGCGAGTGATTTCCAAGTTCTCGTGGACGATCAAGATTTCAGCTGCACCAAGCTCCATTGCCTTGAGGGTATCTTCAATACCGTAGCAGACTCTGCCGGTGTCTTGGCTGATCTCCTGGAAGTACTGGCCAATAAGCTTCTTCTCCTGAACGAACTTGACGTTGCTCAGGGTCTCGCCAGCCAATTCAATGGCCTGGTTGAAACCGTTCTCGCCACCGTAGGAAACATCGACAACCTTGATAACCTTGGATTGCAGGCGACCGTCGAACAGGTCAGACTGGTTAAGATCGTTCTTGAAATCGGCGGAACCAGCCAACACCAGGCCGGCGACGTTGGGCTTGTCGTTGGTGATGTAGTTCTGAACAGCAAGTTCAGCGATCTTGCGCACGTAGTTGTGACGCTTTTCCTCACGGAGACGCGAGAAACGCAGAGCGGATTGACCACCACGGCCCTGTATGAAAATTAGTATGCATGAACATCGTACTCAATCACTTGGGGCACTCACGTGCTTCTTGGGCAGATCAACGGTCAGACGCTGAAGGATCTCACGAGTGTTGCCACTGAGAGTACCGAACAAAGTACCGTTACCGTCCATGACAATGAAACCGAACTTCTGATCAGCCTCGAGAAGCTCACTCAATGCTTCAGTGTGGAACTTGTTGTCACAAAGGTAGAGGGAGGTGTTGATGGGCTTGAACGGTTCGAAGTCGATGTTAATCTTGCGCTCCTTTCCTTCCGAGGTGATAATTTCACCACAGTACACGACCAGTCCATTGGGAGGGACCTTGTTGTAGAGCTTCAGACGCTGCTGAGTAGAGGTAATGGCCGACAGCACGGAAAGTCGGTTCACTCGAGATTTAATGTTGGAGGCGGTACCCTATTGTGCGATTAGGCGGCGTCCGGCGCAGACAGATCGGAGGGGGGGTTTTTTACGTACATACTCTTCAGCCAACATCTTGGCTGCTCTGCTAATCTGATCCTTGGGGGCTAAATTGACATGTTAGCGGCGACAGTAAGTGGCGGAGGGCAGTGATAGCGTACGGATAATGAGCGAAATCATAGAGGTTCCATTTCCACGAGCGGATTCAAGACGCTTGATCAGCTTCTTGACCTTCCAGATCTCGATATTCTTCTCAGCTTCGTTCGGCGGAGGGGCACTCATCTTGGCGAGGCGACAGTTGATCAGGGGGGGAAAGTTATCGGAGGCCCTGCGGACGCCTGAAGATTCGGTCAGTAATGGGGGGCGGGAGTCGGCGAACAAAGATTTAGGCTTGCCTTTTTACACCTAAGATCAGTTAGTAGTTGCCGGAAAAAAAGAGTAAAAAGTGAACACTGGTATTTCTTTTTCTTTTATACTCATAGATTCAATAACGGAGAGTACATACCTTTACTGAATATGACGTTTAAAAGCGACAGCAAATTTCCTCGTGGGGTTGGACATACAAGTTTGTTCGAGGGGTCGGCTGGCACGCTGAGGTAAGCCAGGGCTACCCGTGACGTATCTGGTACTTGCCGGGTCATGGCCCAACAGCCGGGTGGCCAGGTACAGGTACATTTTCTTCTTTTCTGCAGGTCTACTATTTCCAAGGTTACTATATACTCCATGTTAAGCGTGGTAATAGGTGAGTATCCATGGATATCAATTCTAGAATTGGCATAGTATGCAAAAATTATGTCCAATGCATCTCTCTTACGTATTGGATTGTCATAAAAACATCCATGGATGTTTGGTCCTCAATTGAGAAAGTGACATCTATGTACGGAGTACATGTAGGTCCACGGGCGTACTAAAATGCATTATATAGAAAGCATAGAAGAAGAAATATTATCCACAACTATATATATCAAGTCTATCAATTCCAAATGCCCATTCAATTAGTCACGTAACCTTGGAAAAAATCTCTAGCTTATCAAATCTCTGTGATCCGCACCCCACATCTAGCGGAAGCTCTTTCGACGCTAAGCTCTTTTCAATATCGCAAGTTGTTTTCGCTTCTTATCTCTCTCTGGGAGCTATCTCCATGTGATAAGTGAGGGGAGACCTTTTTCCCTTTCCTTACTCTTGACTTCCGTTCCTGCCCTTCACCTCGGGACCCCCAAACTTGGAATCCTCATATATCACCAGGGTCACTGTTACTACCATTGTCTTGGTAACGGGAAAATATGTCAAGGGCCGAAAGAACAAACGAAGATCTCGACAATGAACCGGTCTATGGCTCACTGAGGATACCGGCTGCGGCACCAAGCTCCTACGATTATGGCCATCTGAATCGTGGGAGTCCGACGGCCGAGTCGGAGATCGGCGGTAGACAGAGGTACATGACTTCTGTTGTTCACAACCAGACCGTTAGCTAATTACTCTGCACAGGTCGTCGTCGTACTCAATTCGAGTCCGCCAAGCAGGAGGTCCCAACAGTATAGACAACTTTGCGCGGTCTTGGCAGAGAGCCGCGGCCTTCCCAGAGATCATCCCACGGCGGTCGTCGTTTGTCTCTGCGCACTCGGATGATGAGTTTGCCATTGCTACTGGCCAGGAATATGGGTCGAGAAGCTCCCCATCCTGGGGTCGACACTCGGATGTGGAACGGCCTCTGCTTCAGGGGGACTCGGACTCTGACCAGGATGACGGGGAAACACGAGCGCCGGAGTCATCCAAGAGGGCGCTTCCTAGTACTGGCCTACTTTCTTCGTCATTTGATAGAAGTTTTGCGAATTCGTATGGCACCATCTCCTCACGGATGAGCGAGTCGACGCGGAGACATGCGATTCAATTCCACCGAGAGCACCACCCCCAGGTGCATGTGGATGGGTTTGGAGATTCAGATCGGGGTCCATTGCTTATCAAGCATGTTCAACATGAAGATGGGACCGAGGAGGATATCATCGTTGGGCAATCCACCCTTCCGCAGACTATCTTCAACTCGGTTAATGTGTTAATTGGTATTGGTCTGTTGAGTCTTCCATTGGCGATGAAGCATGCCGGGTGGGTTTTGGGTTTGGTATTCCTTATCTTCTCGGCAGTTGCCACTTCCTACACAGCCAAAATTCTGGCTAAATGTCTGGATGTCGACCGGAGCGTTGTCACCTACGCTGATCTGGCTTACATCAGTTTTCGGGCAACATGCCCGTTTGATAACCAGTTTTCTCTTCTGCTTGGAACTTTTAGGAGCATGCGTTGCGCTGGTTGTGCTCTTTGCAGACAGTTTATATGCCCTTGTACCAGGATTGAGCATCCTCCAATGGAAGATCGTCTGTGGAGTTGTGCTACTTCCGCTCAACTTCCTGCCGCTACGATTCCTGAGTATCACCAGCATATTGGGTATAATTTCGTGCACATCAAGTAAGTCTTCTTCTGAGCTGGGATTGATAGATGGGACTGACACTCGAAAGTCGTGGTACTCATTTGCATCGATGGCTTTATCAAGCCAGATGCACCGGGCTCCTTGCGGCAGCCGGCGAATACATTCCTCTTCCCTGAAAACTGGGCTACTGTCCCTCTGAGTTTTGGTCTTATCATGTGTGAGTTCACAACCAAAAGGAATTGTGATCAGAATGCTAACCTGTTGAAAAGCACCATGGGGTGGCCACGGTGTCTTCCCTAACATCTACAGAGATATGAGGCACCCCCAGAAATACGGGAAGAGCCTTTGGGTGACCTATATTTTCACAGTAAGAAAATCAAGTGACTAGGATGAAGTTCGATTCTAATAACTTGACAGTTTGCTTTGGACTGCTCAATGGCGATCATTGGTTGGCTCATGTTTGGCGATATCATCCGCGACGAAGTCACTGCGAACATCCTCACCATCACCGAATACCCGCAGTCCCTATCCGTCTGTATTGTAGTCTTCATTTCGATCATCCCGCTCACGAAAGTGCCATTGAAGTGAGTCCAATGCCTTCATTGGTCCTCGGACACTGCTGACATGACCATAGTGCTCGGCCTCTTGTGGCCACATTTGAAGTTCTTTGCGGACTCGGAGGCGGCCATGTGCCTGCCGAAGACGGCTCGAAGACACTACAAAAAGTCTCACGCGCAATGGTCCGCGTTTTTGTAGTGGCCATGATTGTTATTTTGGCGATCGTCTTCCCGGCTTTCGACCGTATCATGGCTTTCTTGGGATCGTTCTTGTGCTTCACCATCTGTATTATCTTTCCTCTTGCTTTTTATCTCAAGATCTTTGGAAAGGAAATCGGTCGAGGTGAGTACATCCTTGATTGGATTCTGCTCATTGTCTCCTCGATATTGGCAGCCGTGGGGACTGTCTGGGCCTTCTTGCCACAAGACATGCTCTCTGCAAACTAGGCTCGGCCTGCAGCATTGTATATGGAGTATAATACGATTTCCTTTTGCACGCAGATAATCACTTCTTGTTGAGAATGACGGCGAAATTGTTTCTTGTTTTACCAGACCTCAACTCTTCCTTCTTAAAAGCCTTAGGCGCGTAGGTACCAGTGTGTTCCCAGAGATGAAAAACCAGCTTCGAAGTCCGCTTGCTTTGTGTTAGACGGAAGCCCAGGCAAGTCATGATCTCCCCCAGTCTTTCCTCGTTGAGGTAGCGCGAGTTGTCCACGCACGCGATAGGCAATACCATAAAAAGACTGGGCACAAGTTCAATAGGGCATCTCGACGTCAAGAATTTGACACAATGCTTGAGCATTTCGCCCCGTCCCGTAGCATCGGGAACATAGTTGAGTACCAATGACAGACTGATTATGTTGAAACGTTCATCATCACTAGAGGGCAAAGGTCGTTCCATGAAATCTTGCTTGAGGATCCCTGGCTCTTGGGAATTCAAATCGATCCGGGTGACATCCAATGCCGGGTGCGTAGAGCAGGCGTTTTTGGTGCTCAAAGCTCCAACCTCAAGGACCCGGAGCTTTGGAATCGCCTTGTTCCATTGCTTCAGTTGCGGCTTGATCCAGTCGATGAGGACTTTGCTGGAGTCCCCACCGCGGTCCATCGCCTGGCCTAGCTTACTGGCGATCTGATAGCTTTCGAGACCACCATTGGCCTCGATTTGAGCATCAATACTGCTGACTCGGGCTTCGTCCCCGGCGGCCAAAGCTTGAGCCCGGACTTTGAGCAGTCGATGGTGGGTTCGAATCAGAGTGCGGGTAGCCTTGGCTGAAAGAGCAGCGTCCTTGGACTTGACAATGCGTGGTCGACTATGCGACAACAACATCGGCCTCTTGGATCGTTTTTGGGGAGCCATGTCTTAATGATCGCGAAGAAAATTGAAAGATTGGAATGACAAATCTAGATATTAAGTGTATGTTATCTCTTCGGATCTCCCCGTGGGCCGAATATACAAAGAAGAGAGGAGGTCACTGGCACGCAAAGAAAAGCTGTTCAAGAAAATGAAAAGAGAGAGCCAAATACGATGTTAATTCTGATTGGACCAAAAAGTAACCATACCGTAAGGCGTTGTACTGATAAATACCAAAGATACTACACCCAGCGGACCGCAGGTCACCTGACCCACACACAGCACTAGGGTTTTCGCTAAGCGAAGACCACTCCAAATCCGTTCGACTTTTGACACTGCGACAATCCATCATCGACAGCGACCGACGACAGCCATGGCCCCCACCGACAACAAGACCGGTATGTTCAAATAACTATGCGCTCTTCCTATTGCGATCGCCGCCTTGCCAATTGTGAATTCGCCGTGTGGTCGTGGAGGAAGATATTCGGAATCAAAAATTTCGATATTTGGAGATCACCTCGAAACGAGCCGGAAACACCAGGACATCTCGCAGCTGTATCGCCATATGTCTACCGATATCAATTATGTGGCTCGACTTCAGAATCCTCGACCTACCACATCCACACCGGCAAATTCACAATGGCAATCTACGGACGAACTTTTTTTTTGGAATTTTTTTTTCTTGTTCACTAGGCTAACGAAGTATTCTCTACAGGCAAGAACAAGGCCAACGCCGCCGCCAAGGCGGTTGCCAAGGGCGCTTCGGTACGTAGCAAAAGATGAAGCAGACCAAAGAAACCCTTTTGGAGCCTATCGCTAACGCGGTTGTGGCAACAGCTTCACAAGTCCCGCAAGGTCCGCACCTCGTCCACCTTCCACCGCCCCAAGACCCTCCAGCTGTCGCGGTCCCCCAAGTACCCCCGTGTGTCCGTCAACCACGGCCCCGCTCTGGACTTCAACAAGATTGTTCTGTACCCCCTGAACACTGAGAGCGCCATGAAGAAGATCGAGGAGAACAACACCCTTGTCTTCATCGTCAACGTCAAGTCCAACAAGCGCCAGATCAAGCAGGCTCTTAAGAAGCTGTACGATGTTGACACCGTCAAGATCAACACTCTGATCCGGTATGTTCTACTTTCTTGGTTTATATAGGTGGATTGAAAGCTAACATGTATTCATTAGCCCTGACGGAACCAAGAAGGCCTTCGCCCGTCTCACCCCCGATGTCGATGCTCTTGACATTGCCGCCACCAAGTTGGCCATTGTCTAAGCGGGGAATGCTCGAAAAGGGATTTCTTAGGGTTTTGGCGAACTTTGTTTTACACTGCGGTGATGCTAAAATACCAGCCGGGCTGAATGATCAAAAAGAACATAACTTGTGAAAGTGAAATGCACGATTCCAGAAGAATCGCCGGACTTGTCGGTCCTGTAATGGCTAAGGCATGTTCCAGACCAGTAGTAGTGCGCCGTAATATTGTAGGTTTCTCTATTCTATGTTGATAGACACGACGTAAATGACCGAATGGTCTCAGTGCATTGAGACAAGAGCCAAGCTTGCCAATATTATACACCTGCTTTCTATGCCATACTTGGCCGAACATTTGCAGTTACCCAAGCTCCCATATAGTTTGCTATTCATACCCAGTTTACACGTAATAGCTCACTAATATAACATCCATGGATGGCCTTTACTGGATGTTTCCATCACCCTTCCTATAACCCAGGAGATGGTAGCATTGCAGCATAAGGAGACGATATACTTGCTCTACAACACCCCCAGGACTAAACAACATATATTATACAAGACAACATGGTTCATAAATTGACACACTAGTATACAAGTGAGGGTTCCACTCTCCGTCTATCCATCCATAAACCCCGAAATAAACCGTCCAACCGCCGTCCAAGGAGCAAAGTTAGGGCATGACAGGCTCCAACCCAATCAGTCTTTATGGACAGTGATTGATATCCATGGATATGCATCCATCCAGACAACGATCAGAAACAGCAATGGCAGAAACTGAGAACACAAGACAGATAATCGCTTAGTGACCGGGGCCGCCGCGCATGCTGTCCAGCTTCGACAGGATGGACAGACTGGTATCCATCCACCGGTCAACACAGTTCTGTGCACAAGCCTCCTCGGACTTATCGAGGGTACCGGAAGTGATCTTGCTGGTGATGCACTTCTCCCAGCACACTTCGTTCAGGTGATGGACAGCTGGAAGGGATAGATGTTAGCTATGTCTTGATTGTAGGGGTTAAAGGTATCAAGTATTAGGACCAGAACCCAAATGATATAAATCATGAAGTATAGATCCCGAATATGCCCGGATAGAAAGATGGACACTTACTCTGTTGAATGTTGGACTTCTGAGCCTCGTTGGTCAGGACCTGGTTGAGCTCCTTCTTGTCGCTCTCAGAGAGCTTGGTGAGATCGAGCTGTTGTTCCATAATGGCGGTATAGGGGATGCGAGTAGCAATTGAGGTGAAATGGAATATGGAGAATAAGATAGCAACAGGGCGATGGACGGTAGCTGGAGGATATATCCGCAATTCAAAATCAAAGGCGGTGGGCAGCGGCACAAAAATGACGCGCAGTTTTCCCTATCGATAGCAACTTGCTTCCTTCGTTTCTTTAACATAGAGAACACCCTGCTGAAACAGAGTCTGATCGAACACGATCTCTTTAAATATCGCATCGCATTTATTTCATTATCCTCGCCTGTAACATATCGCCCGCCATGCCTCCGATTCGCACTTCCCGCAATCGCAAACCGCCTCCCGCCGGCTTCGACGATATCGAAGATACCTTGCTGGAATTCAGCAACAAAATGAAGGATGCGGAAAACGCATCGCATGAAGGAAAGAAGAAATATGAAGTCCTCTGGCCGATATTCCAGATCAGCCATCAACGTACGAGTTGTCCCTCTCTACGACATCAAGAAATACGGTTATACTGATTATTGCTCCTCTTATTAACAGGCTCACGATACATCTACGACCTTTATTACGAGAAAGAAGCGATCTCGAAGGAGTTATATGATTTCCTGCTCAAGAACAAGTATGCCGATGCCAACTTGATTGCCAAGTGGAAGAAGCAGGGCTACGAGAAGGTTAGTTTGCCCTTGCGAGGACTTTTATTCAAAAAGTGGACTAACTGATTTTGCCTAGCTGTGTTGTCTGCGCTGTGTCCAAACGAAAGAGACGAATTTCAATTCCACGTGTATCTGCCGAGTGCCCAAGGCGCAGCTCAAGGAGGACCAGACGATTCAGTGTGTCAGCTGTGGCTGCAATGGCTGTGGAAGCAGCGACTAAAATAGAGGCTGAGGTTGGTCGGTGGCCAAAGGATTCTATTTTGGCCGGCGAGATAGTGGATTAACCACACATCCATTGGATAGGGCGTTTCGGTACTATGCATTTCTGTTTCCGTTTCTTCTTTTATTACTCTATATTGGATCCATTCATCGGGTCAATCAGATACCCTTCAAAGCTTGAATGGCACATGGAACAGTTTGATAAACAGACAAATAATGACTTTCAATTGCTAACTACATACATTATATCAAGTAACGCCGTCAATGTGTGTTCCAGTAGTTTCCCATAAAGATAGCCCCAACCCCGATATCCAAATCATAAAAACCATCGCTTGCATGTACATCTTAGCATCGTCATTAATGTCGTAACCAGGCCATCCGGGGCTCAGTGGAGGAAATGTCAGAACCGGCTCCATCAGCGCAGCCCAAAACTCCCAAAGAAAAACACCGCAAGACCTTAGAAATATCGCCGAGAACCAACTCCAGGATACAATCCAAAATCAAGTAACGGAGGTTGCGGGGCGACAAAAGCAGGAGGATAATAAGGGGATAGTAGGGAGACAATAAAAAGCAAATCGAACAAGACGGGTCTCCCAGAGACCACGACCTAAAAAACAAAAACAAAACAACAAATCATGGAGTGAGAGCATCTTAAAACAAGGTCGTATTGGTTCGGCCCATTTGTGGTCGATGAAGCGCCCTGGGCTTCAGGGTGTCATCCTTGCTCACGCCTCCAATCTTTTGGAAGCCTTGCAAGAGATCAACACCATCGACTTCACCTGAGCTGTCATTGCCCTCATCGAAGAGATGGAACGAGAAGAAATCTTCCTGGCCAGCATCTCCAAAGCGGCTCGTGTCTGGGAGCTTAGACGGCGACTCGGGGAAGATTGCGGACTTGGAACGGGACAACGAGGGCACACCCAGTCGGGTATTGATGTTCACCGAAGTAATGTCCGAAAGTACAGTGCTGCCACTGTCGTTTCGCGGGCGTTTGACTGAGCGCTTCTCGGGAGATCCGTAGGATATCTGTGCCGATCCAGGATCCGCGAAAACATCAAAGGAGGTATGGAAATGGTCATTAGGGGTGTAGGCCTCGTCCTGGAGATTGAAAGCCGGGCTCCAAGGAAGAGCATCCTCAGAAAGGCCTAAATGTTTGATAGGCGAGTTGACCATTTGCTGGATCTTTCGGCGATGGTTTCGCAAATTGGTATTTGGAGACACAGATGGTGGCGGCCTGGCAGGCTTCTTGAACTTGATGATAGGTGTCAACGGAGGCGGCTGCATGCTCACATACTGACTGCGGAGAGGCGATGAACCAATAGGTGGGTTGGGGTTTTTGCGAGCTGCTGGCTGACCAGGGCTAATATCGTGAGATGAGCTGCGCATGCGCGCAATCTCTTCTTCGGCACGGCCGCGCTTGATGCGCGGAGGCTCGATATCCAAATCAGATGTCAAGATATGCCCAGCCTTGTTAGGTCTGAGAGCTGATGACTCCAAGGAGGAGAAATAACCACTGTCATTCATAGTAATCGACTTGCGCTTGCGCGGGCGAGGCGCGGGGGTAGGGTTGGATTGCGTGGGGGTTGGAGGGGTACCCTGGCGGGCGAATCGGGGAGGAGCGATTGGAGGAGATGACCGAATAGCTGGCGGGGAAGAACGAGGCGCTGCGCGTGGGGCAGGCACCGGAGCAACTTCATCGGCATCATCTTGAAGAGCAGGGTCAGACGCAGGTAATGTAGCATCCGAAGACAAGTCATTTGGGGCCGGCCTGGGGGGTAGGCGCGTGATGAGGTGGCGCGTTATAAGCAGGCTGCGGTGGTACCATCCAGGTCGTGGTACTTGCAGTTTGCGACTGAGCAATAAGATCTCTCTGAGGCGCTGCAGGAAGAGGGAGGCTGGACATAGTGGCGCGGCGCACTTGCTTGTCTTTGAGGAATTGTGCCTCCATACCGGGCTCAATGGCCCAGTAGTTGCCCTTGCCAGGGTCATCCTTGGGTCGCTCTTGCTTAATGAATGCCTTGTTGAGACTGAGATTGTGTCGGATGCTATTCTGCCAACCCGGATCGCTATTTTTGTAGTATGAGAAGGTGTCGGAGATCCACTTGTAAATTTGCGCTAGCGTCAAGCGCCGGTTGGTGGCGCGCAAAATTGACATTCCGATCAAGGTAGCATAGCTGTACGGAGGCTTGGTGCCATCATCCTCCACTGGCGGCATATCGTGCGGTTCGGGCAGGTAAGCGACCGGCGCGTCGTCACGCTTTTGTTTCTTATTAGAGCGCTCTTTCAGCGGCGCAGCTTCCATGAGTGTGCGCTTCATCGGAAGTTTGGATTCATAAGACGGCTCTGGGAAGTCCGCGAAACTGTCATTGGATGGCTCTTCGGGAAGGTGGTTTTCTTTTGATGATTCGGTATTGATGCTGGAGAATGTGGTGAAGAGAGCAGAGTGTGGCATGGAGGTTGTAGAATAGAGGGGGAATGGCGCTTTCTTGGCTGGGGAGTCGGTAGTAAACATGGGAGGAGTAGGAGCAGATATGGGGATGAAACCGAGTTTTCCGTGCCGCGGATGCGAGCCCTGGGGGTGAAGTCCTTTTGTCGGTGATGGCCTGTGCGGGCCCGAGGACGGATGGGACGACGGGTTCTGAATGGGCTGGAGTGGTAGCGGTGAGGGTTGTAGACGGGGCTGCGATCTGATGATCTCCTGGGCTGATGGGGCTAGCACTGAGGAATAGTGTGCGCCCGTAGAACGCGTCGATCCCATAACCTAAACGATAGGGCACCAAGTGGCAATATCACCAGTCACCAGAGGGGACCATATGACGCGTAAACAAGACTTTGGGGAGAGCGCGACTGTTGAAAACAAGGCCTCCGGCCGAGTTTGCGACAACGAAGCGAGCCGTGTCTAGGTGTGATGAGACTGTGCAGAGAATTTCGATTGGGCCAATAGTACTCCGTAGATTGAGAAAGCCAACAACCTCAGGCCGTCATGCAGCTTAAGACAAGTTGGGCCACAAGGCGCTAGGCGTGACGCTTCCGAGCTGGGCGCGAATCAGGCCGCACAGATAACAGATGTGGATGAGATGTGGGATTTGGAAATGAAAAATAACCAAATATGGTACGGACTGCTGGAGCTGAGGATAGAGGATAAGGGATAGAGAGAGGATTGAGAAGACTGAGAAGATTGGAAAAGAGAAGAATACAGAGAGAAGTACAAGAAAAGATAGGCAGAAGACTCTTTGGTAGGGGAGTAAACCTTGGAAGAGACTGGGGCTCTGTGACAAAGGGAGAGAGATATCAAGCCCAGATACTTTTTTTTTCCTCTTCTCAATTTCTTCTGTATGAACCCTTGGAACCCTTGGAAGATACTAAATCATTATTATAGAATTCTAGAAATGTTCAATTTTTCTCAGAGCAGAAGAAAGGCGGGGGGGAGGAGAGGGAGGGAGATCGAAGATGGAGTGAAGATAGTGCGATAAATACATGTAATGTATGGTCATCTTTTAGACGCGTCACGCGTTTTACTATGGAAGGTGGGGCATATCGGGTTGGTATTATTGGTATTATCAATTCATATCTTACCAAAGGGGGTCCCCTCCCTTGCTCACATTTTCTAGCGCCGATCTGATCCACCGAGGATGAACGGAGTATGTATGTCAGGTCACTATTGCGATTATTGATTATATTGTAACTATATATGGTATATTGGAAGTATACAGGAATACCTATCTTTAGGTCTTAGGATACAATACACAAGCTGTTTCTAAAGAGGATATCGTACAATATAGTCCTGCAAGTATGACACCACCCAATCTAGACCGAGACAATGCCAGATACTATTCTTCAATCCCAGCATTGGGCCAATTGGCCCGGTTATCCCGGTATGTGGACATGTCGATGTAACTCTGAAACGGTCGCTGCTTTTCACCCCCTTGTTTCTCTGCTGCCATGGAGGATCTCCGAACGCCCTTGACGAGTGGCCAATTGCTCTCGGGTGCCTTCAGGGCCAATCGATCTTCCAAGCCTGCATCGTACAACATATGCCCCGCTCACTTTCCTGCAGGTGCCGGAACCTAATAATCAGAACCCCGTACAGAATATGGAGTAGACTATAGAGTACTCCGTAGGAGCACAGAGCAATGATTTGGAACTAGAATCGGGGATCTATTTGAATCTAGGGGAGATCCATAGTATCTTTCCCTATACTCCGTACCCTTGCTTGTACATCAGAGACCCCATGTAACAGATTCATGCACTTACTCCGTACTCCGTACCTAGATCGTTGGACGTACCAACGTACCATATTCCCTCTGCCGAGACTTCCCTTTCTGGCCATTTTTATAAGGGCGCTCAGAGCCGTAGATCTTTCCCGCCAATATGGTAACACTCGTCCATTCTCAATCCTTTGCAGAATTCAGCAATGTAATGCCTCTCGCTTAACTACACAAGCATTATGCACTCTACCACAAATACCCAGAAGTAACTACCAGGAGAGAAGAGGGTAGTAGCAAGGAAGCGGATCTAAGTTAAGGAGCTGGGCCACTACCACAGGAATTCGCAGATAACCCGACAGTAACACTGGATTTAGCGGCCTCCGAATCTCAATCGAAGGTAGAAAGATAAGTTAGGTGCGTCCCGTCAAAGGCAATGCTATAACTAGTAACGACAGATTACAGTCATTGATGGTCACCATCAGGTCAAGAAGATAAATGGAGTATAATCACTTTCAGGGGGCGAAAAGAGGGGTGAGTATGTACCAGAATGGAACCGCACTGAGAAGAAGAAATCTGATATATAAGATGTAGGTTGAATGTCAGAACATGTAGAGGAATTATTCCTCATGAAACGTTTGAAACGTTTGTTTCATGGCTTCTCTAGACCGAAAATAAAAAGAACTGGGAAAAAATGGAAGACAACGCCAAGTCCATGCACAAAAAAAGAAAGCCTATGCTCGGTTTTCCCAACAAAAGTCGTGGCCCCCTGTCTTGACAGGCTTCGACTTCGGGTGGATGCATAACTTTTTTCTATCACAAATAAAACCCAAGGGATATCTTAAACAACAATGACTTTTTGCTCGATGCAAATGAGGGACGTTTAGTCCAAGAAGGTGAACATGCTCGTATGGATGATATTCAGGGCACGGTCGGCGTCTCGTTCTTCAATAACGCAGGAGATATTGATTTCACTTGCACCTGCGAGGGGGAAAGGAAGATCCAATTAGCCCAGTCAAGGGTACAGAGGTAGAGCGAGGGGGCGCGGGAGGAGTGGGGATCTGCAATTATTTACTCACCTTGCGAAATCATCTCGATATTCACGCTGTTTTCCCCGAGAGTGGTGAACATACGCCCTGCGACACCGATCATATTCTTCATCTGCTTGCCCACCAAACTGAGAATGGCCATCTCAGGGATAATGTCCACAGTTCCGTATCTCTTCAGGTCGTTCAATGCCCCCTGGAGATCATCGTCAATGACCTGATACTCATCTCGTCCATTTCCATTCAAAAGGGGCATCTCCGAGTGAAGTGCCAAGGACACGTGGACCTCACTGGTCGAGATCAGATCAATGGATAGACGCCACTTGTCCAATACGGAGAAAATGCCGGCGAAGAAACCATGGGAGAGCGACCGCTTGTTGGAATGCACGTTGATCACCAGGATATTATGCTTGATAGTGACTGCGGTCGGACGTTTCGGTGTATTCGCAAGACTGGGGCTCCGGGTCCGGAACAGACGTGGGTCATGTCCTGGTGTGGTTCTCTCCAGTTCGGCCACAGAGTCAGGGAAGATAATAGTGCCTTCGTTCTTTGGGTTCATGACGTTCTTGATGCGAATAGGGATCCTTGCGCGAATGACTTGCTCCATGGTGAACGGATGAATGACTTCGGATCCATAGAAAGTCAATTCAGCGGCTTCAGCGGGAGTGATGGCCGGGAGCAGATGAGCCGTTGGCACTTTACGCGGGTCTGCGGTAAAGATACCATCCACCTCCTTCCACACCTGCAGCTCCTGCGCGCGAGTTCCGACTGCGACAAAGGCGGCGCAGAGGTCGGTATATCCACGACCAATCTGATCGAGCAGACCACCGGGAATGGTACCAAAGTACCCAGTCATCACAGGTACTCGATGTCCGCAGGCTTCGACTTTGCTGCCGAAAGCTGCTGCCAGGGTATTATAAAAGTCCTGGTCCAAGCCATGGGGACCGATGGGGAAATCAATGATTTCTGCAAGATCCACATACTGCGAATCAACCCCGCGGTCTTGTAGTAGAGCGGCCATGAGCCGACAGCTCAGCTTTTCGCCGGTACTCATCACCTTGTCCACACAGCGCGCACTGATCTCCCCCAGGGTCTGAGCCGCCTCAAGGAACTTGAGTACTCGTTCGCATTCTCCGGTGATGTCCGCAATCACTTGATCTCTTATTTCGACCGACTTCAATTCTTCCTGGGCGACTTGGACATGCTCCAGACGAACAGCTTCCACCAACGTCAGATATTGCCGCGAACGAGGATTTTCAGCGTCTCTTGCTGCCCGCAATAGCCTGTTCCAAAGGAATTGGTATTAGTATATTGATACCCCAATCACGGTATTGCTCAAGGGTATTGTGATGACTCACCGGTTGGTGGTACCTTCAGCTTTTGTAGAACTGCTCCTCGCAGAACATACGACGGCAACTCTGTTGTTCACAAGGCTGGGTCTGTGAGAGTGTCAGTCTCCATCAAGTTGAAATCGAGGAAATGCGTCATACTCGACCACCTGCTCAATGATATTCCGCGCGAACTTGCCCACACTAGTGCCGCCGAATTTCTGCACGACCCAGCTGCTGTGGGCCTGCGCGGTCACTGGCAAATTTGAATCAAGAATTGTGGTAGCCATAGTCCAAGCCAAGATAAGTAAAGACAGTGTACAATGTAATGCAAGGGAGTACCCAGGTGAGAAGTGGTTTTGGAGGGGAAACCGGCGAAAGCGGAGACCATTGGGGCCGCTTCGGGCTGCATATTTTTTTTTTTTGTGACTCAATTGGCAATAGAGTTATGCAAATGGAGACCGCCTGCCTGTTCCGACCAGGAACCAACGATGTCGGAGGCCCCACCAATCACGCCATTTTCATATGAAATGCCCCTCATTGGACCTTATCGGGATCAAATGTTCTTCCGGAGTATAAAACCGCAGCCCAGGTGGTATCCATCTGCATTGCATCCCAACATTGATTCCCAACATTGATTCATTTGGCTTGTTCTAGCACCAGGAAACTACTGTGCTTTAAAGACATTGTATCAAGTCTGTTGGAAGAGTATTAACGACAGTAGCTCCATCCATTTCCATTCCGAGCTGTGGATGATTGACTAGTAAGCAAATGCAGCTTCAAGGTTTTCCGCCTTGAGCTAAGCAAAATAGGGCCAATTGATGCATTCCGGATTGAAGACGCAAAGCTAAATTATAGTCGACGTAAATAGGCTGTTTTGGGCGTCTCGAAGTAGGTTAGATCCTCTTCTTACAACGGGTAAACCAAGCGCTGGCCCGTCGAGCCGATCTCTACCCGCTTGAAATAGTTAGTGGGGACTAAACTACGTCGAACATCGTACATCGTAGAGGATCGGCAAAATACGAGCGAGCGCTAATCAGTGTAGATGTATGGAGTACTCCGTACGGGGTATGGGGTACAATGTTATGTACGAAATAAGCACGCGTGTCTCTTAGTAAGTGCCTACGATAGTCTGACGAGTAATAGTGGCAAGTGTTGAATTTTTTTCGCTTTGCAGAAGATTTGATGATTTACCAGCGGCGACAAGAAAGATGACGGGTTAGTATTAGGGCTCGATCATTGACTTTTTAGCACTAGTTCAATGAGATGGTAGAATGGAACGTCTTGGATTTCAGTTGCCTTTGTGACGATGCGGATCATCCATCATATGGAGACCACATGGAGACCACATAACAGTCTCGGTGGGCTCCAGGTCGACCTCGGGAGTTCCAAAGATACGATACTTGGGTCTCATCCTGATCCGAGGGATACGGTTGCGTTCCACCTGTGGATGCGAGATCTATCCCCATCTCTGCTGCGCGTTTCTCCAAATCGGCAAGATAGAAATGATTTGCGGCTCTTTTGGCAGCAGGTCAGACACAAAAAGTGGGCTCAATGTTCATCCTCCTGCAGACATTCTCATAGCCACAGAAAATAACGGCAATAGCTATCTGTACGTGCATATGTTAGTCTTCCTCAATGTCCGTCCTGTGTCTTCCAGCGTGGTAGACAATGGGTTTTTCTTTTTGGTCCTCTGCCAAGAGTTAGTTTGTCAACCTTGGAAGTTTATCCAAGTAAATATGGGCTGTTCCTGAAGGGCACATAGATGTTCCTTGCGAACATGACCCATTCCAAGGTGTGGAATAGACCACACGCTATCCTGGGCCACACCCTACCCGCTTTAAACGGTGGAGACTAACCTAAAGTACCATTGCCTGTATAGATGTCGATCTGTGGGATACGCTAATCAGTGTAGATGTACCGAGTACCATGTATTTATGTACGCAGTACAACATAAGCAAGTAGGCAGTGTCTCTTGGCAAGTATATAAGCATCGTTTCAGCCCCCACGAAGTATAATAATAGTACGGAGATACTTAGTATAATAGTGGCAGCACAGCCTTTCCTTATTGCTATATCGGGAAGATGATTGTCGCTGCCAAGATGCTGCGGCTTGGCATTCTATGAAATAACAGGGCCGGAGTCCCCTGTCTGATTTCTCTGGATTTCACTTTCAAAGATTTGACACTCTCTGTTGACAGAAGAAGGTTGTCTTTCCTGATCCCAATGGCAGTTGACATCGCTTGACCCCAAAATGCTCCACAAAAGGCAGGAGGACGATGCCGAAGAAACAACAAGGAAGCCACGATCACTATCGATTTTTAGGTCATGGTCGTGGTTTCCAAATTATGCAAAAGAGCCGGAGGAGGTGCAACAACTAACGGTCCATTCTGACCCTGCTCGCAAATGGATAAAGGGTGTAGTGATCTGCTCATGGATCATTGGCGGAGTCCTCGCCTTGAACATCATCCTCACTGTCGTCGCTGCTGGTCTGGCGTATTCAGGAAACAGCGGGCAGATGTTCGGCTTCGCTTCCCTCTATATGGGAAAGTGCTCGACTTCCAAAGGTTGGACCACGGGCTTGCACCTCCTGATCAACATTCTCAGCACTGCCCTTCTAGGGGCAAGCAACTACTGCATGCAGTGTCTTGCAGCCCCTTCGCGAGACCAGGTAGATAAAGCCCACAGTCAAAAGACATGGGTTCGGATCGGCGTCCCGAATATAATGGATCTTCTTCGCTATCAAACGGGCATGCGACGCCTTCTCGGATCGATCCTGCTGATCACCTCATTGCCTATCCATTTGATGTTTGTGGTTTAACACTGTCTAGATCTCAATGCACTCCGGCTGATATGAGCTTTTGCTAGTTACAATTCAGCCGTATACTTCTCGATTGGTCCAACGGAATACTCCGTCGTTGCAGCACAGGATAAACCTATTCAGGAACACGGCAACTCCACGGAATTTGAGCAGTGCTTCACAGAAAATGTCGGAATGGACTTGCCATCATTCAACGCTGCGATCCGTGATGGGAGTTTCAACACACTCTCCAAGCAAGAATGTATTGATATCTTTGCTCAGGACTATGCATCTGGGTACGGAACGGTTGTTCTGGTGACCAAGGACCCGATGCCTCAAAACGAGTCTGTGGCCTTGGTAGGGACAGGAAATAGCCACAGCTTTGAGGGTGGGTTTTCTCAATTCAGTTGGCTGTGTGACGAAGAATATCCCTGCACCAAAAGTATAGCCGAAGAAGACACCCAGGACTGGTCGGTCGACGCATTGACGTGGTCGCGTCCCACCATACATTTGTCAGTGCCTATCCCGGGCGGGATTTATGAGAGCGGAGGGTGGTTGGATGTTGGACATTACGGCGTTCCCGATACCGAGGACTACAACCATCTCGATGATATTCTGGATAAACACCATACCCTGGAGGAGTTGCAAGCTGCGCTAGGTAATTCTTCCGGCTGGGTTAACAGCTCATTCCCTGGTAGTGTGACAGTACGTAATGGTGAACCTGATTGCACGTACCCGAGAGACTATGGTAAAAGGACGCTGCGATCATATTCAATCGACCACTGCATGACGCTGCCGGTTGAGGAGACTTGCCAGCTATTCTTCAGTCCATGGATTTGCCTGATTGTAATTGGCTGCAATCTAGTCAAGCTCATCTGTGCGCTGCTAGCGGCACGCGAGAACAGACAAGATATTTTCCTCACCACCGGAGACGCTATTGCGTCTTTCCTTGCCAAACCGGACCCAGCCACCGAGGGAGTCTGCCTACTTTCTGGGTCTCTAGTCAAGAAAAGAACACAAGGGTGGCGGAAATACAAGGGCCGTGAACGCAAATCCTTAGATCTTCTGGAAACCAAACAAGAGACTCCGCTTCGTTTACCTTCAAGGAAACGATGGTTTCAAGCTGCGAGTGTATCACGCTGGGTATATACGATTCTCCTGTATGATATCACCCTCCTCGTGACAATGACGACCTCAGCGAGCAGTTAACTGACTCCAATTAGATTCGTGTGCATGCTAGTCCCATCAGTCATTGTTCTTCGCCTGGGGATTCTCAATTACAACAAAGCCTCCAAATCGAAGAGCATATGGGGCTCCGGGCTGGGAGAAGCAAGCTCAGGGACCATACTAGCGGGCTTGAGCATTTCCGCTACCACAAGTGGAATATTTTCAATGATTCTTATGGCCAACATACCTCAGATACTAGTCTCACTAGCTTACTTCTTCTACAACGGCCTCCTAACCTGCATGCTCGGCGCCGTCGAGTACGACAACTACGCTACAAAGCGAAAGCCTCTCCGTGTATCCTGGCCCCGCGGTGCCCAGCGTTCAACATACTACCTCACCCTTCCATACCGCTACAGTATCCCGCTGCTGATAGTCTCCGCTGTTCTCCACTGGCTCGTATCCCAGAGCCTTTTCTTCGTCCAGGTGATCCCATTCGACCGGCATGGAGTACCCCAAGAGAGATACCCGGAAGTCCTCGTTACTTGTGGGTATTCGCCCGTTGCCATCATTTTCGGAATAATCGTTGGTGGCTTGCTACCCATCGTCGCTGTACTTATGGGCTTGCGTCGCTTCAGATCACACATGCCGCTGGCTGGTCAGTGTAGTGCGGCAATCAGCGCTGCATGTCATCCGATGACTACAGCGGTTGACCATGCACTGAAACCGGTACAGTGGGGCGAAGTTCCAGGCAGCGTTTTATCGCATAGCGGCTTTTCCAACACAATAACGACGGATATTGAGTGTGACGCTCGGGCGAATGTCGGTGATGAGCAACGGCTATCTTTGGCTAGGGAGCTGGATATAAATGATTCCAGGGCAGTCGGTTTCTTGCATTGCACATTTACTTCGGAGGATGTTAGTGAGCCGAGCACATCACGTCTCTATCTCTAGCTAGAGTAGAGAGCGATGCAATTACGACAATATGAGTTTTTGGATAATATAATAATTAAATGCTTCACACTAATTTATAGAGACAAGAGAATATGTTGCTTTGGGCAGATGTTATGAATTGGCCACTTCCGTAGTGGGTCTCGGGGAACACTCCTGTTCTGCTCGTTTAGGCATCAAATTAAATCCATTCTATACTTCTGTCTCTACATCCTCTTTCATTTGGTCAACTTTAGCTTTATTTCTTCTTTTCCTTTCTGCATTCTGTACATATACATCTTTTGCTCCTTTCGCAGGCGGTGTCTGCCTCAACCTAACAATTTCCCCTCCAGCGTCAGCACTGGATGAAAACTCCATAATGACCGACAACACCGCCTCATGCCCTTTTTGTCCTTTTACAGACTCTGATGCTGATTTCGTGTCCCAACACATTGAATTCTGCCATCCAGAAACTGGAGTAACTGGTTTCCTAGAGGAAACCCCGCAAGAGTTCACAGCCCAAAACTCGGCTCCATTGCCAGTGGACGAGGATGGCGCAGCCAAATATGTGGACTGCCCACACGGATGCGGTGAGACAATAGAAAGTGCCGAGCTCTCGAGTCATCTGGATCTGCATGTTGCGGAAGACATGGCGTTGGATGATATCGGGGCCACATCGGCACGGTCAACCCCAGATGCACATGGCCATGGATATGATGAGTCCTTTGATGATGAAGATCCCCTCGACATGCTCGAATCTCACAAAGGAGGCAAGCGTGGGATGCAACGAGACTCCACACGAGCAAACACTGCCAAACCACCACGGCCTCGTAGTCCCCCAAGGACAATTAATGCCGATGGCATAAAGAGATTAGGGGTATTTGTCTCATACCTGCATCTTAAAGATAAGCACTAACAGGTTTACAGCGCTCGGAATTGGGTCCTCATGCCCACGAGAAGAAAATGCCGTCATGGCTAAAGAAGATGCTGGAAAAGGGTGGCAACATGTCAAAGCAAACTCAGATCACATCAGATGGCAAATTCACACGACGCGAGACAGTAGAAAATGAGACCGACCACTTGATTCCTGTTCTTGCTCGGCTGTGTGAACAGGACAAATCTGTCCAACGGGCATTCCTCTGTAGCCCCAAGGTCCGCCATATTTGCAAGATGCGTCGAGAAGGCGGGTTTTGCGGCTATCGCAATATTCAAATGATGGTTTCTTGGCTGAAAAAGTCTGGTGGCTTTGGCCATGAGCACTTCCCAAATAAAGGGCCGACTATCCTTGAGTTGCAGGATATGATTGAGTCCGCCTGGGATATGGGGTTCAATAGCTCTGGAAGAGTTGAGACAGGTGGTATCAAAGATACACGCAAGTTTATTGGAACGCCTGAAGTAAGTCTTCCCGTTGGCGTCTATTATATTCTATGTCCTAACGAGTACCCAGGCACAAGCGCTTTTCATGAGCCTAGGAATTCCGTGAGTTACCTGGCCTGTTTCGCTTTGATCCCACTAACCCGATCTCCAGATGTGAAGCCAGGAGTCTGTCAGAGAGAAGCGATGTACGGGCCTGTGATGCTCTTTATATTGATGTCGCCGAATATTTCCGATCAGCGTGTTCACCAGAAGACGAGACGAAGGTCGTTCAGACTGATCTCCCTCCGATATACTTCCAGCATCAAGGTACAGCCTCCTAAGTCTTTTAGCACCTATATATCTTTCACTAACTTGAACCAGGTCACTCCATGACAATTGTCGGCTTTGAAATACGAGACAACGGCAGCGCAAATCTGCTGGTATTCGATCCCATGTTCAAGACTTCTCCTGCAATGGAGCGTCTGATCGGGGCATTTGTCAAGCCCTCAGACCCCACTCGTCTTCTCAAAGCATATCGTAGAGGAACACCTTATCTGCAAAAGTACAAGATATTCGAACTTCTCAAGTGAGTGATGGTTCAATTTTCAACTGTTCTAATGCTAATCAGTACTAGGCTATGTATAACTAGCCCGAAACAAGAGGCGACATAGAACTGATTTGGTTCAATCAACACTGTGTATCCTTTGTATCATAATTGATCAGAAATTAAAAGCAAAGCCAAGTTACTATAAATGTCTTTTATACATTCCAAATGCGGTAACTTACCCCTCCACGATAAGATAGCCGGGACGAAAATTAGTCCGATGGAATTTATCTCGTCTGGGGAAACCATTTTCAATCTACAATCTACAATTCCACGTTGAGATCTCTATTCTTTAAAGAAAATATGCGCACTTCTCCAAATGTGATCATCACCGGCACCCCCGGCGTGGGAAAGACCGTTCACTGCGAACAACTCGCGCAAGAGATCGGCCTGAAGCACCTATCCATTAACCAGGTCGCAAAGGACCGTGGGTGCTTCGATGAATATGATGAGGACTTGAAGACCTGGGTAGTCGATGAGGATAAGGTAAGAATATTTCCCACAATGCTCTTCTCTTCACCTGGGTGACTACTCTTTCCACCCTTAATTCAAGGCTTCAAAATTCACATGCTAATCCATGCGCGGCATAGCTCCTCGATGCCCTCGAAGACGAAATTCCTAATGGTGGCTACTTAATCGACTGGCACGCCTGCGATCTTTTCCCCAAGTCCTGGATCGATCTCGTCGTCGTCCTCCGCTGCCCCACTACAGATGTTCTATACGACCGACTTTCCTCACGGTATGACAATTGACCTCGCAAGGCTATCTACGCCGTCAAACTAACATATGTATTTCAAGGGGCTACCACGAGAAAAAGCTAGAAGAGAACGTCGACGCGGAAATCTTCGGCGTCCTAGCAGACGAAGCGCGGGAAGCATTCGACGAAGAGATCGTGGTAGAATTGAACAGCGAGCAGGATTCGGATGTGGACTCGAACTGCCAGCGAATCGCGCAATGGGTCGATTCGTGGAAGCAATCGCAGGCAGAGAATGCTGATTGAGGGAATTCGTTGGGCCATATTACAATTTTTGAATCTTCGTTTCTCATTCTTCTATGGTCTTTTGCAGGCCGAGTTATATACCCATGGCGATTTACTGTTGGCCTTCGGCTAGCCACTGCTGCAACTTCACCAGCGCCTTGTAACGGTGCGAGATCTTGTTCTGTTGAGGTCTTAGTACATGGCCTTTTGGCGGGAAACAGGATCGTTCTTACCTTTTCCTCTTTGTCCATCTCGGCATATGTTTGTTTGCCATCATATTCGAAGATAGCATCCCAGCCTGCCATATATCAGATACCGATTCTCTGCAAAATTCATTTGGATGTTCACTTACCGAAGTTTCCTGAGCCTCTGGGTCGCACAATAGCACCCTGTACATCAAAGTTAGATTTATATAGATTTGAAATGGCTGTGTTTGCCTCACCTCGGTTCTCCCTGGAAAACAATGGGCTCTTCACCAGGACCCCGGCAAAAGGCAAAGGTACACACGGCTTCGGCAGTTCTGTCCTCAAAGCCATCGAGCATTTTGTTCAAGCCCTCGTGGCCCAGTTTCTCCATGAACGATTTGCTTAACAATAATCAGCACAATTATCACAAAGTCAGACGAATATAACCAAGACATACATGTATGGCCCAGGGAGACCCTGGAGCGCATGGAACTCAAGCGCAGTGTCTTCGGTCAAGGCAGGTCCATTGATCTATTCCCTCGTAAGTATATAGAATTTTAGCATAAAAGGTCTAGGGAGAAATTACCGCTTCGGCGGCACGTCTGGCCTTCTCTTTGGCGATGTCTTCGATTGTGCCTTGGATCTCTGGGACATCGACCTCCTGGTTGTCCACTTCAATGACCTTGCCGAGGATAGCCCGCACCTCAAGGAGCTTGTTTTTGTTGCCGGTGATGAAGTTGAGCTTGGTGAGAGTCATTTTGGCTGTGCAGATAGAGATGGGTTCAAATGTTGGTATGTGTCAGTACGGAGTATTAGATGCGAAGTTGAAGATTAAGAGTCTGCCCCACTGCGCTACCGCTGACCGCATATATCGACCTCAGGTGCTGGGATTCATACCAGTTCAACATGAACAGCATTCTGAAACATCCCAGATCTATGGCGTGTCTGAATCTTGGAAATTACTTTCTTTATTTTTGTATCTTCTTATTTTCTCCACGTTGGAGTAGCCACCTACATTGTCAACAGAGCCGCAGATGAGACTGAATATATCAAAATCCAACAAAATCCAACAAATCGAGAAAAAGAAAAGAAAAAAGGTGACACGTCACGTATCTGGGCTTCTCGATATCATGTGTTGCCCCTGATTGGACCAGGGTTGTTCAGTTTGGTCTCTTTCCACACAATCCTGGACTATTTTACTCCCCACTGGACTTTTGACTACACAGGAAACATGCGAATGACCCCTGATGACCTAGTCTGGGAGCAAGCCGAAGAAATATCCGACAAATGGCTCCTTCAATTTCTTCAACATGACGTCTTAAGATCGATCGGGGCTTTCATCATCACTCATGAAAGAGGCTTTGGTACTGAAATTGATATACTCAAAAAAGGATCATACAACATTTCCGTGTGGTTGAAGTTCCGAAACAGAGCTACTACGCCTACTGTGATCCGCTTGGCACAACCTGGCGCCGTCATGTCCCCGAAGAGAAAGTCGCGAATGAAGTTGCTATAATGCGATTTCTGGCAGATCAGACTTTGATACCTATTCCTCTTATTCTTCACTCGGGTACGAAGAAAGAGAGCCCCCTCGAACTCGGTCCATTTATTATGATGGAATATGTCGAGCATGACACGAAAATGTACGCTGCCCTTAACACACCGGGCTGTCCGGTAGAGGTCCGTGGCATGCTTGATCCCGATATCGACAAGGGTAGGCTTGAACTACTATATAGCCAGCTAGCGCATATCCTACTACAGCTCTCTGTACCCTCTTTGCCTCGTATCGGATCTCTTAGCCAAATTGACGAGTTCACTTCGGACGTCACACGCCGGCCTCTAACAATAAATATGAATGAGCTTGTCCGAATTGGAGGCCTGCCACAGTCGAAGCTTCCCGATCTAAATGCTACATTTGAGGCATCTTCGTCATATATGGAAGCCCTTGCAAATATCAACATTGAGCATTTGGTGCATCAAAGAAACGATTCCGTCAAGTCTGCAGACGACTGTCGCCGGAAATTTGTGGCGCGGCAGCTTTTTCGCAAGCTAGCCAGGGAGAAGAAACTCACGAACCCGTTACTCGAGAAATGGCCTTTTAGAATTTGGTGTGGTGATCTACGGCCGGCTAATGTGCTGCTCAATGAGAATCCTACAAAAATTGCCGGGGTGGTAGATTGGGAGTTCACATACGCAGCCCCCGTCGAGTTTTTCTATGCGCCGCCCTGGTGGTTGCTTATTGAGAAACCTGAGCTATGGCCAAAGGGAATTGACGACTGGAAAAGAGTGTTTGAGCATCGTCTAAAGACGTCGTTTCTTAAGGCGATGAAGGATTGTGAAGATACAGCTATCCAACAAGGTCGGTTAAGAGAAGACCAGCGCCTTTCCGGTCCTATGTATGAGAGCTGGGAGAGCGGTGATTTCTGGATTATGTATGCAGCGACGCATAGCTTTGCCTTTGATGAGATTTACTGGCACAAGATTGACCCGCGGTTTTTTGGACCTACTAAGGATCCCGAGGGAGTCGAGGCATGGAAAGAGACATTGTGCCTATTGGATGAGGAGGAAAAGGAGGAGATGGAATTGCTAGTCGCTCGGAAGTTGATGGAGATGGACACCAGGGTTCTATTGTGGGATCCAGATGAGTACACTCTGGCATTTCACGAGCAATTGAAGAGTCAAGAAAAAGCGAAGGTCGAGAACAGCCTGGAAGAGAGTATGGATAGCGAGCCTACTGACGAGACCAGGTAAACCCTTTGGACATTCTATTTGTGTATCCGGCTTGGTCGTTTATGTTAGGAGAGGAAAAGCCATTTACGACAATTCTCTGAGCAATCTCTTCTGGTCTATAAGCCAAGACGTCATATGCAATTGAAACAAATGAAAATCATGCGCATCACTGTATCGCAAAGGCCGTGGATAATCCAGGCAAGTCGTAATCCGTAGCTCACAGGAAATCCCAAAGTCTAATATACAACAGTACAGATCTATTCCTCAACCACCCCGTTATCCCAGTCGAGCTTCTCTTGCTGTGCCATCGCTTGCGCGGACACAATCTCAGCAAGTCGTTTCAACCGCGGTGTTTGTAGCCAGGATGGGGTATAGGTCTCCAGAGCAGTGATAACACGCGGCTCGGCGATCTCATACGGGCCACTGTCCTCCATGTCTACTGGAGCCAGGAGGAGCACATCGCTCTTCTCGGTGACGCGAGAAGCGACGGCCTTCATGATCTCGCCGTTGATGGGCTGTTCGTAATCCGCCACCAGGTACTGATTCAGCAGTTTCTGAATTTGGTTCGGAGACAGCCTGCACAAAATTAGTTAGGCGAATTCATCGGAGAAGACACTTCCAGGGTTTACTTACATCCAGCAAATATCCTGAATGATCTCAATATCATTCAGAGTAGCCTTCTTCAACTGCAGAAGCTTGGTCGCTTGCTGCGTAGGTGTTAGTATAATGACCAAACGAATATCAAACAAGGAACCTTACCATCAAATGCTCTAGCTTCAACGTCCCCTCTGGCATATCATGACTCTTGCACCACTCCTCAATACGAGTGATGTTGTAGTTGATTTGCAGACCACGCTTCCACGACAGGAAGTTACGTCGCATGAGGAGATCGTTGAAAGCAGTGACACCAACCAAGCGCAAGAGCTCCGTGACGGTCTGGAGGATGATGGCGTCCTCAAGGTAGAAGGCCTTCATTGCCTTGTAAACACCGTTCAATAGACTGAGGAGGTTGTCCATGCTGTAAGCTGGGTTGTTGTTGGAGGGCAGAAGCTTTCCAAGGAAGCGATTCGTTTCACTGGTGACAAAGCCGGGAAGTGATTGAGACTCAATGATGGCTGGAACGATCATCTTGTACAACTTCTTCTTCAGCACCTTCATCCAAGTGTGATAGATGTTGAATTCCAAGCTCTCGAGGTCGTGCTTGACAATTTCCAACAGGCGGTCATACTCGTAGTTCTCGGTCTTTTGTGCTTCATACCAATCCTCGGCCAGGAAGACAAAGGATAGCATCTCGTGCACGTTGGATAACCAGAAGGCACCGGGATTGATCGCGTCGTCCCCATCATGCTGCATAACTTCTTGCTGGATGGACTGCATAACGTTGGCCAAGAATCGCTCCGACTCCTTAACAAATCCGTTGTTCCACATCTCCGACGTAACAAGGTTGATCAGGTATGCTGGGAACAGGACTTCCTTTTCAGTTGGAGGTGGTGTCGAAGTTGGGAGCGGAATCTTCAAGTTGCGGATAAGACCCATGGCGACTTCCTCATTCAAGTCCTCCTCTTCAGAAAGCAAGTTCTCGAGCTCCACCTCAACCGACTCTAGACCAGGAGAGATGGCCGCACTTTGACGGGTAGCCATAGATCCGGGCGTGACCGCCATTGAAACAGGCCGAGGGTTGTATGCACCACTGAAGCGATCCGTCTCGATCCTTTCAGCACCGGCACTGCGTCTCTTGGGCTTGGGTTTCTTTGAAGATACCAAGTTGATCAAGCCCGGGGTAGGGGTCTGGACTGCGCCACCGTTGGGTAGACCATCACCATTCATACCGTTCAAAGGCACGGATCTCTTGGCAACCTCGAGCTGCTCCTCGAGATCGGAAATCCGCTGCCGGAGAGCAGTCTTGTCTTTCTCATGGTCGGCATCCAAGAGCTTGAGACGCTCCAACTCCTCGTTGGCGGTCTGGAGAGCATCACGGGAGATTCGCTCCTCTTCTTGGAGGCGCTTGATGGTAGCCTGAGCTTCAGTGTGGCCTTGCTGAAGCTTACTCATCTCCTCTTCAATCGCCTCTAACCGGGCTGCGGTGATACCAGCCTGGTTTGCTTCAACCTGGAGTTCCTTCGTGCGAGCCTCCAAGGCATTGTGTCGGGTTCTCCATGACTTCAATTGGGTATCGTAGTTGTCCAGCTGTGAGACCAAGGTCTTATTCTCAAGCTTGAGAGTTTGCAAGTACTGGGTCAACTCAACCACCTTATTCTCCAACTTGTAAGAAATCTGCTTGAGATCACGGGCATCCTCGCGGAGTCTCTTATAAGCGTTTCTGGCCTCTTTTCCTCTCCAGAGGTTTTGGATAGTGATAACTTTGCGACGATACTGTCTCCAGGCCCGGAGTTGACGCCAGGAGCGGAAAGCACGTTGAATGACCTTGGCCGCATTTCCATTGATAGAGTCCATGATGTTGCGTCGGCACAAGAATCCCTTGGCAACAGACTCGAACAGAATGAAGTTTTTGCGGATTTGAGTGTACCGCTTCTTCTCCTTCTGGCCACGCCAGACCCGCTGGATCGTAGTAGCAGCCTTGGTCCGGCGAATCTCATGGGCATGCTGGCGTGCCAAGAAACCGCGAATGAAGGCCTGAGTGGTGAGAATTGAGTCGCGAGCATCGAGGTAGCGGCGGCGGTAGTACTTCGCACGCAAGTTCTTCTGGATCATGATGGCGCATTCATTCAACCTAGACGTTCGGAGATTCTCCAGGAATGCGAGCATACCAGCTCGGAAGAAGATTTTAGTAAGACCAAGCTGATACTTATCTTGCTTTTCATCTCCCAGGGCCTTTCGAAGGATTGCATGGCACATATCCCGAATCTCCGAGGTCCATTGCGAGGAATGGCACAGCATGTAGTACCGAATGGCAAATTCCTCATAAGTCCATCGGGTTGGGTAGCCAGCAGTACTGATTCGGACAGTTTCCAGGACACCACAAGCTCTCAGCTGACTGAGAACCATGGGACCTTCGAATTTCCAAGCCTCCTTTGCCTCATTGGGTTTGATGCAACGGATGTAATGGACTTCAGTGTTGTTGATGGTGTGCATTAATTCAATCAGCGAAGACTTGAAGATTCCTCCAAGCGTGGGTTTCCGATTGACTGCAACGCCAATCCGACGCCCTGGAGCTGCTGCAACTGGCTTAGACGACATAGAAGCGGAGTCCTTCTCGCGAACGGCCGCGGCAGTGTCTAGAATCTCCTTGATGAAAGGATTGGAGGAATTGCGCAAGACTTCCAGATGCTCGTCTGGCACAGTGTCACGGTTCTTTTTGATAAATCCATCGGATTCATAAGTAACATCAACTGCATAGTGACAGACGGTGAATGCAGATTTCCCAAAGCGGGGTTTCTTGTAGAACTTCTGCTTGTCAGCCGCAAAGTGGTGGTGAAGCTTGGTGACAAACTGCTCGTCCGAACCCATAGGAAGTCGAGACTCTTCATCCAAAAGGGCCAGGACGCCGAGCTTCGCTTCGATAAGATCGATACAAGGTTGATTATCCGAAAAGTCAATGAATGTCCAGTCGATCTCTTCCCGGACATATTCTTCCTGTTCAAGCTTGAACACATGCTGGTTGAATTCCTGTTGCAACTTCTCGTTGGCATAATTGATGCAGAATTGTTCGAAGGAGTTCTTGGCGAAATGTTCGAACCCATAAATATCAAGAACACCAATAAAGCATTTGAACTGCTCAAGCACTTCATCGGTAGCGAGGCGGCGATTGATCTTGTCCACTAGCCAATCAAATAGACTTGAATAGATGAACTTGGAGACGGAGTCTCGGACAACCAAAGCCTGTTGCTGTGTGAGATTGGAGGTGATTTTCTCGCCACGCGTGATAAGTTGCTTCTTCACGATCCATTTTGCAAACTCGGTAGCATCGATTCCAAGCATCTCACACGCGCGGAGAAGTGAAGGCTCGGTCGACGAGACTGACGAATCCGTGCGAGTAGCCGTAATCTTGACATTACCGAGGTGTAGCAAAGCGGCGAGAACACGGAAGATGCCTGTCTGGTCTTCCTTCGGCACACCAATCACAGCCAGCGACTTCCTGGTCGCCTCAAATTCAGCCTTGTCATCGACACCGTCGATCACTGGGGTGCCACCCTGGTTCAGATACTCAAAGTCTTCAGTGGCCAAGAGACCCAGCTCCTGTTTCTCCTCGTTGGAAGCACCAGCTACCAGCTGGTAGAAGATGTGGTAATTGCGCTCTTTGAGAGGCTGGAAGACCAGTCTCGACCGCTCAAGAAGATACGTCCTGATCTTAGCTCCGATGATATTCGTTCGGTCATCGAACATGATCTCGATATACTTGCCGAAACGGGAGGAGTTGTCGTTGCGAGTGGTTTTGGCGTTACCGAACGCTTCCATGACCGGGTTGGTAGCTAGGATCTGCTCCTCGGTTTCACTGATTGCCTCTGCGCGGCTAGTGGTGTATTTTCCAGGCTGATCGGAAGACTCTCGAGTCGCAAAGTAGCGCATGATATATTTGGCACTCACGGTCTTACCGGCTCCAGATTCACCAGAGACCACAATCGTCTGATTCTTTCCATCGCGAAGCATGTCACTGTATAAAAGTGTGAGCGAAACCGACTCCAAAGAAGCAAAATGTGGACTAATCTTACGCAAAAGCTTCCTCCGCAATTGCGAACAGGTGAGGCGCCTGCGAGGCACGTTGTTTCCCAGCATAAACCTGCACCATCTGCGGCACGTACAGCGAATCGACTCGGGCGAAAGGGTTGGTTGCGATCAAGACGATACCACTGTAGGTATATATCTCCTTCTGAGCGTAGCGGAGTTTTATAGCCTGGAGGACTTCAAAGGGCCGTCAGCTGGGAGGGTGGCACTAAAAAAGTAGGAGCAAGACAAACCAGCAGGCTCGTTCAGGTGAGACAAATTCGTCAAATCTTCGCTTGCTTCAAGCATAGCAGGGTTCATGAGCGGAGGTAGTTTAGGGTTGTTATCGACTTGCAGCTCGGACTGCGTGGTCTCCACGGTTTTTGTCTGCCCCGATCAAAACAGTGTCAGTCGGTCAACCCCAGCAAATTAAGACTTAAGAGACAGGACTGCGCGTCCAGCATCCGTTCCAAGGCAGTTACCTCTCCATTTTCCAACTCGAAAATTAGCTGCACTTTCTCTCCATCCTCCAGCTTCTCCTTCACTTCGGATGCCAGCCATCCTTCTGTCGGGTCGGGCTGCCAGGCCCGTGTGCCGACCTCATAAATGTGCGCCATAATGGAATGTAGGTCGTTAATCGTTCTTGATGCAATAAAAGCGGGATATTTGCAGAAGCTCCGGGGATGATGGGTGTTTTCGGAGGTAGGGCATCGAAGGGAAAAGGCGATTCAGATAGTCCAAAGACAAGGGGGACTTCTCAACCCCTCATCTCATATTTCGAAAGAATAGAATAAAAAGATTGAAGATAAGAAATAGATGGAGGTGGAAAGAAAACCCTTGAGACTAACAGCTGGCCATTTAGCGAGAGCCCCTGAAGGAGCTTAGGGGAATATACTGGGGGGACGCCACACCCCACAGCCTGTCACCGCCATCCTACTTTGTCTGCATTGTACCTTGCCTAGGTACTATATTGTATATTTACACTATTTACATTGTACTATTTACTGCTTGGATTTATTCTATTAGTTAGGATTTAAATTATTTATTCTTTATCAAGAAAACAATGTCTCGTTGACCTGAGACATATTTAACACATGTAAAATTCCAAGGTTGTCTCTGGTATTGCTTCCTGATTTGAATATCAAGTATACATACCAAATTAGTCGCATACCTGTAGACTACCCACACTTTATAAGACAATTAAAGTGTCTCACTTATGGGCAAGTCTTTACGGGCATTGGACGCGAAAATTACACACCGATTATGTCAAGTATTGATTGAGTATTAGAAGATAGAGAGGTCAACGCAGGGGGGGCACAAAAAGGCAGAAAGCAAAGCAAAATATCAGAGAGTACGAATAATCTCATGTTGGGCATTCACCACCGGCAACTTTTTTCATTTTAGTTTTGCTTGCACTCGGCGGCCTCCTTCTTGGGCTTGGAAGTACCATCCTGGAACAAAGTTAGCAGGTTGATCTAAATCGGTGAGTGTTGTATGTCCTACCTCTTCATCTGTGTCCTCCTCGTCCACATCACGGTCCGACCCAAGATCCTCCTCGTCCTCATCGTCCTCCTCCTCATCATCATCATCCTCAAACTCGTCACCATCGAAATCCTCACCGAGCTCCTCGAACTGGAGAGCTTCGCCGGTGAACCAGTCGATGGCACGGGGAATAAGCTTCTCCTTGATATCCTCGCCGAGCTGGTAATCAAGCTCCAGACGCTCTTCAATGTCGCTGGCGACTGACTCGTCATCTTCGGAGGGTGGCTGGGGGGCGAGAAGAAGTTGAAGAAGGACTCGGTAGGCACACTAATCTTAACAACGCGGGTCTGCTTGGTGTCTGAAGGAGGGTAAATTGTCAGTTTCAACTTAGCAACCCAATATTCGAGTGCACATACTCTTGTTGCGCTGCTTCTTGCTCTCCAGACGGAGGGTCAGGTCTTTGTCCTCCTTCCAGTCAATTTGGGATCCATCGGCGTGGTCGTAAATGAAATCGCCACCGTATCCACTCTCATCCTTGTAGAAGTATGTCTTGGAAATAGTTTTGTTGGTAAAGAACTCGTTCTCAGCGAACTCAAAAATGAGGCGGAATCCGGGTCGGTCAAGGTACTCCATGCGAATGTCGGTGAGGTGCTTGAGAGCCTCCTCATCGCGCTCGGTGATCATCTCAGCGAGCGAGATCTGGTTCTTCATGGCAGAAAGCCAAAACTCGGGAATGCCGTTCGCGGTCTCAGCCTCCTCCTTCTTGGGTTCCTCCTTGGTCTCCTCCTCATCACTCTCCTCATCCTCCTTTCCGGCCTCAACCTCGGCCTCGGTAGGCTCGACACCGCCGTTGATGATAGTAGAACGACGCTGGTACAGGGGTGTGAACTTGCCGAAGTACTTCTTCTCAAGTTCCAGAACTTCCTCTTGGAACTGAGCCTCGAGCTTGGAGTGCTCCTTCTGGATACCCTTCAGACCAGCGACACGGCGGCGGACGGAGGGGGGAGAGATTCGATGTAGCCTGACGAGCGACCGACGAGTTGACCCAACTTGCCTTGGATCATGGAGACCAGAGCAGGGTTGCGGGCGAAGAGCGAGGCAGCGGCGGCTTTGTCAAGGGATTCTAGGAAAAGGGAAATCACGGTCAAAGAGATGTCGGTGAAGAAAAGAAACGAGATGACTTACCCTCCTCGATGCTGGATACACCAGGCTGCTGAGCGTGAGACGAGATGGGAGCATTGTTGGCCGGTGTGTTTTGCGGGGTCCTTCTGCAAGTCAGTATATAAGTTTTTTTTTTTTTTGGCTTTTGATAAGGGTGGGAAAAATAAAACTGGGAAATCCTTACGGTGCGACCGGGAAGTCCGCCTTCTTGTTTCTGATGGGCTCAGACATGATGAATGGGGTAATGAAAAGGGGGGGTGGGAGAGAATGAGGTGAGGAGAGAGGAAGAAGGAAGAATTTGATAACCCGTCTAGTTTTGGGGGAGAGAGTCTGGAAGATGGTGGGATCCTTAGCGCCCTGTGGTCGAGGGGCTTGGCGGGTTGTGGTTGAGAGCATGCAAAGGCTGCAAATTCTCCCAACAATACCTTTTGATACTTTGATTTGTCGGATCTTCATACCTTTGATTTATATTTATATTTTATCTTTCTTTATTTCTTCTATAATGTCTTGATGTCCTGATATCTCGATATCTCGATATCTTGCTTCCTGGAATTTCGATCTGATCGCTCCCGGTGGCGCCCTGAACCATTACCCCTCTCTCCAACTCCAATGCTATGAAGAGAATTATTTCTATGACCGTGGTTGATGGTTTTCTTTTGACCTGAGCAACTTTCTTCGAACTCCTTGGCGAGAAAATAGAGAAAATAGATTTGCCCCCCATGGATACATGTAGAAGGACTGGATATATATATATATTTATAGAAACAGGTATTTTACACCCGTGGACGGACATGTTGTGTCCAAACTGCATGACATTTGATGACGTTCAAGGCCCGGGGTTAACCTAGGATGATGTAAAATGCCCTTTGTTTACAGGGATGCAAGTAGTAATCCCAAGTAGTCACCTAGATAACTGCAGGAACTAAGGAATTGAGAGCCTTTGGGGCCTGGAGTCGATGTAGATCTTCCCGTATCTCAGATCGAAACCCCGTCGATGATTTAGTGGCCAATAAGATGTCCGTTAAAGTTCAAAAATATGATGCCAAGACACATCCAGTCTTCTAGATTGTTGTCGAACCCCGCCAATATATACTACATAGCATATAGTAGAAGCCATTTATATCGTGTACGGAGTACAACTTTATATGGATTCCCTGCATGGGGCCGGAGATTTCCAAGTTTGGTCCGCCTCGGGATACATATAATTATGTAATCAAAGCTTTCCAAGGTTATCGGGAAATCACATGGGGATAAGTCGCTCTCCGCTGTGGGACTCCGATAAGCTCCAGATCACACACCTTGCTTTTGTGGAAACTTGCGCTCTGCGATATATGCTCTCCTTCGGTCCTGTGTTGGTGAAATACGACCACACTAAAACCCCCAGAATACGACACTCAGACAGGCTGCCGGGGAATTGGCTGCGCTGACCTCTCTCTTAAACATGGGAAGCCGTCCGCAGTCTCCCTCGGGGACTGGTCCCGTGGACCTCTCTATGCCTCGAAATAGACTGCGACGCGATTCCATGAGAAGCAGGTTGCTATGCTCCCTTACTATTTACCCCTGCCCTTGAATCGCTGCTGATTCATCTTTAGTATGAGCGTCGTGTCGGATGTGGAGATGGCCCGTAATGAGGTATGTCAAATCTCTTTCTCATGTGCAGTCTTCGGCGCAGGAGCTGACTCGCACTAGGTCTTCGATGGCCCCATATCGGAGAGCATTCCTTCTAGCGTCGTTTCGTTCGCGCACCGCCGTGATCGAGCAGGCTCTACGGTGAGCTTTACATACTTCCAGGACGAGGAAGACTTTGCAGAATGGTCGAACGAAGATGAAGATGTAGTGGATGAGGAAGGCGAGGTTGATGAAGAATCTCTACATGGGATCAGGGACGCAGATCTTGAGTCAGCCCGGGGATCCTTTGTGTCTAAGCGGATGTCTACCTCGCGCGACTCGATTGAACATCCACTTCTTTCTCGCTACCTGTCCGCCAGCTCGTATGGCCGAGACCGACGATCTGGCAGTCGGCTGAATCAAAAAGTCTATATTGCGTCGGAGGATTTGACGGCTGTCTTTGCTGGCTTTTCCACGAGTTCGGGAGGGTTTGCTGTCTATATTGCCCTTTGCATCTTGACTGGTGGATTTGCCTGGCTCCTCTTCCGATGGCTGCCACGATGGCGGGTAAAGTTGATTGGGAAGGCAACCCCGATAGGTAAATGCCAGTGGGTGGCCATCGAGGTAAAATTATGAACTTCCCATCCTATACAATAACCATCTGACCTCATAATAGGACCAATGGAACCAATTCACCATCCACGAAGTTGACAGCCAAATCTATGGACGTCCGCTTTCCACGGTCTTCGCTGACTCGCTAAGTCACGGCTACGATGAGGATAATGACCCGAATATTGCCTCTCTACGCTTCATTGACTATCGATATCTGAAATTCTTCTATCATCCAATCGAGGACAAATTTTCTTTGATAAATGGCTGGAAAGATCCCTCGTGGACTAATGCCAAGGTTATGCGAAGTGGATTGGATGCCGACGAACGAGACAGCAGGGAACAGATATTTGGAAGTAACGCCATCGAAATTGAGCAAAAGACAATCCCTCAGCTTCTCGTCGACGAGGTCAGTTTCCTTCTGCTTATTTCATCAATATATCTGACAGTGTATAGGCCTTTCATCCTTTCTATATCTTCCAAATTGCCAGTCTCGTTCTGTGGTCCATGGATGAGTATTACTACTACGCCGTCTGTATCTTTCTTATATCATTTTTCAGCATAGCAACGACTGTGCTAGAGACGAAATCAGTGCGTTTAATCCTAAAGTTGAACCAATCTCCAGAAAACTAACACTGCTATAGACAATGAGTCGGCTCAGGGAGATATCTCTCTTCGAGTGTGATGTTCGTGTTTTAAGAAATGGATTCTGTGAGTTCGTTCGATATGTCATCTTATTTATTGATGTAAACTGATCGTATCTGCAGGGCGGTCTGTTTCCTCACAAGAGCTGGTTCCTGGCGATGTGTATGAATTCTCCGACCCATCGCTTCACCAGGTCCCGTGTGACTGCATCTTGTTATCAGGGGACAGCATTGTGAATGAGAGCATGCTCACCGGTTCGTACAAAGCTTACAAAGGTTCAATAATTAAATATGCATCTAACCCGAATAGGTGAATCCGTTCCCGTGTCTAAGACACCACTCACTGATGACGCCCTCAAATACCTCGACCTCAGTACCCCTTCTATCCACCCCCACGTTGCTAAGCACTTCCTTTTCAGCGGAACAAAAGTAATCCGGGCTAGACGACCCCAGAATGTTGATGAAGATGAAGCAGTAGCATTGGCAGTCGTTATGAGAACCGGCTTTTTGACAACCAAGGGGGCTCTAGTTCGATCGATGCTTTTCCCAAAGCCTTCTGGATTCAAATTCTATCGAGACTCGTTCCGCTACATCGCCGTGATGGCGATTGTCGCCCTTCTCGGATTCGTTGCTTCGTTCATTAACTTCGTTCGATTGGGTGTAAGTCAATGCTCGGACAGACCATTTCCCCAAGGTTATCTGGCCACTAATACAACGAAACACAGCTTGCTTGGCATCTGATTATAATCCGAGCCCTCGATTTGATCACGATTGTTGTACCGCCAGCTCTCCCAGCCACACTTACTATCGGAACCAATTTTGCGCTTTCGAGACTGAAAAAACAGAACATATTCTGTATCAGCCCACAGAAGTGAGTCGCGGAAGCTGAATGATGTTTTAACTTCGACACTAATACATGAGACCAGGGTCAATGTGGGAGGAAAGCTGGACATTGTTTGTTTCGATAAAACAGGAACCCTCACAGAAGATGGGCTGGATGTGCTAGGAGCCCGTATAGTTACCCGTGGCAAAAGGTTTGTCTGTTTCTGAGTATGGTCCTTAAGCTGGCGCTGAAGAAGACTCTAGGTTTTCAGAGTTGCTCTCTGAGACGTCTGACGGGTTTCTTTGCCCTTCCCAAAATGCCAACTCCGAATGCGATATCGAAAAGCAAAGGAACATCATGTACGCCATGGCTACATGCCATTCCCTCAGGGTAGTGGACGATGAGCTGTTGGGAGATCCTCTCGATGTGAAGATGTTCCAGTTCACCAACTGGAGGTTTGAGGAGGGAGGGAATCATGTTTCCGACCAGACAAACCCCAAATACGACACTATAGCGCCGTCAGTTGCAAAGCCCCCTCAACGACAGACCGGTGACGAACAGGATGTAAATGTGAGTTGATTTTATTCAGGCTACGGCTTCATTTCTGACAATATTCAGGACTCTCTCGAGCTTGGAGTGCTGCGGAGTTTCGAATTTGTCTCCAATCTTCGCCGCGCAAGTGTCATCATCAGGAAGTTTGGTGACAATGGAGCAAGTTTCTTTGTCAAGGGTGCCCCGGAAAGCATCAAGGACATATGTATTCCTGGAACACGTCAGTGCTCCTCCCCCTCTATCTACGTAAGGCTGTGTTGCTGATATACCTTTTTTTTTTCAGTTCCTTCGGACTATGAAGACCTCCTGAACTACTACACCCACAAAGGATACCGTGTGATTGCATGCGCTTCCAAATACGAACGAAAGTTGAGCTGGATGAAAGCCCAAAAAATGACGCGGACGGACGCCGAATCCGACCTGGAATTCCTGGGCTTCATTATATTCGAGAACAAGTTGAAACCCAGTACTGCCGGTGTGATTTCCGAGTTGAACGAGGCGGGCATCCGCAATGTAATGTGCACCGGTGATAACATCTTGACTGCCATCAGCGTTGCTCGTGAATGCAACATGCTTGGACGTGATGAACTATGTTTCATTCCGCACTTTATTGAAGGTTTGTTTTTACCACATCCACAAGCCGTAGTCATCATTCAATATTAACGATACGCAGAACCTGGTCTTTCATCCAAGATTTCTCTCACATGGGAATGTGTGGACAATCCCGACCTCCAGTTGGATCCAAGAACACTCTTGGTAAAATAGCTTTTCCCTACATCCAATTACTAGCAGCTAATGCAATTGCAGCCTATGAACGACGCGGAGGTCGACCTGTCAATTCCAGGAAACGTTCTCACCGAGCGTGAATACTCTGTCGCTGTCACGGGTGATGCCTTTAGGTGGTTGGTTGACTTCGGGAATGAAGATGTACTCAAAAAGGTAAGTGGCTGTTGTGCTGACTCTTTCCGCTTTCCACTATAGCTCGAACTAATGTGTGCTGTCTAGGTGCTCGTATGCGGCAAAGTGTTTGCTCGTATGTCCCCAGACGAGAAGCACGAACTGGTTGAGAAGCTTCAATCTATCGATTATTGCTGTGGCTTTTGCGGCGACGGTGCCAATGATTGTGGCGCTCTGAAGGCTGCTGATGTTGGTATCTCATTGTCGGACGCCGAGGCGTCCGTTGCCGCGCCCTTTACTAGTCGCCTGTTCGAAATCTCCTGTGTTCCGACGGTGATCAAGGAGGGTCGAGCTGCTCTAGTGACAAGCTTCTCCTGTTTCAAGTTCATGAGTCTTTATTCCGCCATTCAGTTCTCCTCGGTCAGTTTCCTGTACACGTCGGGGTCAAATCTTGGTGATTTCCAGGTAAGTGGGCTATATTACCAAAATAGTTAAAGGATCGCTAACGGGTTTAAGTTCCTTTTTATCGACCTTGTGCTCATTATGCCCATTGCAGTCTTCAGTGAGTGGTTCATTTCTACTAGATCTGAGTCTCTGAGCTAACTTTCTTCTAGTGGGTTGGGCTGATCCTGCTCCCACGCTGTCTCGGAAACGGCCAACTGCAGATCTTGTCTCGCGTAAGGTATTGACACCTTTACTCGGGCAGATCTTGTTAGTTGTGCTGTCACAGCTTGCAGTCTTCCGGACTGTTCAATTACAGCCGTGGTCAGTAACCATCACAATATACACCATCAAAATTATTCTAACAAACGATGCAGGTTCTTGCCGCCACAACTGGACCTGGAAAAGAGCAACATCGTCAACTCGGAGAATACGGCCTTGTTCTTGTTTTCTTGTTTCCAGTACATCTTCATCAGTATTGTTCTGAGCGCGGGTCCGCCATTCCGGAAACCAATGACCCAGAATGGTAAGTATCACCATTCACTTCATTTTCTTGCTCATCAAGATATTGACTGTCGCGATTTAGGGCCGTATTTATTCACGATCATCGTCAACACCCTGATCTCGGGCTATATGCTCTTTAGACCATCCAACTGGGTATCGGAGGTGATGCAACTGACTTATATGTCTGATGTTTTCAGATGCTGGCTACTCGCGCTAGCATTCGGTATCTTCGTTCTGTCCTGGACAGCAGAGAAGAACATATTCCCACGTGTGGCACAGATGCTTGGACACGCTCGTGCCCGCTTGCAGCCAAACTACCGCAAAAAGCGCAAGATGTACAAAGTGTTGTTGGAGGCACTGCGCCTATGAAATACGCTTTTAAAGCACCCACATTGTACGTTATCAAATACACATAGACATGTAGATTGTCAGTCTTTGGATATATGACCTGGTTATTCGTCGACAGAGGCTCCGCCTCAGCCACTAGGACCAGAGAGTTACCATTTCAGCAAATTGAAAAAGAAAGGGTATGATACAATTCGGCTGGTAAATGGCTATCGTGAACCTGGCACTTGTAGCTTTTGACATGCATTCGGCAACACCCGGCTCTGCTCCTCTCTCCCCACTCCAAGTACATAGTACACAATGCGGCCTAACCATCACCGCTGCTGTGAGGGAAGAAGCGGTTGCGCAGAAAAAACGAAATTGACGATTGTGATTCGATCAGTGGTCCCAAGGGTGCTTCCAGCCCAACAGAGCGGGACCATCCTTCTTGGCCCGGTACATGAGCTACCCAGAAGAATCCTGTTAGTACAAGTTCTCCATATCAAAAGGAGGCAATCCTTACGAAGAACCACATGCTAGCGCCCAATGCAGTCGCAGTGAAGCGGTAGAGCGGTCGGACCGGGTGGATGTGGATAGGGTGGGAGGAGTTGCCCGCCATGACTATGTAGATTGGAGAGCAATTAGTTTCCACAGAATTCGTATAAGCGGATAAAAGGTGCATGCAAGACGTACTGTGTACTGAAAATGGCTGTTGTTGGTTAACAGAACGCCAATCTCGAATCGGATCTGAAGACGGAGGGTTCTGCGGTTCAACGGGGACGGAGAGGTCGCAGACACGTGACCCGTGACGGCACTCGACTTCCACAGCGCAGCGGTAGGATTGTTCAGCAGGACTATCGGCAGAACACTCATTTATATCATTATTTGTTGCCTGACTCCTATTTTACTCGTGCCTTGATTGGGCTGGTTCCTATTCAGGTTTATATTGAGCCTATTGTATGGCCGAGCTCCGTACGCGAGGCCTTTGAACAATGCGAAATCGTCGCACATGCTTTCAACTATGATATGGACTTGGCTTTTAACACATTTCACGTGCTTGGTTCTCTCCGAGAAGGCTCCTGTTAATTCGCCTTGACGCTTTCTTACCACCGTCTGTCTTCGAAGACTTCTCGAACCGTCCTCCGTGTATCTTGACGCAACATCGAACCAAAGCATACCGAACATCTTGACCCCGGCCGATATTAATTTTGACATAATCACCAGCTAGCACAATTAGCAGTTTTCCTCCGGCGTGAGCGACCAGCTCAAGCGACGAGTCAACATGGCGATCAAATCCCTGGAAAAGGATGAGAATGGCCAGGCACGTTTCTTTGGTTGTTCGAACATCCGTGACTATGAATTCCTCGACAAGCTTGGAGAAGGAACATTCGGGTGAGTCTGGCGGCGCTGTCACTGATAGAACCCGGCTGACTGGTTGATAGCGAGGTCTACAAAGCAAGGTCCAAGAAGGACGCCAAAATTGTCGCCTTAAAAAAGATCCTAATGCACCACGAGAAAGAAGGCGTAAGTCCACTGGCCCTTTTTTTTTTCGCTTGCCATAAACTGACCTTTGCTGTTGGCGCTAGTTCCCCATTACCGCCATCCGAGAGATCAAACTCATGAAGGCGCTCTCCCACCCAAACATTCTGCAGCTCAAGGAGATGTCAATTGAGCGAGGCAAAGGCGAAGGACGGAAAAAGCCGAGCATGTACATGGTCTTTCCATACATGGAACATGACTTGTCAGGACTCCTGGAGAACCCGGCAGTTACATTCACCGAACCGCAGATTAAATGCTACTTGATGCAGCTCCTCGAAGGGCTCAAATTCATGCATGCAGTAAGATCGTCTTGGAACACCCGTTCCTGCAATATTTGTCTAACAGCTTCGCAGAACCGCATCCTACATCGTGATATGAAAGGTAGGTGTTGAGTGTACTGATATACCATAGCCCTGAGCTAACAAAATGAAAAGCCGCGAACCTTCTAATTAGCAACGGAGGAATTCTCCAAATCGCTGATTTTGGTCTTGCTCGGCCTTACGATGATGCCCCTCCACAACCCGGAAAGGGAGGAGGAGAATCCAAAAGAGAATACACTGCACTTGTTGTCACGAGGTGGTACCGTCCCCCAGAGTTGTTGCTGCAGCTACGGAAATACACAACAGCTATTGACTTGTGGGGAGTTGGGTGAGTTTTCCACCCCTGCTAGCCAGGTCTATCATCTTCTAATACACTGTAGCTGTGTATTTGGCGAGATGTTTAAGGGCAAGCCTATCCTCGCTGGAAACAGCGATCTTAACCAAGCAGAATTGATATTCAACCTTGTGGGCACTCCCAATGAAGAAAATATGCCCGGATGGAGTCAACTCCCCGGTTGCGAGGGCGTGAAAAACTTCGGAATCAAACGCGGGAACCTCCATAACTTCTTCAAGGAGTATGTTACTTGTTTTTCCCTCAGAAGACTTGGGCCCCTAACTAACCATGCAACAGCCTAAACCCGGTAGCTATTTCTCTATTAGGCGAGTTCCTCCGACTAGACTGGAGGAAACGCATCAACGCCATGGATGCATTGAAGCACCCATACTTCACCACCCACCCCCTCCCAGCACGACCCGGCGAAATCCCCCAATTCGCCGATTCCCACGAACTTGACCGAAAGAAGTTCCGCAGCCAGCGGATGCCAATGCCCCCAGTGCCTCCAGCCGTCTCCGACACAAGCAATGGTGCTTGGCCAAGCTCTGGTTCTCGCGGACCAGACTCCCGACATAGCCGTGTCCCCGGCGCCGCCCGTGGAGGCCGACCCAATGCACCAGGAATGCATGGAGGCCATGGACCTCATGCAGCTCACGGCCATCCGCAACGCCGCGCGCCTTTCCCACCTACACAAAGAGATACCGGATTACCCCCGCGTCCTCCCGCACCACACAACCCGCCATGGGATGGATCGCAATCCAACAGACCTGACCACAGAGATGATCGCCGAGGTCAATTCGGACAAGGTCGCCCGGGAGGCAGATCAGGAAACCTGGACTCTTATGTTCCAAATTACAGCAGCAATGACCGCGGCAGTGACCGCGGCAACGATCGGTCGCGAGACTCTGGCGAGTATGGCTCGCATTCAAATACCGATTGGCGCTCGACTAGTCGACGTGATTACCGTCGGGATCCTCCACCAAGAAGAAGGAGCCGCAGTCCCGGCTATAGAGACGGTAGTCGAGGGTAGGGTCATGATGTCTAGCGAGTTCTCACTTAATGCATTTTACTTAGCCAATCCGTGTGGATGATATATGGCAGATTAAAAATGGAAATGGAAATGAAAATGAAAATGAAAACATTCATGTCATAGCTTTTCTCTAGTAAATGGTGCATGGTATTCACAAAATATACACTCAACCGCTTTTACATCAGTCGTATCCAACTCGATATACTCGTGAGTTGGCAATTGCAATCTTGTAACATCCCAGGACCTCGTTGAGAGTGTCCCATTGCAATTGAGATTAAGCCCTGTGAGGACCCATCTATCTTAAGTTGATTAAAGCATCATAGCCCGGAGGCTAGCTTATTTTTCGAATCGGTTGTTTAATACAACACGCGGGTCATGATGCGAGCTGGAGAGGTGTTAGTCGTAGGTTCATGCGAGAGAGAAAGGATATGGTCTTACAAGGAAGGCTCTCGAGACTGGTATACAATTCCTTGATGGTGGCAGCGTCCACATTGCTGATATCAGCCATCAGATAGGCAACCTATAAGAGTTAGTTTCTGCTGTCTTTCTCTTTTGTGTGAAAGGCACGGATAAACATACATCGCCTCTGCTATCGGTCATTTGCTTGTCGACGTTATGGTCACCAATAATCTCGTTGACTGTGGCATTGTCAGTTAAGAGATCGCCTGATTTGAGTCAAATGTACTCTACCTTTACGCAACACTCCAGGAATGTTCTTGTGGATGTAGATCACCTAGGCAAAATCAGTATCGTTGCAAAGCCAGATGACTGCACGAGGCAACTTACGCGAGCGTGGTCAGGCTCATCCATTGTCAAGGAACGGAGGACAACCTCGGGCAAGTTGACAGCACCCAGGGTTGAACCCTCGTTAGCATAGCGGACCAGAGCCTGGGCAACTTCGACACCAATGGCCTTCTGAGCCTCCTCGGTACTTCCTCCGATATGGGGGGGTCAGGATGAGGTTCTTCAGCGAGCGCAGATCAGCTCCCCAGCTGTTCAGATCGTTGTTGAAGTAGTCACCGTTTCCGGCGGGCTCATTGGGGTACACATCCAGCGCGGCACCAGCAACCTTACCGCTGCGCATGGCATCGATAAGTGCGGGGATGTCTACAACGGTTCCTCGGCTGGCGTTGATCAGGTAGCTTCCCTTCTTCATCTTCTCGAACTGCTTCTGTCCAATCATGCCCTTGGTCTCGGGAAGTTCGGGAACGTGGCAGGTAATGAAATCAGCTCCGGCCAAGAGATCATCCAAGGTCTCCACTTGGCGAGCAGTACCCAGTGACATTATGTTGAGCACGTCGTAGTAGATGACGGACATTCCCATTGCCTCAGCCAGTACGGACAGCTGAGCACCGATATGGCCATATCCAATGATACCTGAGAAGTCAGCAAAACAACCCCCGAAACAACAGCATAATTGGAAGGACATAACGTACCGAGTGTCTTTCCACGAATCTCCCAGCAACCGTTGCTCACTTTGTTCCAGGTACCAGCGTGCATCTCGCTGGAGCGGTCGCCCAATTGACGGGCAAGCATGACCATTTCACCAATGACCAACTCGGCAACACTGCGAGAGTTGCTGAAGGGGGAGTTGAAGACGGCAATACCCTGGTCGGCGGCATATTGGAGGTCGACCTGGTTGGTACCGATACAGAAGCAACCGATGACGATTAGGTTCTTCGCTTCCTTCAGGACTCGTGCGGTGAGCTTCGTCTTAGAGCGAATACCAATGACGTGGACATCCCTGCAATACAACACAGTCAATTCATGAGCTCCATGAGTCACCGAGAGGGAATTAGATTGGGACCCACCGAATCTTCTCAATGAGCTGATCTTCTGGGAGGGAAGACTTCAGGAATTCCACCTGGTAGCCTTGCTGGGAAAGGATTTCGCGGCCGGTCTGGTTGACATTCTCCAGGAGCAGGACCTTGATATCTTCTGTAGCGAATGGCTTGAGGGGTTTAGCGTTCACTGGAACCGTACGGTTGAAGGCAGAGCTGTGGCTGGATGGGGAATTGAAGGAGGCGTTGGGGGAGGTAGCGAGGAGGGAGACATCGTCCTGACGAGGACGGATATCTCTTGCGTTTGACATGATTGAACGTGTATAGAGGACTGAAGCAGACTGAGAGGAAACAATCAGGGAAGATGTGGATGAATGCCCAAGTGGTCCACATGGATGACTCTTAATAGAAATTAAGTAAGCCCCCAAGGTCTCCGGAATCGGACTCTGGTTTCAGGGATTTACATTTGCAACTATGCATATAACCTACATAGTATGCACATTTCGCTCTTGCTAATTGATTTTTATTATTATAACTAAATAGTTGAAATATAGTACTCTACATGTATTCTTTGTATTCTATGGAGGGGCACCGCGGGGCAAAGATTTTCTTTTTCCTTTTTTTTTTTTTAAAAAAAAAAAAGACAATCCAAAGATCTGACCAATCACACGCAGATCACATGTTTATCGGATGAGCTTATCTGCTTTAGGCAAATTATGGGCTCCCGCTTTAGTATTGCGTGCTACGTCTAGTATATGTACAACTGTTACTATAAATGTAGTTAATAGTTATAGATAAATTGTATATCTCCTTAAACTTGACCTTGCATATTTCGGCATCGCTTTATTGACCATTACATAATAAACATGCTCCTCCGGGGCCCGGGGCCCAGGGCTGCCCAGTTGAGCATCACCGGCCTCCAGGGCTGACTTGCTCAAACATAAGAACCTTGGAATGTAAAGACGAGCCGAGTAACCTCAATAAAATGCAATATGCTATTCCTGTCACCGGGTGTATCCATGTACTATTCGGAATGCCCGACCTTGGAACTTGGAAGGTTTCCCACCAAAAGAGGACTAGTGCTGTTAACGTGACTCTAATATCTACTATGTACCGACTTTATATACATATGTATGTACTCTATTCTGCACGTTCCTATTTCGTTTCCGACATATTAAGGTTAGGCGCACACTCAAGAACCCTTTCTGGAGGCGGCCTAGGAAGGTTATTCTGACTGACCTCCAGATCACCAGCTTACAATCCAACTTCCGCTACAACTCACAACTACTCTGCAACTACTCTGCAACTACTCTGCAACTACTCTGCAACTACTCTGCAACTACTCTGCAACTACTCTGTAATTACTCTGTAACTACTCAAATCCCACTTCTCGTGAGTATTCCCATCTATCACCGCCGCCATTCACAGATTGTGTCCTTATTTACGTGAAAATGATACTAACGTGACTAGAACATGGAGGACTATGACTCAATGGAAATCTCGTTGCTGGGATTAGACCCGTTACAAATATTCGATTCCTTCGGAAACTTCAAGCCCGTTCCTGGTTACCAACGGGAGGACAGGCGACTCTTTGAGTACGGCGGGGGTCTTCAAATACCCTCGGAAACCTTCGGGACGATTTTATCGTTCGATTATCTCTTGCGGGCACTCATACAACATGCGGAAGGGATTAAAGCCGAGTTTCAAGCATTGGAGAAGTCCACCGAGGATGATGCCAATATGCACCACGAATATGAGTGTGATCTCGAGCGCTTAGAAGGGAAAATTTGGGAAGCAACAGAATGCTTACGCAATGCGGAGATCCAGCTTCCCCAAAGGCCATTGAAAAAGATCTATGATGAGATCCGACAGAATCCTACTTGGTATCTCCGAAAAGAGCTTGTCAATGATTGTGCGGAGAGAGGTGGCTGTTGCGCTCGAAGCTGTGGATGCTGCAAAAAGCGCTGTCTAAGTGGTAAGGGGAAGGGTATCGGGCACTGTACGCTCACTTGTTGGTGCTGTGAAGTTAATCGTGGTCGTGAACGGACCGACGCGGAATGGGACATGGTAGTAAGACACCTAGACGATAGGTTCCGGAGCGAAAACTCCTCCTATCTTTTAACAATGACGGAGGCTTATTTCTCTAAGCCGGGTATCTTTGGGCTTGGAAAGATGTCAATGGTGAGATCACTTGCGCGATATTGTAAGAAGTCTTGGCGGTGGAAAAGAGGTTCGAAGTGATTCGAGCTCTATATGTTGAGAACTACTTCAAGTCTATTGCTAGCTAGGTCTTACGATTGCTCAATATTTGTGAAGCCCCATCTGGACCTGATTACTAGTTATAGTATTATTTGCGAAAAGGAAAGCACTGCCATTACGAATGTAATGACAGGAAGCTCAATATAGTTACTACATGTAGTAGACAACGCTGTCAACCCTCGATAAGTTGCCGAAGGGTCAACGAGTTAGACCAGTAACGCGCAAGCCTAGGGGAAGTGCTATATCACCATTAGAGACAAGTTCGGAAATTGTTGCAGCCACACGGTGGAAACCTGCTTTAGCTATCTAATTCAAATTCATGATTCATTCACTTTAAGCATTTTATATAGAGAATCCCTATTTACAATGCAACGTACTGTGTCTCTCCTCTATGATCTTATCTTCATTATAGATCTTAACAAGAATGTATTCATATTTCTATCTGTTATAGTCTATTGAGCTCAAAGTAAGGATTGGTTGAGTTAATTGCATCTCATTTACATCTCATTTACATCTCATTTACATCTTATTTACATCTCATTTACATCTCATTTACTTCTCACTTACTTCCAACCTTGGAAGGTTCTCACTAGTTATTGAGGGCCTACCTAGGTAGGTAGGTAGTGACCATTGTATGTTATGGATATTGTCCTCACCTGGAAGGAACCTTGGCTTTGTTTACTTGCTAAAAGGGAAGGCATCGGTCAGTCTCCTATTTAAATTCTCCTCTTCCCCTTTCCTTCTCCTTTTTTCTTCTTCTCTTTGCTTTTCTCTCTTTGCTTTCTCCACTGAGACATTTCGACTTCAAAATGTCTGCAGCTACCAGTTCAGCGTCTACCACCCATGAATCCACTGGTTCACTCCAAGGCCCTACGAAGCCCGGTTCATGGGTTACGGAGGCTCAGGATGCAAAGAAGACCCCTTTGCTATTCTCGTACATCTACGGGATCTATCTTTTAGGCCAGATTTTCGTCCTTTTCGTGGCCAATACCCTCAAGATGAGAAAGTTACAAGCAGAGTAAGATTCATTATTCTCCTTCCCCTACATTGAGAGTAGCCATGAGGATGCTATTCAGGCCTTTTTACACTAGACAAACACTAATCTCCACTGTAGGAAGGATGCCAAGTGCAGTGAATGCCCCACTGCAAGAAGCCGAATCCTGGAGCTTGAGCAACGGGTTAGGATCGCAGAGCTCTCCGCCAGGGATGCCAACTCTCCCGCTGAGAAATTTGCAGGGCAAGTGAGACGGGCAAATGAACTAGCGGAAGAGTTTCAGCGACGAGCTATGGCGGCTGAGGAGCGGGTAGGTGACTGGAGGAATTTCGAGTTCCGCCAATGAAGTTGGCAGTTTGCACTCACCCCAGACTCCTAGTCGTCATTCTCCTGCTTCTTCTGCTCAGTCCCAACCCGATTCCCTGAAGACCCAAGTCAAGCATTCCCGGTTGGCAAGCTGGGGACGCTTCTTCGGACGCTCCGTGCGCCGCCGTCACAAAAGCAGTGAGACTTTGCAGGCTGGTCAGCAATTTTCCAAAGTTCGCAACCCTGGTTCTAATTGACAAAAGGGTATCTGACTGTTAGTCTACCATTGTCGAGGAAAGAGCTTCGTCATTTCTTACAGGAACGGCTGGCCTCGGCTTGGCCTATTCCTGATGAATTGACAAACTCGGCCTGTTCTTAAAGGAATGATTGGCTTTTGCTTGATCTATTCTTGAGAGAATGGCCTACAGCTTGGGGTTGCTTCTGCTTTGTCTATTCTTATAGAACGGCTGTCTTCGGCTTGGCCTGTTCCTAATGAATTGACAAACTCGGCCTATACTTAAAGGAATGGCTGGCTCCGGCTTTGCTTATTCCTAAGAGAATGGCCTGATGCGGTCGTATCTTTCGTTCCCTCTGCATATTCTTGCAGAAAAAGCTGACTTTGCGGGTGGCTTAGCCTGTTCTTGATAAATAACGAGTTACTTCCGGCCTTCTCTTGGCCGGGGTCTTCCAGGACGATTAGGACAGTCTGTCCTGGACAATCCAACAGCTACGAGCTTGGACCTCTACGTGGTGCTGTTGACTATTAGCCATCCGGTGAAGCCAACGCAAGCTCAAATCACTCTCCTTTCTGACCCTTTCCGCAAATTCCTGTCAATTCTATGCTGACAACTCTTTCGATAGAAGCAAACAGGTGTTTTCAAAGGGTCAGGGTAAGCATAGAAACAATTGATACGGTTTTTTGCTGACACTATTTCTCGACAGTGAGTGCGTTTTGTCTTTGCGCACTCTTTCTCTCGCTTTGCTTTTATCTACCTCTACCCACTGCTGAGCCATTATCCCACGGGGATCAAAATACAGAGTGAAGAGCAAGAACACAAGATTCTAGCTTGAGGCACGGTTCCCGTCTATCTGAGAAAGCTGACGAGAATACATGGAGTCTCGAAAGGACCTGCAAAGCATATGTTACATATATACACTGCTATAATCGGTTTTAAAGTTGCTGACCATAAGCGGTAGAAGCCAGAGTCGATCCAATATCTCAGCTTGCTCTTCATCTTCCGACCCTTGTGTTGATCCCTCTAAAATGGAGCAATTACAGTCCTGTTCTACTACCTATAAAGGCCGTGTATTGTTAAGATCTATAATATAAATGAGATCACAAAGGAGAGACACCATATGCTGTATTGTGGATAGTGTGAAAACTGTGAAGAGGGGAAAAGAAAGTAAGACTATAAGAGTCTTCTAATATAGGGGTCAGGTGGCTATGGGAGATCTCAACATGTATCAGATCTGCGCCGTCGAATATAAATGGAATGATTGCTTTCACTATGCTTAACTCTTAATTAACAGGAGAAAGTGGCCCAGGTTACCCTATGCGTGGTCAATACCCCCTACTATTATTCATCTCAACCGATGATTGATGGATTAGGGCTACTTTGATCACCTGACCCCTTTCAGGGAAGCATACACCACCTTCCATCCCATAGGCTCTACAGAAGAAGCAGAAGGGAGAGAAAACCATGGATCGAGCGGGGCTGCCGATTGAGAGAGCTAGAGTTAGGAGGGGAGAAGGGTGGGAAGGGAAACCCAATACAGCTGAGAGGATTCCTGCTATCCCATGGATTCCTAGGAGAATTCGGATCTGCCAGATCAAGATCCGGCAATGCCAGTCCTATATTCCTTGACAAGTTGCTTTATGAATCAATGCCACCAGTGTAGGAAGAGCCTATCTCTTAATAGCAAGCTGACTAACAAGAATCAGCTTCCAAGGTTCCAAGGTCAGGGTGCAAGCTAATTAATAGCAATAAGGTCTTCCAAGGTTCTATACGATCTCCGCTGCCCTTAGATGATAAGAATTGCACCGTTTTGACATTAAATCTGCATTTCTAAATGCTGATATCAAGGAATCAATCCTTGCTGAACTCCCCGAAAACCAAGCTGCCGGCGGAGCAAAGCAAATCGCTAAATAGACTGCTAAGCTTCACTAAACTTCCGTTCAAAAGGAAGACCAGATTGCTCTTCTGATAAAATCTGTGTACGGCCTAGAATAGGCTTCTCGACAGTGGTATATGCTTCTCCATGACTCATTGATAGCTATGGGTTTCCAGTAAATCCATCCAGATCACTCAGTATTTGTCAAATGGGTCGGAGACGGAGCTATTGCTGTTTCAGTCTCAGATGAATTGCAGAGCACCCACGAATAACATAACGATGGATTCCAGAAGGCAGAAGATGCATCCGTAGAGGATAAGATTCTCGTCGGTAAATTTGAATCAGTTAGTGTTGCAAAGATAGCATCGGCCCTAATAACCACAAGAGGTACTCTAAAGGTAAGTTCCGACTTAAAAGGCCGTCGCTTCAGATGCCCTGGTAGAATAATAGAATAATAATAAGAGTTAGGATACCGAGGATCAATGAGAGAGCCCGGTAGGGTCGAATGCCATATAGTAGCCACATCCTTACTAACGCTGTGGTAAAGTGACGGACCGATCGCTCCAATAGATAGCGAAAGTCATCCTGAGATGCATATGTAGAGGATAAAATTCTCGTCGGTCAATTTGGGTCAGTTGGTGTCGTAAAGACAGCATCGGCCCTAATACCTATAAAAGGTACTCTAAAGGTAAGTTCCGACCCAAAAAAGCTATCGCTTCGAATACCCTAGTAGAACAATAGGATAATAATACGAGTTAAAATACCGAGGATCAATAAGAGAGCCCGCTGGGGTCGAATGCCACGCAGCAGCCATATCCTCACTGACGCTGTGGTAAAGTGACGGACCGATCGCTCCAAACAGATGGCGAAAGTCTTCCCGAGATGCCTCACGAAGGTCATGCTCACGGCCGAATCTCCAGTTATTTGCCATTGAAGTGGTATCCGGAAGTGACAATTTATGTTTCGTTGTCAAGACTGTTGCCCGATAGCTGCGGACCTGGCTTGGTCCGGCATGTTTCGAAGGATAGATGGCCATGTGAAGCCTGACAAACAAGGCATCGGATGGATGACCTGTCGCAACACTCAAGTTGAACCTTATCCTCCAAAATCGTATTCCTTGGAGGTAGATCCTGCATATGAATCCGTCGGCGAGTTCGACGCGCACCCCTGAGATCTGATATGCTGAGCGAGAGAGGATGACATTGGCGACGAGGTATTCGGTGAATCTCAATCGAGATGTTTTGCCATTTTCTAGCGATAATGAGGTTGCTCTTCGGAGGGCGAGGAATCTTCCGGTCGATAAGCCGATGAAGGTTGAAACCTTTGGGGTTTGGAATTTGTGGAGGGTGAAGAGTGAATGAGCCGGTATCTATGAGTCCACTTGCTTGAGTAACAGTTTCGTCTTCCCTGAGAAGGGTACTCCACTCGTCCACGGTGGTGATGAGTATGTTGAGATGTTGAGATAGATGAAAATGACCGCTTATCAGGCGAGCTACAGCAACCTTTGGTGGCTAAAACGATGATGAAAACGATGAATTTAGCAAAGAAGAGATAGTTGGGTCTCGATGATAAAAAAAAACCCCTGGCTCTTGGATGTCGAGCAAAGGGATCATAACCTTCTGGCAGCAAAGGATAGAAGGAGAGAGAGAAGAAGGTTGAATTCTCTATCTGTGTGAGACTAGCTAATATACTAGCTAGCAATCATGTGAAGCCTGACAAACAGGGCATCGGATGGAGACCTGTCACAACACATGAAAAAATGGGTGAGTATTGCGATCAATCAACTCACATTGCAGTATTTCGACAGTCTCTATGGACCTCTCCTAACAGAATGAATCTGAATCAAATACAAGTCTTAATATCTGAACTCAAAAGCGAGCGAGGAAAGGGAGTCAATAATCACTTGAATCATTGTGAATTATTGAGCATTGATTCACGTCAGGTGCCTACATGTAGGTAAGTAGGCACCTGTCGAGTAAGATAGAATCGCGTAGTTGAAGAGGTCTTCTCTCCTCGCTCGTGAACTCTCCTTCCTTTTCCCCCTCAAGTTCACCATGTCTCTCACTGCCTCTCAAAAAAAGAACAGAAAGGAGCGAAAACGCCGGGCCCGCCGCGTAAGAGAACCATCGACAAGCCCTGGAGTTAACTGAGCGTTACTAACATCTGGAATAGGCAGCCGAAGCTGCGGCGAAGGCACCCCCTCCTTCCCCAGAGGAGGTGAAGAAACTTTGGGAAAATGCCCACAAAGCTTACGAGAAAGGTAAGAAACTGCTGTCTCCCCTTCTCTATAAGAAGCAGTCCTCTCTCATGATCACACAGTCGAATATTCGTTTCTAACGCACAAAATAGGCCGCCGCAGCCAGCCAGCGCCAGTGTGCCGATCCCGGTAGTGGTGAAGCCACTGCTCCTGCTGGTGGTGACCTTGGTGGCCCTGATCGTGGCGGCGGTCAGGGTGCTGTCCAGGGTGCCACCGAACAGGCAGTGGCTGAGCCACTACCGGGCAGCCCCGTCGCTCCCGAAGCCCCCTCTCATGGGTCGAGTGACACCGGCCCCTGATACCTCTCTCTTGGCTCGGGTCAAAAGGAGACCCGAGCCTGTGATCCCTCTTCTCCGCCCTTGTAAGTCTCCATATGCACTGAATGGTAAACATGAAGCTAACTTTGTATGATACATCTAGGAACCAAGTTCTTCCTGCTGTTCTTTTCTATTTCTTTTTTAAAAATAAAAATGTTTAAACAACAGCTATCGGGTTAGGGGAATAATATGAATTCTTTACTTGTGAACCTTACCTATATATATTCGGTCCTTATTCTTCTATAGTAATATGTAGATACCTAGGTAGCGAAGGGTGTAGATGATATGTGTGTGCGAAGGGGCATAATGGCTAAAGGTCAAGTGTCTGATTGCGGAAAATTAAGCATACCTAAATTACTATAGCAGACTCTTAATAAGTAAGGTACAGTCCATAGGTGGGCCTCCGAAGTATTAGGCTAAACCTTTATACCTAGAAATACCGCCCTCTAAATTAAGATGTCTTTGATGTCGTTCTACATATCAACCAGGTATACTCCTACAGAGTAGCTAAAGTGGGGAAATAATCCAAAAAGGACATACAAAGAAGACATCGGGATGTCGCCTTAAATAAGGGGACCCTAATATATCTTGAGCCAAATAGATCAGATTACTAGTCCTACGTCGTCAAGGACAGAAGCCGGCTATTATTGTGTACATGTATGCGTCCATAAGTCATGAACTAAACCATCGTAATTTGTACTTTGTATCTCGAGGTACACATTGGGATATCTCCTTAAACCTGGAGACCTTGCATCTTTTTGGTGGCATCATCAGTGCCCTTGTTGGCCTTCCCCTTGGCCTTGCTGGATGTGGTATCCTTGGGGAGCTCCTTGGTGTAAGGGAGGAACTCAGGAGCACCGGGGATGTACTTCCGCAGGACCTCTGGGACCTCGATACCCTAAAATAGTAGTTAGCTACTGTCCGAATCACCAGTGAACCTTTGACACTTACATCTTCTTTCTGGTAGTTCTCAAGCACACAGCAGAGGGTACGCTCCGTCGCGCACAGAGTGGAGTTCAGTGCATGGACGTAAGTCTTCTTCAGATCGGTGGCCTTCTTCACGCCGTACCGGATCTCCAGAGCTCGGGCCTGGTAGTCGGTACAGTTGGAGCAAGAGACGAGCTCCTTGTACTCCTGCTGGAAGGGGAACCAGGCCTCCAAGTCGTACTTCTTGGATGCCGCATTGTTCAAGGCGCCGGAGACAATGGCAACAATGTTGTAAGGGAGTTTTAGGGACTGGTAGAATTCTTCTGAAGTGTTGATCATGTCCTCAAAGGCTTGCCATGAATCCTCGGGCTTTGTAAGAACAAACTGCTCAATCTGCATGGGGTTAGGACGTGAAATCCAGCGCATTTGGATCTATACTAACCTTTTCGAATTGGTGAACACGGAAGATGCCCCAGGCATCTTTTCCGTGAGATCCAGCCTCCTTGCGGTAACATGTGCTGTAACCGGCATACCTATTACTTTTATTAGCAAGAACGACTCAATCCTGGACAAGAGAGTCTCACTTGATGGGCAGGTCCTTATCCTGGAGCCACTCGCTGTCGTGCAAGGCAGACAATGGTTGCTCGGAGGTAGCAATGAGGTACTTGTCGGTCGACTTATCCTCGCTCTCGGTAACCTTATACAACTCCTCGTCGAATTGCTCGAGCTGTGCAGTCTTCGCCATGAGATCCTTGAGCATGAATTGAGGGGGCTGGTTAGGTGTGTAGCCCTTGTTGAAGAGGAACTCCAGACCATAGTTGATCAGAGCCAAGTTGAGGAAAAGACCGTAGCCAGTCAAGCAGTATCCACGGTGGCCAACAATCTTGACACCGCGCTCTGGGTCATATCCATCGAGACGAGTCAACACTTCGTGGTGGGAGAGGCAGCCTGGCTTCTGCATTTCGGCGCCCTCGGGGGTCCATGTCTTGATCAGCTTGTTGTCTGCCTGTAGCCAGAAATCCACCTGTTAGTCTCACAGCGCATTCGATTCCCAGGCTTAAAAGACCCATACCTCATCGTTGCTCACGGGCACAGATTCGTGGACGTAGTTTCCAATCGTGCGAATCTTCCGGTCGCGTTGAACCTCCTTGGCGACAGCAGCTTCCTCCAGCTCCTTCTTCTTTGCCTCGAGCTCTGCCTTTTGTGCGAGCAACTCGGTTGCGTCTTCCTTGTTCTGAGAATGGATAAGCATCTCTCCATGCAAGTAGATTGGCCTGGAAATGCCTACCTTTTTCTTCATACCAATTGCCTTCTGGACTCCATTGATCTGAGAACCCATCTGTGTGACATCGTATCGGGCTACGCCTGTCAGTAAGACTTCCCCAACCTGATAGGAAAAGGATCCGTACCGCGTCGTGCCTCTTCATAAAGCGCGACAACTTCATCAACGGCCTCCTCCGGAGCAAATCGCTTCTGCTGGCTTTCCTTGATCTTCTTGATATCACCACCGCGCTCGGTGACAAAGTCTGCAAGGTCCAGCATATTGGCGATTGGAGTTCAAAGGTTCTGGGGAATCCAAGAGGTAGAGGGGTGACTCAAATTGTGGAGGGGTAAAAACGAGGAAAATCAAAGTGCGTGGATACACGCACTTGGGCCACGAGGGTTCCATTACTTAATCGATAAGGCGGCTCCGGGTATACTTCCAAATAGGCTAAGTTTATGGCCACGGATATCTCTATAGATCAATCTGATTCAATACTTTGCATACTTATAGAAGCCTGTTTTAAATTGAGATTCATTACTCTATGCGTGGTACCGATCCATGTTCCCGAACTCGACCCTAAAACTCATTATTCATGCAATAAACCCAATGGTTCCACCAGAAAGACACAATAGAAATAGAGCCAAAAAGAAGACGGCCTCAAGAAGAAGCCATCAAGTGGGTGCTATCAAATTGGCGTTGATGATCTCTAAGTCAATAATCGAGTTAGCAGACAAGACATCTGTAGATCTGAATTGAGTGGACATCAAAAGAGCAAGGTGTAGTCTTGTCAGCTCCAACGAAAGAGATCCAGAGACCCAGAAGATGGCTTCGCTTACCATCCCCGGGAGAGAAACACGCGTTCCAGAAGAAGGCTCCCGTATTACATCAAAGCACACTTGTTGTTCCCAGTTGGTTGTGAGGGATTTTGAGACTTCTCAACCTCTCCTATCATGAGATCAAAGGCTTTCGAGACATTGAAATCAAGGAAGGCACTGGCCTCGGTGAAAGCGCAGTTGAGCTCCTCCGCTAATTGCCGTCCGTCATCGAGGGTGACTTGGCGGTGGTCGGGCTTGAGATCACTCTTGTTTCCTACTATAACAAGAGGTACATCATCCGCTCCCTACAGGAGAGATTAGAAGCTGGTTTTTGAGTACTAGTTATGGGAAGGGCAGTAACTGACGAGGTGGTTCAGGATCTTGTCACGAATCACCCGCACCATGTCAAATGACTGGCGCGATGTCACTGAATAGACTATGATATATCCATGAATTCCAATGAAGTGTTTGGAGTTCAAGATACTATATTCGTCCTGTAGAATGGTCTCAGCAACCAAGCGGTAATCTCGCACAGGAATCACATACCTGTCCCGCAGTGTCGACGATCTCGGTTGCATAGTCCTGCCCATTGTGCTTGATAATCCGACTGAATGTGTTCTCAATTGTAGGGTAATAGCTTTCCACGAAGTGGTGCTCGACGAAGCGAACCGTGAGAGATGATTTGCCTATTAAAAGATAAGTGTTAGATCTTCGCAATTATAACGATTTAGATTATGAACAAGGGGCTCTTTCTTACCCACGGACCGACTGCCAACGATTGCGATCTTTCTCTGCTTAGGTGCGGAAGGCATCTTGTGCAGTGCGGTAAGATTCAGCTAAACCACCAATGTGAATGATAGACAATAATGATGATATAGCCGGGTAGACGGTGTCTTTTGATTGATGGAACTGGATCAACGAGGTAATATTCAGAGACAAAATGGCACCTGTTCAGAAACAAGGTCGTCGGGGGGTGGCAAATCCCTCGAAGCATGCGGAGCTCCAACTCCTTGTAACCTGCAAACAATGCAAACGGCGGCTTCTCCAACTCCAGAGCTGAGCGTTCTAGAAATAATTGCCTATGTTGTACAACATTGTGTACGTTCTATGATTATCGATTTGTTAATTCTTTATAAAATGCAGTGTGTTACAGAAATTAATAAATCTCACTTTTTGAAAATTGAGGTCTGGTTTGACCTAAGGTGATTATTCTATGACGACCTTGATCAATATCTGTCCATGTGTATGTATGTGGAAGAACATTCTAGCGTAAATGGTTCAATTAAAATTGACGAGGAAAAGGGGTATCAAAAGCTGTCAACAGACCAAGAAATTCATGTCATCGAGTCTTAAAAAAAGGCCGGTAGGAAAGACAAAGCGCGCACTGATCTGCTGTCAAGCGACACATGTATAGCACGGGACGCCCATCATTGCTCTGCCAGTCGAATCCGAGTGATAAGTTCTTGTAGTCTGGACAGAAACCCACTCGCTGGTTGTCCCTGGGTTGGAGAAGTGGAGATTTCTTGTTCAATCTTCTGATGGTATTGCAGGAATTCATCAACGGTAGATATCACCGTTGTTAATCCGTTGGGAGCGAGTGAACTCTTGATTTTGGACCGAGTCTCAGGATCCAAACTGAGTGTTAGTAGAAGGACAGCCAAATATCCCACAGCAACATTGTGGTGTACTTCCAAGACCGAATGAGCCTAAGCAGATACATTAGTCCAATGCGTCGGCAAAAAGGAAACCAAAAAGACAAGATCTTACCGTGGAGATGGAATCAACATGAGTCATGAATAAGTGCAAGAGCTGATCAAGGAAAAGCTTTGAGGAATCAGCAGAGTGAAGAAAAATCGATCTTGATGCTTCACTCTGTTCAGTCAGATTGATAAGTGCACCGAGCGCCAATATCACGCTGTCCAGAGAACTATTCGCTTGTCCAAGCGCGTCTTCGGTCAAATCACCAAATTTTGCAGAGACAATGCGGACCAGTCCCCCGACCATCTCCGGCGTTGCGAATCTATCGCAGAGAGAGGGGTTGCTGTTGGTGACATTCAGGATAAGTCGAATGTAGAGGGGTTGTATTTGGCTCACAGTGCCTGACTCTAGACAGAGAAGGCTGTGAAGCTCAGAGAGCGGGTCTAGGATATCCCAATGCTCTTTCGTAAACGACTCAGCCAATGCAGTAGAAGATTCCAATATTGAAAAGCCCAGGCAAAGAATCTCAGAGCTCTCTGGGTGTATTTTTCCCAACGAAGCACAACGTTGGCCTTCTAACACGAGCGATTGAACCAACGGTTTCAGAAGAGACGTGGAGAGGCTAGGATTCCCGCCTTTGGTTTGCATTGTGGACATCGTTGACCTCAGGCAATACAACGCCAGGGTGCATGGGGATAGTTTGGACAATGCAGTATCAGGAAACAGCATAGCAGCTATCTGTGAAATAGTGTTCTGAAGTGTCTTTTGCAAGGGTCGAGAAAGCCCGCTGGCTTGAGCTCTTGCAGCCACTGGTATATCATCGTGCATGCCCAGTAAAGCAGGTGATGCCTCTAGAAGCTTAGGCCATGCGGAAGTTGCAAAGAACATAGGACATATGTCCATCCGATGATCCCAGTGCGTAGGCACAGAAAGCCAGAATGGTGGGAACCACCTGAAGGTCCATAGACAGACAATCCACAAGTCTTTTGTCAAAATTACATTCGACAAACCGCCTTTTGAGCCCAGTATCCAGAAGCTTGCCACACAGCTGGAGGAAGGCATTGCATCGACCCGTCAACGAGTTTTGCGGATCTTCGATATCCTCAAAGATAGCTTCGACGGCACCTCGGTAACGAGCGTTTCCTCCAGCTTGTCTGAGTTCATGAATACTTCGGACAGAGCCATCCTCGTTGGTATCCTCATTTGGCACAATTAAACGAGCGCTGGAAGTAGCCTCATAATTCAACTGACGTTGGATAGATTGAGAGCGGTGTTTCGGGCCCGAGGAAGCATTGTGCGTCGAAAGGTCCTCTGACATGATCAAGTCATCCAAAAAAGAACGCTGGCGTGCATAGGTGACACGGGAACCCCGTAAATGAGATGGAACTGACGCAGGAGAGCCTTGAATGTGGCTTTCGGCAGGACACTCATTCACAGCCGGACTTGGCGATGCTCGGTCAGGAGTGGTTGGATCCGGGGGTGGCTGGCTATCAGCGGGACTCTCTAGTGGTGTTTCAACCACTGGAGATGTTTCAACCGGGCTTTCCGTGATCCCGAGCGAGTCAATCAGTCTCCTTCGACCGGGGGTGACGTTCGCTTTCGTGGCATAGCCCTGGTTGATGTCCGGCGAGCTGTTTCGTATGGACTCTCCATCCCCGAGGCTCTCCGCGGTTGAAACCCCCATTTCATTCTCGAGAGTAGACACTTTAGTTTGGTTCTGCACAGACCTCCCAGGGCTTGAATATGATGTCGACGCCACGGAGCTTGTTCGCTGATCGGCTACTAGCTTTTTGGCCAATGGTCTCCGGCCATCGGAAACCCTCTTCCCCATCGGTGGTGACACGTTATGGACTCCATTCCCTATCTCGCTTGGCTTTGCTGATCGCTTAGTCGCAGGAACTGCCTTATTTCCATTGGGGCTAAATCGCCTTCGCTTTCTCTGGATCATGGACATCTGTTCATCGTCTGAAGAGGGAAAGTCATACACATTAGCCTCCGTGATGGGTTTTTGTTGTGTAACTCCTCGAGCTGTAGTTGTTTCCGCAGGTCCAGATAGTTGTTTATCTCCATTCTTGTCGCGCTGTAGCCTGGTGTAGACTGGTCGTGAGGGACGTGACGAGCTTGGCAAAGGCATCTCTTTAGGAGTTGTTCTAGTGGCAGATGAGCGCACAGGCTTCTCTGTATTCAACGGAGGTTGACTTTTGGCAGCAGAGCCATAGGTTACGAGTCGTCGATTCCGAGGGTGTGAGTTGTCCATCTTCGGTTCGCAAAGCAGGCAAAACCAGATGCGCGCGTGTTGTTTGATGGATCCGACTGAGAAATCTGGTTCCCAAAGGGCAAGAAAGGTATGCTGAAGAGCAATTGGATTAATGGATTGAGTAAAACGTGGTCGTTTCTTGAGACGAAGCCATGTCCTTGCGGCATTCAATGGAGCTTACACAGGCTCAAAGGGGTGTGGCGCAGTCATCAAAGAAGAGACCCTTAGGTGATTGGCAGTGAGGGGTGTAAATTACCAAGATTCCTTTGAGAAGGTGTAATGAAGTAATTAATTCAATTGACAGCATCCGAGGTATGATTTGGGAGATGATGCAAGTGATAAGAGGCGGAGGGGGGTGAGATGGGGCAGAATCACCCACTGCGGTATAGCTTCCAGATATAGAAAAAAAAGATAAGAGAAAAACCCTACATGCTTCCCCGCTTTTGGCTTTGAGACATCCAAAGGTCCCTTACTGTCCTTATATACCCCTCTCTAGACTCTTGCCCTTCAAAGGTACTTCGAACGACTCTCCTGGGTGAACTTCCGGCGCTTCCATATTCTAACATCTCTTTTTTTCTCTCTCTCTAGTCCTACGACCCACACACAGGCATATTTGGACGCAGCAAACCATGGCTAGCAAACCAGAGAGCGGTCCCTCTCCTGCCCAGGGCGTTGGTCCTCTGTATCGGCCTGATGGCGAGAAGCCCACTGCGACAGTTTCAAAGGAAGTGTCCTACGACAATGTCCACGTGCTACCTCAAACCCCCCAGTTGATTGCTCTCTTGACGTGAGGACCCATTCTCTGCATGGAAGGTCACCCTAGACTCATATTGTGTTTCACAAATAGGATGATCAGAGACAAGAGAACCAGCCGTGCTGATTTCATCTTCTATTCCAACCGCATCATTCGGTTGCTGGTGGAGGAAGGCCTGAACCACCTCCCCGTTGTTGAGCAGTCAATCACTACCCCCGTTGGACGGTCCTACCTTGGTGTCAAATTCGAAGGAAAGATCTGCGGTGTGTCTATCATGCGCGCAGGCGAGGCCATGGAACAAGGATTGCGCGACTGCTGCCGATCTGTTCGCATTGGAAAAATTCTCATCCAGCGGGACGAGGAGAGCTGCATGCCCAAACTGTTTTACGATAAGCTTCCTACTGACATTGCTGACCGATGGGTCCTTCTCCTCGATCCCATGTTTGCAACTGGTGAGTTGAACTTGTTCTACAATGCCTCTTAACAACCCAGCTGATTTTTTTCCCCAGGTGGTTCGGCAACTCTGGCAGTCGAGACACTGATCGAGAGAGGCGTTCCTGAACACAGGATCCTATTCCTCAACCTTATTGCCAGCCCGTCTGGTGTTGCTGAGTTTGCGGAGAGATTCCCTAAACTCCGGGTCGTGACCTCTTTCATTGATCAAGGATTGGATGAGAAGAAGTGAGAATATCGCACTCTTTGGATGTTGTGATTGCCATGCTGACTGATTGATAGGTATATTATCCCCGGCCTGGGAGATTTCGGCGACAGATATTACTCTATGTAAAAGCGCTGTTTCTTACCACGTTGAAAGGAGCATCAGTGGTTTTAAAGGTCACTGGAAAATCTGAGTAATTCAGTATTCCATTATCCATCCATTGCTTGATCTGTTCCAGATGCCATAAGGCACTTCCACTTCCCATACAAGTCACCTCTTCAGAGTTGGCTTGATGGCCGGTAGTGGGATAAAGGTCTAGATGGGTGAGACACTCCCAAGGTTCTTGGGGTTTAGGATATATGATAAGCATATGCAACGAGAATATCAAATACCATGTACATACAAGAATCTCACAACTCAATTTATTTTGATATCGTGCCTTAATGCGCCGTTCGCCGTCATCCCATGATCAGTAGTCATCATCATAGCCATCGTCCTGCCCAGTCTCTTCTGGAATAGCCTGCTTGCTGATCCCTCTTTGTCCTGACTGACTTGGATTCGGTGCGTCATACTGGTTGGCAGTGTCCTTTGCGACTGCGTCACATGCATCTACCCAATCCGAGTATACATCCACGGGGGCAGAGAGATCTTTGTGGAGAATTGAGTTAGTTAGAGCAGTTAGGACCGACGCCTTGGGGTGATTATCATCTCACAGTTGATACCAGTTTGGAACTTTTGGCCACAAACTTTGCAGGATAGGTCGCCTAGGCCGAGCTTCTTGTCTAACTTGACGACCACAGAGTTCTCATGGTTGCAAAAGAGACAGGAAAATGTGGTAGCAAGAGGCTCCCTCTATGTTTCACAATCAGTGCTGAGTGCAAAACTTGGCGACTTGTGATTCATTTACCTTTCGGGGCCCTTGGGGCTTCGAGCTCGACTTCTTGCGCTTGCCCTGTAGAAATAATAATCAGCGTCTACCCATGGTTGGGGTGGTCGGGACGGTCGGGTAGGGGGAAGTGATAGCACATACCATGCTTGAATTGACCTGCGACACAGGAATTGGAATAAAGAAGGATGAGAGCAAAGGTAAAGCAATGAGGAGTGTTGACTCGTAGACCGCGGCATGGATGCCAAGGCGACTTGCTTAATTGGGATCGGAACAATAATCATCCAAATTCCGACATGTGATGTCAGTTGGTGGCGATTCCCACAAAGCGATCTACATACACTACTCCGTACAATACTCTACTCCGTTGTATGGAAAGGCCTATGCTGGACTACCTGAAGCATTGGACGGTTCATCGCAGATTATCGAGGAAAAAGTATTGATTTTGACAAATCCTGTAAAACTAATCTGATACATTAGCATACAGAAGTACACATGTGCTGTGTACAACATTTAAAAGGAACAGCTTTGGCGCCAATGGCGTAGGCCCTATTGTAACGACCAGATATCTACTCCGTACTCCGTACCACATTCTATTTAATACAACACAAAATAGTACGGGGTAACCCGACAGCCCTAGAGTGCCCACCTGGGCAGCCCTGGAGTCTCCAGGGCTGTATGGTGATGACATAAGGCGATGAGATAATGATCAGACCGCCCGGGTGGACCTTTTTTTAATGTTCGATCACATGACCACATTGGATGACATAATCAGCTAGGGCCCGCGCTCGCTTAGCCGAGTTTTCTGTGGGTTTTCAACCCTCCCAGTCGAGTGTCGAAACCCTCTGAGCGCGCGGTGCGATACCTTTGTCTGTCTTCCAACAACACACAGATAACTCGCAATCATGGCTGTTGGAAAGTAAGCGCCCTATTCTTCATCCTTTTCCTGCTTTCAATTTATCGAATTAATTGCGCATACACGACATCCATTGAATTCACGAACACACGGCTAATACTCATCGTTCAGGAACAAGCGCCTATCTAAGGGTAAGAAGGGTATCAAGAAGCGCACAGTCGACCCCTTCACTCGCAAGGACGAGTACTCTGTGAAGGTATGTTCTATTCCTTTCATTGTCCCATGTGCAATGCTAATCGTCTCGACAGGCTCCCTCCACCTTCCAGACCCGCGAGTATGCACACCACCCGAATCGAATATGGCGAATTTTGAGTTGGATTGGCTAACGGAATTATCAGTGTCGGCAAGACTCTGGTCAACCGCACCAGCGGTCTGAAGAACGCCAACGACTCCCTCAAGGGCCGTATCTTCGAGGTCTCCCTCGCCGACCTCCAGAACGATGAGGACCACGCCTTCCGCAAGGTCAAGCTCCGCGTCGACGAGATCCAGGGCAAGAACTGCCTGACCAACTTCCACGGTCTCGACTTCACCACCGACAAGCTCCGTTCCCTTGTCCGCAAGTGGCAGTCCCTGATTGAGGCCAACATCACCGTGAAGACCACTGACGACTACCTCCTCCGCCTGTTCGCCATTGCCTTCACCAAGAGACGCCCCAACCAGATCAAGAAGACCACCTACGCCCGCTCGTCTCAGATCCGTGCCATCCGCAAGAAGATGACCGAGATCATCCAGCGCGAGGCTTCCACCTGCACCCTGTCTCAGCTCACCCACAAGCTCATCCCCGAGGTTATTGGACGTGAGATCGAGAAGTCCACCCAGGGCATCTACCCCTGCAGAATGTTCGTTTTTCACCCCAAGACTGAAGACTTGGATATATATTCGGATTTTCTAACACACATGTCTACAGGTCCACATTCGCAAGGTTAAGCTCCTCAAGTCGCCCAAGTTCGACCTCGGTGCTCTCCTCGCTCTGCACGGAGAGTCCGCGACTGATGACAAGGGACAGAAGGTTGAGCGGGAGTTCAAGGAGACCGTCCTCGAGAGTGTTTAAAGGTTATGTCAATGAAGTGGTGTCACGTACTGGTCAGCCGGGGCAAATTGTCTTCTGGTCATAGGAAAAGAAAAAAGTTCAAACGTGTATGACAGATTTGAACTGGCGTTTGGCTACGCGTTGCCAGTCCAGACATGATCCCAAAAATTCAAGGGTAGTAGTTCATTCATGTTCAATTTTCTCCAGTCTGCTACCGTGTAGTAAGGTGCAAGGTGAATACGTACATATAGTCCCACATCTGCTTGTTTGAGAGCGTGATGCTTGGTCCAACTAGATGCCGTTATTACCAGCTTCGTTCATCTACCTCATTCGCCCCCCATAATACACAGTTACTCGATTCATCTTCCGTGTGTCTAGTGCCAAATGTGGAGAGCGACGACGGGCCAGTTCTAACCATGTCATCGGTCTAATCTTGATCTTTCAAGTAAAGGAAAGATCACCGTTGTAGTTCTATGTGCTATGTTCCAAAGCTATGACAGAGATAAGATACGTTACATACAACAGCACTTCCATCTATCCCTGGAGGATCATTCAAGGTCTTAAGCCCAAAGAATAAGGGGGAAATGCATTAAAGTGGATGTAGTTTTGAAGCTATTCATTGGTGGCCTTAGACCACATTCATTGCATATAAATAGGTTTGATAGGATGAGTGCCTCCTAGCTTGCTCCGCTCTCTCACTTCTCAGCCGTGAAATTCCCCGCTAGACTCGAAGGGATTTAGTCCCGGGAGGTGCTAATTGAGGTCATTCCGGGGCAATTAGATACAATCCTGAAATAGTTACTGGCCTCTAGAGCGATAGTCAGTCTTTCATGCCTAATAATTGTTGCTGGGTGCAACTACTTGTGCAGCAGTGATAGTTGTGTTTTGCGTACCAAGTATAAGTTGAGCATGTCATGTAGTATATTTGAGGATATCTCTCAAGCTTCGGCATCCTTCCGAATGATGAATCCCTCCATCGGCCACGGATTTCATATGGCACTGGGGAAAGACAAAGATATGACTCTGATATATTCAAATTAGCATAGCATCATTCAGTGCTGGGGAAGCTTTTACTTATAATACTTATATCACGCATAATAAAGCGTCATCCGTACAAAATATATAACCTTTAAATTCTAGCGGACGGAAGTATCACAATTAAGGGATACAGAGTCAAGTAGGTTCTACATAGTAGGCTACACAAACAACTGTTTATTACTGGACTTATTACCTAATAGTTCTTTCATACTCTGTCGAATTGACATGCTAGATACTCTCATATTGGTTTCACAATCCCTCGAGGCAATTCCTCTTGAGTATTAACAATTCGCAATGAAAGCAAAGAAAGAAACACCTGGCTCTTCTATTTTCATTAAATACTACCTAGATAGATGTTTATATATGTAATGCTATAAAAGGAAATAAGGTTGGTGGAGCCCCCTTTAGGCCAAACCCCCGCACTCTCTAGGTATGAGGTCACGAGTCCTACCCCCTCTTGGATTGCATGATACCTTCTCCTGTCTCGTTTTGTTTTTCCTCTTTTCATCTCTTTCTGGAACACAATTCCTCATCTTCCATCACATCAAACATCCCACATTGACAGTAAGCATTCATCCCATGTTTATATACTTCTATTCCTTGGCATCAAGCTGTATACACTTGCTATCTCAATCCACCGATGGCCATCCTATTAACGTGAAATCCAACTCTTAGTGACTCGCTCGCACAAATCCAACGACCGTGAACACCAGGCCGAGGGCATCATGGGTACCCGTGAAAATATACCACGCTACTTTGCGAAGTCCGGTCCAACTGACGCTGATCCTCGCAAGACAAAGAAGGACGGGGGTGGCAAAGGCAATTGGTAATCACTGCACATCAGAATCATGTGTGTTCATCTGATTAATACTTGAATTGCTATAGGGGTCGGTCCGGCGAGGAAATGCAGGACACTGACTACTCGTTCGCCAATGCTAGGCGTCGGTCCAACAGTAGCACCCAGGGCCTGGCCGACTTCAACACCAAGTTTGAGGCTTTTGAACCCGAGCCTGTGTTCGAGGAAGAGGCCTTTGGTGGCGCAGACAATACCGCCGGAAATGATAATACCGTGACCAAGGTCGAGAGTGCCAGTAGCAACGGTAGTCAGGCTGATCATGATGGAAGAAAGTATTAGGGAGTCTCGGCTACCGCTGTGGCGACTTGATCCTCCTCCAATCACTGGATGTCAAGTAAGTCGGAAGATGAACAAGACAACAAATGCCAGGGGTCATGACTCGGCCGGGGAACCAATATTTATTGTATGAGAGTATGAGAAAACAACCTAAATCAAAGCATTTCATTTTTCACATCGCAAGAATCAGGTTCTCTGATCAAGCACAACGTAGCTTGGGGTTTACTGAAGACCTGAATAATAGAAATATCTCTTGAGATTTCATACATACAACATATTATGACCCATTGGTCACTGGATAACCGAGAAACAGTATTGAAAACGCCGCCATTTCATCCGCAACTCACATCAATTGTAGAGAAAATTCAATCATTTGCTCCACCTTCACCGTCAATCATAGGCGGTCTATTCGGGGGTGATATGTGGACCTCAGCGGTTTCCCGGAGGTTTTGGAACCAGAAATCAAGCTTCCCAACTTCAATGCACTGGCGCAAAATATCATTTTCGGTCTGAAGATCGGACGCCACACGAGATTTTTGCTCAGGGCGGAACCGTGACACGAGAATATCGGAATCGGAATCGGTCATCAGAGCCTCCGCGGGTGAGAGAGGTGTGTAAAGAGAGTGCAGACCAGCATTTCGAGGTTCTAGACATAGTACGCTGGTTAGCTCAATAGTCCAAGTGCTTATGTTGGGAACAAACTCACCTTCCAAGCATGCAGTTAGTGATCGGTAGAGCGCGGTGTCAGCGACCAAGTTGGATGCATTGCCGTTGGGTCCCTCAGCAGCTTTTCCTCGAGCCACCCAATCATCTTTGATCAAGCACCGTCGCCAGATCAATCTCCGTAAAGCCGTGAGATAGGACGGGTCTTGCTGGCCATAGCGTCCATAGTCAAGAACCTGCAATGCAAGATGGAACTCGCTTCGCACGAGCTCGCTCTCGGTATTATCTGCGAGCTGAGCAGGGCCCATCAACGTCAAGATATCAATCAGGCCATCGGCACCGACAACCTGCCTCTCGATCAAGGTAGAGAGAGCGTCGCTCAAGATTTCATGAAGCGATGGCCGATCTTCGAGGATATGTGCTCCATACTGATCGAGAACTAGCTCGAGTTCTGCCTTTCGGTCAATGGCGCCCTGCAGGATAGGCTCCATGTGGAAATAGAGGATGTCTTGGATTCCATCGACCTCAACATAATCATCAAGACGCTTCACATCCTCTTGCAAGGTAGAAGTCACAACGGGAGAATCCATTCGCTCCTGCGTCGCTAGTTTGCCTAGCTTGGCTAGCGAGATCTCTACACGGTGGCTCCACAAATCTTTCTCACTGCCAATCGCTAGATCCTCTAATGAGGTTGCGGCAGTGTCATAGTCGTCTTCACCGATGACATCGTTAATCCAGCTAAGGCGAGAATATGCGGGGTTGCTTCGAAGGAATCGAGTGACGGCAGATTGGTATTTTCGCATCGTAAACAGCGTGCCTGGGTAACCCATCGCGATTTGCCGGGAAAAGTATGCATCCGCCCATATGTCACCAAACTTGTCGAAATACTTGGCGATCAATTGGTCGGCATCGATATCAGTTTGATTTGTGGAAACACCACTCGGGGGTTGCGGATGTTGAGTTGCCTTTTGGTCTTGAAGCTCGATGATCAACTCGACCAACGCTCCCATGTCTCGGAAGCTTTCTGCTAACTCGACAGCATCGGCAAGATGGTCGATACCAGCCAGCTTGAAGAGTTGCCATTTGCGGTCTTCGACATGGGCCTGCTCAATCGAGACACTCTCATCCATTAGTTTGGGATCTCCTTGCGCAGAAAGCCATCGAGTCCGTTCGAGATGCATCTGACCGATCACGCGAAGGTGTCGATAGCTGTTTTTCGCAACTTGATTCAAAACATGCGTGTCAGGGGCATCTGCAGCGGATGCGGGTGTTTTCCATGACCGGCAACTATCCAGTTCCAAGTCGAGTAAATGCCCTGCTTCAGAGTAACCAACACCTCTCGATGTCCAGAACTCGGGAAGATCCTCATATCCATCGGAAAGCACACCATCCTCCAGGAAGTCTCCACGAAGACCATAAAGCGCAACGTGCTCATCACGATACCGGAAAGCAGTTTCCGTTACCGCCAGAAACAGCTCACTGGCCGCCAGAATCTTCTCTGACAATGCACGGGCAGGGTTGGAAGTGTTGCTTCGGCCGAGCTTGATTGCGTTCTTGATCCATGGGATGATATGCTCCATGCGGTAAGAGTCTCTCAGGAACCATTGACGCACCGGATCGGTTTCTCCTTGTTGGGGGTTGATTGGAGTCTTGAATTTATCATGCATGGATCCAATGACATGACTGAGGAAAGGCTCCTCTTCTCCATTTCTGATCTTACAGGCCTCTTGAACCTTCCACATAGCTCTTTGTGCTGCGATTTTCTCCGCAGCCCACAGCAACTCCCACCTTGCCGGTCGACTCAAAGGATTGCCTTGACGTGATAGTAACGAGGCAAGATCGTCCAGTGCCTTTGCTCTCAAGCGGAGATTTTGTTCTAGTGAAATAGCAGTGGTGGGAATGAAGCGAGTCTCTGACTGGAGTAGCTCCCTGCAGATTTCCAAAGATGCTTGCTCCATTTCTGATGGAGGGAAGTTCAAGTCTCCTTCGCTGGATAAGTTCAACGGATTCTTTGCCATGGTCCCAAAGAAAACCGCCTGCTCAAGCTTGTGCTTTGCTGTAACTTGAGGCTCGTCGACATCTTGTTCGGTGCCAGGACGAGGGAGTACCGTCACACGAATTACACCGAAATTCCGAAGCATAAGCACACACGCTGCGCAAGGCGAATCGTTCGATTGGTCCTCTGACATGGATCCCAGGATTTCGTGGTCTGTACCAGAGCGCAAGTGAATCGTATCTTGGAAAGGCAGAGGCAACTTGTTGGAATCGAGAAGCAGTTGTGAGGATGGACTCTCTTCGACACTTGTCAACGACAGGATAACAAGAGACTGGCCAATAAGGATGAAAGCCGTTTCTTCTGGCTTCGGCACAAATATCTTGGGTTTCGAAGTTTCGAGCTGAGAGGCAGGAATATGGCGAAGATCCACGGCATGCGTTGACATAACACGAGGTTCATTGCCAGACAGATGAACTTGAGCCACGAATAGCGCCCTTGTTTCTAACCACTGCGGTGACCTGACAACCAGAAAGAGGCGCCAGGACCCATCGGAAAGTTGAACAGCATCGTCGGAAGACTGCAGGGTAGAGAACGCAAAGTCCGCGACTTTGAGCTCCGTATCGTTTGTCGGTTGCGCGTGATATTCGGGGAGGGTCACCAGGATTTCTTCCTTGAGGTCATATCGTTTTTTGAGGGTGTTTCCGTGGTTCCAATGCGTGTCCCATATCTCAACCAATCCGGTCGAAGTTGCAATAATGACATCTCGCTGGCCGCGTTGGTGAGAACCACCGGCCCGAACGGCAGTGACCTCTTTTCTCCATGACCCGCCTGCAAAGACATTCTTGAGACCCCCGAAAATTCCACCGCCTCCAGTCCCTGCGGTGCTTCTGAGGAAATTAACGAGCACGGAAGGTTTTCCTTGGGGGTCTCGCAGGGTGATGTGTGCTACTCGTCCGGACGAGAACGTAACGATGATGCCCGAAGGCTCCCCATTGAGTATATCCGTGGCATACTCGCCGGAAAGCATGCCAGGGGTGGATCCTTGGATGCCATTCTGCTTTTGTCGGGATAAACCCAGTGACGCGGCACTGGACACAGTCTCCCAGTAAACGACTTTTCCTGTAGAAGGGATAATCACCAAGAGACCGGGGTGGTCACCTGCGGCCGTGGATAATAGGACTCCGAGCGGGACGGCACCCTTGGGATCTCTGCAAGACTCCGGAATCGATACCGTGAACGTCTCCGACGGAGACGGGGATGAGGCGGGCGCAGAATATGGCCACACGATGGCATGCGAGCGGGTCAAAGCTAATGCGTGGTCATGACCAGGTCCGAAAAAGCACTTGAGGGGTTCTGCGATCAGAGGGTGAGTGTCAACAAATCGCAAACCAAGGCGAGAAAAAGCTATAGAATTTCAGGTACCTGATTGTAAGCCGCGAATTTGATCTGGCAAGGACGGCAGTTGATCCACTGTGTAAAAATCGGTGCTTGACTTTGAACCCAGCAAGTTAGCAGTTTGGACTTGAGAGTCTGAAGGAGTGCGCAAAGATGTGAAGTAACCCACCAGAACGATTGTCCCCTCGTTATTGTTTCCAGACACATCGCCTTGTTTCACAACACGGGTCGATAGATGCAACTCGCTCATTTGATCCGTAGGGGCAATGTCGCCGTTTGGCGTAGTGGGTGTTGCTAATTTTGCGAGCTCACGTCCCAGGTTGGTATCGGAAGGGGATTCATCTGGGCGTCGCAGGACAGAGCGCTGTCTCTTGGCCTTTGGTGGTTTGACAGAGTCATCTGAGCTCGTTCGCTGGCGTCGACGAGTATTGCGACCACCGGCTTTAGGGACGAACATTTTCAGTATGTACGCAACCTGTAGTCGCGGACACACGCTAGCCGACGAAAGCTTCGAAAATTGTTGACCCTTGGGGGTCGGATTCACTCTTCAAGGTTGATGCAAGGTTGGAGAGGAGAGAATGAGAAAAAGAAAGAGAGAAGAGAGCTCTCCCAAGAAAATGGGTTCGAATTGGAGCACAGTGATAGCAGCGATAGGGTTGGTCAATAACAATCGAGGATGTTTGTCCGAAGGCGGTGAGACAATAACCATATTGTACAGGAACATGAATGTGTAAGTTACATGTACTGCATACACCATCTATGTACATTGTACATAGAGAGTATTCTAGATTTGTATCTCATAGGCAAACAACAGTTAAGTTGACTTCAGAATATATGATTTGAGCCTATTCTACTCATTGAAATGCGGGGCTCTACATACTTGGCTATGTAATCATTGGTATAGAGCAAATACCAATAGGATACATACAATAGTACATATTCAGCTATATTGTGTGAGGTTAAAGTATGTAGGTGAGCACAAGTATATTATTGATTGTTCTCAGAATACGAACAGAATGGTATAGCATATAATGACTGTTTACGCTCTATTGGGGTCTAGTCTAGGTGTACATAACAATTGACGGGGAAATCTTTTTGTACCCGATTACCCCGAAAAAAGGAGCTCACGTGAATCCCACATCCAACCCCACACGGCCCCAGGGAGGTCACTACTCCCTTAATAAACACCAGCATGGACTGAAGAACAACATTCACTCCATGGGATAGCGAATCTCACCCTCGCGACACGGATAGCCACAATGCTCATATGTTGTGTTGATACGGTCAAGATCAAGGCCCCCAAGGGTTGCTTAGGGCTGCAACTATAGAGAAGATGCTCTCACGCTTACGCCCCAGAGGTCACCTCCGACAAAGATCCATTGTGCATGTCACATCGCAAGTTCTGGCTACAAGTTCAAGGCCGACAAATCCTAATCTCCTGCCCTTCAGACGAGACCTGCACACAGCCCTCTTTTTCCCAGGTTTGTATCGCCCCCCCCCCTTTTACCTCTGGACCTCAAATGGCCGCTAATACACACGATAGGACATGGAGTCCAAAGGGTTGGCATGGCCAACAGCTGGATTGAGAGCTTTCCCAATACGGCGGCTAAGGTTTTGGACGAGATGGATAGCACCCTCGGGTTCAAACTATCCAGCATTATATCCGATGGCCCCAACTCCAAGCTCAACAAAACGGAAAATTCACAGCCTGCAGTTATGGCAATCTCAGTTCTGATACTCCGTATCCTGGAGCAGGAGTTCGGATTCAACACTAAATCTCGAGTCGATGTTACGCTTGGGCATAGCCTCGGGGAGTTCTCCGCATTGGTTGCTGGGGCTATCTTGAATTCGGGGACGCTTTGAAATTAGTTCGTGGTCGCGCTGAAATGATGGCCCGGTGTACACGCCAGTTGAGCGAGCAATCTGGTGAAACATATGGCATGGTTGCACTTCTCTGTGAACCGGAGCACCTGGAAGGTTTGCTTCGAACGGTTCAGGAATTTGTTGGCCTCGAATCACCGGGTATTGAAATCGACAGGGATAATCGTGTCCCATTAATTCAACAAGTGGTGGTCGCAAACATCAACTCGAAAAATCAAATCGTGCTAAGCGGTAGTCTTGACCGAATCAAAATCCTTCTGGTCCAAATGCGTCAATTTGGAGGTCACGACCCGCGGGCTGTCAGACTGAAAAGTGACAGCCCGTTCCATAGCCCTGCTATGGCGCTAGCTGCTGATTATATGAGAGATGCCGTCGAGAACATCAACATCACATTCCCGGCATCAATCCCATGCATATCAAATGTTTCTGCCTTACCCTTCCAGTCCAAGGAAGACATCAAGGATCTCCTTTCAAGACAATGCATTGAGACAGTGAGATGGTGGGACAGCATTCGCTATCTTCATCAGGAACGAGGCGTGAGGCGGTGGATCGGAATTGGGCCAGGAAAGGTCGGCAGGAATTTGGTTGGCAAAGAGGTCGGAAGAGTCAACACCAAAGGAGGTGGTGTATGGGCTGTTTGCGACCCTCGTGAAATGTCAGAGATCATGGTTGCCTTGGAGCAGACTGAAGTCGAAACTGGAGACCCCCAGCCCGAATTAGCAGGATGACCAAATGATCATCTTCTTGCTGTCTGTTCTATTCTATTCAGCTCATGACTTATGCTCCATACGAAATAGGTATCCAAAGTAGCCTAGTGACTAAAGAAATAATATGGCTATTATCCGAACGTTTGGTGAGATTGTTGCTGTCTAATACGAATGTAAGTTGGGGAAACTGGTTGACCTAGGTTTTATATGTATCAGGTTGGTACTCTCCCTACAGAGAAGAACCTGGAACCCACGAATCCCCGATACGTTTCACATCCGCAATGAACTTTTTGTTAGAGATTGGCTGGCAAGCGGACAAAGAAGACGCTGTATTCCCGGGAATGGGTACATGGTCATCGGGGGAATAGAATGGATTCTGCAAAAGCTGGATATATGCACTCTGTAATGCGCGGAATGCCTGTATGAAATAATTAGGGGATGGGTACTTTTCGGTGGAAAAGCATTCGCCAGGCATGGAGGGAAAACACACAGGCTTAACATCAGAATCTCTCAAGCCATTGATCGCAGCGCCTGCTTGCTTTCCAGCACTGGCCTCTTCCTGGCCGAATAAATCCACAATGATCAACAGTTTTACTCCCGTGGTCGTCAACCATCCATAGGCTGCAAGTCGTTCGTCAATTGCATGTAAGAGGCCTAGATCCTGATCAATGGATGTTTGTTTGCACCGGATGTCGAAAATGTCGAGGCAGGAGTTCAGTAAGAAGGAAAATTCGATAGTGGAATCTGAATACGGGGGAAACAGGGAAATATGAAGAGGGTTATCCTGCAATCGAGTTAGCATGGACAGTTCCAGAGGGACAAGATGGTAGAGATGCGTACTGCTTTCCCAATCACGCCAATGCAGGCAATTCTGGGACCCGCCATTTCCGTAATAGCTCTTGAGGTAGCAATGTACGCGGACTGGGCGCAACCACTTGGGCTCTTTGGAGTTTAGGACTGATTCCCTTGTCTGGACACTGTGATCGGATGGAAGTTCTAGTCTGGGTAGGTATTATCTCTGCATGTCATGTCCACAATGCCCTGGAGTTGAGTAATCCTTTCAAGGGACGGGTACTTTGCAAAAGTGTAGACAGTAGCGGAGTGGTTGTCTCAATCCCCCGCGGCAATGGGGGAGACGCGTTCAGGCATGAAGGCAGCAAAAGGAGCTCACTATGTAACTGAGAGCCAATGACCACACAGGCAATTCGATTTACGAGCATCTCACCGCCTTTACCATACCGGTTTCCATCACTGAAAAATACAGCCACTGAACCAATGAACTTGGAGGTAATAGCTTACATCATCCCTCCCAAACGGTCGGTATACATCATCTTCTTCCACTCTGGAATCGGAACCTTTTTGGGGTTCTCCTTGTCTTGCAGTTACCCGGAGCCCGCCACCTGTGCCCTCTTGTAATTCTATATTACCTGTCGTCACTGGCCGAGGCTGCAATTACCTTGTCTTTTTATCCTCCAGATCACGACCTTTCATTCTAGTAACTCCACCGAAGAGACTTTTCTCAAGATGTTTCCGATGGCGAAGCCCGCCATCTCTGGCGCTCTGTCCGGTAGGGATCTTCTTCGTCTCATCGACAATGTCAATTCACTAACAAAAAATCAGCTGCGCGACCCCGTTTCGTCGCCTCTCTCCCGCGTGCCCAACCCTTGGCGGCGCTCTCGACCTCGTCAATCAAATCAGCGACAGCGCTCGAACGTCAACCATCAGCGAGCGCCCAGCAATTGACCGCGTCAGGCAAGGCTCGCCGAGAGGTGCCTTTGCCTAGTCAGGAGAAGAAGGAGGGTGCTATGCAATATGCCTTGTTCGTTTGCTCCCAACGGCTTTAATCTTATGCGCCTCGAACTCCCGCTGACCTTACATTTCTCAGGACCACCCTCGATCAGATTGCCAATTGGGCTCGTCAAAGCTCTTTGTGGCCCATGACTTTCGGTCTTGCATGCTGCGCCGTGGAGATGATGCACCTTTCTACCCCCCGTTACGATCAGGATCGTCTTGGAATCATTTTCCGTGCTTCTCCGCGTCAGTCCGATGTTATGATTGTGGCCGGTACATTGACGAACAAGATGGCACCTGCTCTGCGTCAGGTTTATGATCAAATGCCCGACCCCCGGTGGGTTATCAGCATGGGCAGTTGTGCCAACGGTGGTGGCTACTACCACTACAGTTACTCGGTCGTGCGGGGCTGTGACCGGGTTGTGCCGGTCGATATCTACGTGCCTGGATGTAAGCATTTCTTCCTCCCTCGCGCTTGCGCTGTTGCAATTGACTAATAAAATCAAAGGCCCACCTACTTCTGAGGCACTGATGTACGGTATCTTCCAGCTGCAGAAGAAGATGAGACACACCAGAATCACACGCATGTGGTACCGCCGTTAGTCTCCGAAACACATGATATGGTGGACTATTTTTTTTGCCTCTTCAGTCATAGTGCATGGTAAACTTAAGTGACTCAACTTGACCGCCGTGGAGTTTTTATGTGTCTTTTTACTTTGTATATCAATATCAAGCTTCAGGGTCTGATATTTTGTTTCACCCTCACTTTGATTGGTCTGTTCACTTTTTTTTTTGCCTGTCAGAATATCCATTCAAAAGAATTCAAATAAATGTCTCATATACTGGCTTTAATAAACTTACGTATGTCGCTCTGTGTATAGAGCGAATTTTTTGGCGGCGGTCACGATTTTCCCGAAGCATGGGCCTTCGCCGCAGAAATTCCTTCATCGACCGCATGGATGATGTTCTGGATAGCGGCCGTCACGATCCGGCTTCCTCCTGCTGCTCCCATGATAAAGAATAGCCTCCCATCCGGGTGGGTCATGACAGTGGCCGCTTCCCAGGTCAGATGTAATTGGATGGCGAGGGAATATCTCCAAGGCGTTGGAAGATCCAGGGATGGAGAAGTCTAGGAAGGGAGCATTGATTAGAGGACTACCATTCATCTCATTATTCAGTATTACCTTTGATACTGGAATCGTCAACTGGCTTCCAAAGAGCAAATTGATCATAATAGTGATGGAGATAGCCAATCTTCGATGAGCAGCTGCAGCTATGTGGGATGTTCGAGGACTTAGCCGTATCACCAGTCCTTTCAATAAGTGAGCTTATGATTGTTACTTATAGAGGCTCCCGACCCCTTCTGGATCATATACAAACACGTTCAGAGTGTGGAAATTCGAGATCTCCCTGCGAATTGATAGTGGACTACTTCAACGGCATCGGTTCATCCCTTCAACCACCAAAGGACCGTCCAGATTAGCTCGCGTTTAAAAAATCTACCAAGAGGATTAGAATACAGACATATGTCATCTCCATAACCAACAGAATTGCTCCATCCGTCGTTTGGATGCTAAGATGCACGGGGGGACGAGGAAGTTTTCGTAATTGTTTGATATCATTTGAACACCCCTAGAGGAAATTGAAATTCCACTCAATGGAGCCGTTGTACTGGTAACCTTAAAACTGGAGTATTCAATGTGGAATTCCGGATAGCCACTAAACAACTTCTCAAGTCATCTTGCAGCCTGAATGGTATTGATTATACTCTCTGCAACGGGTTTGGTGTAGAAAGCATCTGGCTTTTGGTCAGCAATAGCGTCAAGCATGTCTAGGTAACGCTTTATGGACATAGTATCCCCAAGATCGAGCTGGGTTCCATTAGGAACATAGTCTAGTGCCCATGTTGGGTTCTTGGACAGGAAACCTTCACAGTTTCCAACGGCCGATTCCATAATGCGAACCATCCCCTCTGTTTATAGGAAACTCTCCATGGGCAGTGTTGATGGTGACGGAACAGTCGACCACGGAAGAATGTCGTAAGCTTTGTGGAGCTATCCCAATCCACAAATATTTCCAGGGATGTCACTTGAAGATACATTTGCTTTTGTTGGGTAGAACAGGAAATCTATGTCAACTTCGTACTTGCTAAGCCGCCGTTGATTGATGCATTCATACTGTCGTTGTACACGTCCGCGGCAGCTGGGGCTGAATTGCGGAAATCGATGAACTTAACGTTCCATTGAGTGCTCGAACTATCATGAACCAAACTCTCCGATGCCGCAATGGCACATGGCTGCTTATCATCAGCTGGGTGTGGCTAGAGTCTTACTTCCATACACCAACAAAGAGAAAGAATAGATGGGGAAATGGACGGAAAAGAAGAGGTAGTAAGAGCGAGATATATCACCGTCGCATTCTTACCTATATATACAGTTAACAGGCTTCTACTCTGACTAACATTGACAAACTAGTGTATCTCTACAACACTTTGAATATGACATAGTAAAATGACTCAGAAGTAGGTGCCCCGGTCTCGAACTGAAACAGAATTATTTAACCTGTTGAGATTCTTAAGATGTCTGAGATAGTACACCCCAAATTAGGAAGTTAGGGAGTAATAGCCCTAGCCCTAAGAAACTTGATAATAGACTACAAATAGCTTTACGTTTAAAAGCTAGCTGCTCGAAATGAAAAGCTTAATTTTGATACTAACCACCCTACTAAACAATACCAATATCTATATATCGGTCCAATGGTCAATATTCCTTTATCAGTGGTCTCGCTATCATGTCTCACAGGCTTATCTTTAATGTGGGTATTTGCCTAGAACATTGGAAGATAAAACGCATATTACTAATCTTATAAGCCACCTGGAATCTACCTAGGTACCTACATAGGTAGGTAATTCCCGTGGATATGACAATATAATCTGGAACCGAAGACGGGAAGTGAGGTTAGCGTCCTTTTAGATAGGCTTCGGCAAACCTTCTCCACAAGAATTAGTAATAGATATCACCAAGCTCCCGTGACTATGATAAGGAGGTCTTGGCCGGGCATAAGCCCCGAGAAGGTGGATTTGGAGTCTGGGGTTTTAATTCGCATAATATCCACATTTCCAGAAAGGCGGCTAAGAGTCTCCATAGTATATTATTTGAGCGGGAATTGCCAATACAACATATGTATTGTGCACGGCTCAAAAGGTCACAGAGTTTTTGAGAACTTCCTGGGCGCAAATATTTTCCGTTTTCGCCTTGGGAGGCAACCTTTGGGGTGGCGGGGGAAAAAAAAAGAAAAAACTCAACCGGCCTTATCAGTAGAGATTACTCCGGATGCCTCGTGGAGATAATGCACGGACGGATCGGCTCATTCGGGGCCTTGGCTAGAACTCTACACTGGAACCTTTTCCACAAGAACATCTATTTTTCTCCCCAAGATTCCGAGACGTTAAGCGGAATCCCGAGGCCGTGCACGACATCTTTCGATAATATTGTGCCCCGTCTAACGGGATATCTCGTCCGGAGCCCTGAGTGTCCCGAGGGTAACCGCGCCAAGGGTGCCAAGAACGCCGATACCACTATCCGGTGTTGGTACGCTTGGCACAATTCACCGGACCATATATTGGGAGAATAGGCTATAGTAGCCCTTCCAAGATTTGTATAGGGTTCTGCAGGAGAGCCCAACAACATTAATGTTATACCAAGACATCCAGCAATAGGGGAATGTTTTTCTTACTGTCATACATTCAAATCTGTGGGGAAACGCCTGGGCATATTGCGGGGGAATGACTTGGAGTAAGTATAACACCAATAAGAGTTCTCTCAAGGCCCCGAAGGGCCCCGAGTAGATCCGCTTGAACTTTTCCAAAGTTTTTGCCTCCACTCTCACCGAAAATTTTACGTGAGTGAAATACCTGGATCGGTGAACCTGACATACCCCACACTATCCTAGTATGGATGGTTGTATCTCCCAACCTTAGTCACTAAGCCTCTCCAGGATATGTCTCCACCAGGAGAAGGAGGCGAAAGAGGGGATAGATAGTAGAATTTGACCCCGGAATTCGCTTAAAAAGTATGTGCGTTGAGACCATTTAATCCCCTTGACCCCCCCACAGCTGAGGGTCTGATCAATTCTTTTCATCTCTGATTCTCGGGCCTATAGCAAAATGGGTCACCCCGACGAGATTAACGCTCTCGAGGCGCAGCCCGACTACATTGACAACTCGGGAGATTTCAAGGAAAGTGAGCAGGATGAGCCAGTTCAACTTCACAGAGAGCTCAAGGCTCGTCACATTTCTATGATTGCCATTGGTGGTGCCATTGGTACTGGATTGGTCGTTGGTACTGGTAGCGCCTTGACGTGAGTCGCGTTCTGATAACCTCTTATGTGTAACACTACTGACTGAAACCTCTAGAGCCGGAGTACGTTGTATTCGTCCAATTCATCTTTGCCGTTGACTAACCATTCTCAATTAGCCTGGATCTTTGTTTATTGCCTACTGCTTTATGGGTTTCGTCGTTTGGACTGTCATGTGTGGACTGGGTGAAATGGCTGCTTGGCTACCATTGTCCTCCGGTTTCACTGGTTACGCTGGCCGTTTCTGTGACCCTGCTCTCGGATTTACCCTCGGATGGTGGTGAGTACAATTCCCAAGCTAATAACTATACATTGGAAAATCTAATCGTCTCCTAGCTACTACCTCAAATATATCATTCTACCACCTACACAACTCACCGCCGCTGCTCTAGTCATTACCTATTGGCCGAGAACGTCAGCAGAGAATGTCAATCCAGGTGTTTGGATTGCCATCTTCATGGTGGCTATCATCGTGATAAACTACTTTGGCGTGAAGATTTTCGGTGAATTGGAGTTTTGGCTCTCATCTTTCAAGGTGATTGTCATTCTCGGACTCATTCTGTGCTCTTTGATCTTCGCACTCGGTGGTGGTCCAGACCACGACAGGAGAGGCTTCCGATACTGGAATAAGCCCGGCGCCTTCGCCACTAAATATACTGATGGTGCCCTTGGCAAATTCCTTGCTTTCTGGTCGACCATGGTGCAGGCCACCTTTGCATTCCTCGGTATGGACATTCTGTGATCAAAATTGCTTCCTTTCACCTTCTAATTTCTTTTCACCAGGTACCGAACTTATTGGTGTGACCGTCGGAGAAGCCCAGAACCCCCGGAAGACCATCCCCAAAGCTATCAAGCTCACCTTCTGGCGAATCATCGTGTTCTATATTCTCAGTGTACTCTTCCTCGGTATGCTCGTCCCCTACGACTCCAAGGAACTGGCTTTCGCAACCGAGGCCGAGAGCTCTGCTGCCGCATCACCTTTTGTGGTGGCAATGGGGCAAGTCGCCGCTCTTCCTCACATCATCAACGGCTGTATCCTGGTGTTTGTGTTTTCTGCCGCCAACTCTGATCTATACATTGCGACTCGAACTCTGTACGGTCTCGCCCGTGAGAAGAAGGCTCCTAAAATCTTTGCTCGCACTAACAGAGCTGGTGTCCCAATCTATGCTCTGGCACTGTCGGCTTCTTTCTGCTTGCTCGCCTTTATGAGTGTGTCCAGTACCTCCAAGGAAGTATTCGGATACTTCACCGACATGGTGTCAATCTTCGGATGTACGTTCCCTTCTCTCCAACCCCCCCCCCCCCCCCAATTTCTGTCCAGTATTCTGACCTTCTATCACAGTGTTGACATGGGTCTCCCTCTTGATTACCCACATCTTCTTCATTCGTGCCCGACGTGCGCAGGGAGTCGACCAGGCAACACTGGCCTACAAAGCTCCCCTGGGAATCATCGGTTCCTGCATTGCGCTCTTCTTCTGTGTTTTGGTGCTCTTCACTCGCAGCTTCGGCGTGTTTATCCACGACCCGAAAACATACGGCAACTTTGACTACAAGACTTTTATCACTTCATACATCGGAATCCCCCTCTATGTTGCCGCATTCGCTGGGTGGAAGATCTGGATGAAGACCGAGATTATCAAGCCCCATAATGCCGATATCTGGACCGGCAAGGCCGAAATTGACCGCGAAGAGGCGGAATATGTGGCTATGATGGCCATTCAGGACCAAAACTTGTCTGGCTGGAACAAGGTTTACAGGAAGAGTCTTGCGTGGCTCTTCTGATCATATATATTTTAGATATCCTTTCACGAGACATGTTTCAATAGAAGTTTAAGTGTTTTCAAGGACGAATGAAATGTTCATGGGTAATATTAATCCCGATGATTGTCTGCATTTATTATCCTTTCTATTTCTTTCTATTTCTGTATTACTTGCTTGAAATATCTCTCCCTGTTCAAGAAAGATCATCGAAACCAAATATTGGTCAACGCTGGAAAGTTCAGAAAGACTTCAGTTTCGGGACTTCGCGGTTAATTTAAGGTTCCAACTTCTGTTCCAAGGTTGCTTTCTTAGTGCCTCACTCACGTGGCAATGAAGCCGCTAGGTCTTATTGACAAGCTGCTGGATATATCTAATTCCCTAGTAAGATCCCTTCGCCGTCTCTGTGAATCACTTATGCCCAGCTAGTTTATGGAAAGCATGCGGTAATTTGTAATTATGTAGAATCATCTTATAGGCCAAGTTTAAATTAACGCTGCCCACCATGAATCCTCGAAACTTTTCACTATCCTCTATATAGCCACCTGGGCAGCTACCAAACCGCATCTGGAACGAACGGTAACCGCCCGGGCGTCCACGGCCCCGCGGGGCCCCGGGGTGACCCTAAAAATTATGTAAAACTAAATGTGCTCAGTTTTACTCGGTGATCAAAAAGTGGCAAAGGGTGAGCCCTAAAACAGAAAGGAACAGCCATCGGGCACAGCCTGAAAGCAGGTGTATATGGACTAGTAACCACTTCGTCTTTGCTCATAGTTAGGACGATGTCCATTACATTGTATGTATAGTTCGGACTGTACCTCACTCGCAATATCCCTAAATA